ACTCCTACGAGGCTTGGGACTGTTTCTTTTTCTTTTTTTCTTTTTGCTTCTTGGCTGTTCGTTTAGTCGGTCAGGGTCGCAGTGTATGTATATAAGAGTAGGGTATGTAAGGTAGGTACGGGATAGTGAGTGACTGAGTGTACTGTGCCGTAAAATCTGTACCGTGTGGCACGCCGATCCCTGCCTGATGACGGAAGCCCATCAGATGCGGCGCGATTTAGCTTGCGACTGGGCTGTAGGGCTGAGTGTGAAAAGGGCCCTTGGCCCTTGGGAATATGAGCGAGGCTGACTGGGACGATAAACCCTGCCTGCCTCTTTCTCGCCATGTTTCTTGCTCGTTTCTTTTTTCTTCCGTTTCTGACAAAACATGCAGAGATAAATTCCACGACGCAGACCCAGGTGATCATGTCGCGAGAGGCACAAAGTCTATGACGACTAGATTTCTAGCACGTGGTGAAATTCAGATTTCGCCCATTTGCAGATGCCTACTGCGATCGGCAGCCTGCAGACCGTGCCCCCAGCTCATCTCATGTGCTTGTGTGTGTCTCTCATTGCAACATCAATGACTCGACCCATCTCATTGGAGCGCCTATCCCCGACCTTATTTCTTGAAGAGACCAAAAATAATTATTCTAGTCTAAAGTACTGCTCTTGTAATATCCAGAGTTTCGATATGCCATCTACCGTCTTTTTGCAACGCAGAACGTCCAATATGAATTCACACTAGAAAGACGATCGTCTTCAAAGCCGTCGAATCTTAAAATGGCGGGACGACTGCCCTTCTAGGCATGGTCGACGATGCCCTGAAGAACGAGCGCCGCGTTGCAGATGCGTAAGCCAATCGATTAATCAACAATTGAGTTTGCACCCCCTTTCCCGGCGACCCAGCATTTCACGAAGAGTGCATCTCCGAAACCAGTAGCCTGCTCCGGAGAAGACTGGCAGCCCAAACGTGATGTAGAGTTCCGGCCATACATAGTATTCCGCTTAGTAGGGGGAAGGAGGCGACTTTACCCAAGTCGGCACTTGTTGCGGGACTAGGAGGGGGACTTCTTCTCCAATATGAATCGGCAACCATTACATGCCTAAGCCCTGACCTCGATGCCGGCACAAAGTAGGGTGATTGCATGTCTGTAAGTATGCACTGATTATGTGTGCTGTAGTGTAGTAGTGTAGGGAGACATCTCAAAGAACTGAGCCTTGGCAGTTTTACCCAAGAGGGTGATGTCGTCGTCGTCGTCGTATTAGTGGTGGCGCCGGCACCATGACCCTCTTAGATGTGTCCAGAGTATTACTCGCCTATAGCAGTGGCACGAGCTGACATGATCCTCGGGAGGCCAAAACGAGGGTTTCCTTGGGCGATATTTACATTGATAACCAACTGTTTGGAGACCAAAATGGTGGCACCACGCGAGCGTCTGACGACGCCGATGCCTAAAAAAGAAGTATAGCCGCATGCTCAAGGAGAAAAACGTGTTTTCCTCATGGAATCATGGGGCATTGGCATGCGCCTCTTGATTAGGGCTGAAATATCACCATCTTTTGATCCTGGGTTATAGTATACACGCAGGTATAGTGGGGCAACGTGGACTGACTTGTGAGTTGCGGTGCCATAAGCAGCCAGACCCAAATTCTTGTCCAATTTCGCAGCGGCATTGGGCTGTGTGGTGGTCTATTGTGTAGGCAGGTACATCGACTTGAATCCATGATCTCTGGGACTCGGGAAAAGGACTCAGCCTTGAGCTAGCTAGGGCGCAGGGCAGGCCTTACCAGTATTACTTTTACCTTGCCATTTTCCTGGGACAATCTATTACAAGCGTTTCATGCAACGGTGGAACGTGTTTATTACTGAATCTCCGACCTAGAACAGTAGCGTCGTGGCAGTATGTAACAAGGCAACTGAACCTCGGCTCGAAGAGAAAGTAGAAGAGAAAAAGGTCCCTGAAACTACACTAGCCTGCCCATGTTCGGCCCCTTTCTTCCAATCACGATGAATGCAATAGATCGAATACGGGTAACGAGATTTCAATATGGAACTTTCGACGGCAGACTCGACCGACGCCTCTTTTTTTGCACTATTACTACTGGTATTTCGCTCCACAAATTGCAAAATATCTTTGCGGATCTTGTAGCCCGCAGCGGAAAAGGTAGCGGAAGCTACGCGCCTAGTATGGGCGCCGGTGGGTGTTGGCCTCGCACCAAGGGCCCGCAAGTGACGTTCCAGAGTCTGGTTATGTAAACCAACCATCCGGGGCCGGTATAATGGATTGGAATTTTATTGTACACACAGAGCGAGCGGGATCGAATCGCCCGCAGGCAACACGTTAGATATAGAGGCTCGGTAGCGTATGTGCTATGCAAGTCTGCTAGGTAGATCTCGTGGCGGTCGTGACCACAACGTGGGCTTCCACGTGTGTGCCGCACGCGAGAGATGGAGAGAAAGAGAGAGGATGAGAGAGAGATCGAGATCGAGGGACAATCGATGCTTCAATAAAACGACGGGTTCACGGCTGTCGCCAATATGGATGGAGCTCTGCATTTCCGTCACGTAACAGGAGCGCACAGGGCTGAGGAGGGGTCGGTTGCTTTTCTTTGCATTATGCGTGACCATTGTGTGTTGGAGGGCTCGACACCTACCTATGGAAGAATATATGCACCATGTATACATTATTGGTGTGTTTGGCAGGCTGCAGAATGAAGATGACCTCCTCGCCAACTGCATGCACCATAGTACCCAATAGTAAATCATCACACTACGTGTATATATTGGTCTTGGATGATTGCATAAAGGTACTTTTGCCCAATGACTTTGCGTGGAATGAATCAAAAGTCACTTTACACTTTACTGATCCGTATGCACAAGGCCACGATGAAATCAGAGAATTCTAACTGGAAGAGTATACATAAGTAGATACTGTGATGATAGATAGGGCAGAGACAGAGAATTGGGTGGGTACTTTGAGCGAATGTACCTTGATCGAGAATTGCCGCAATTTGTCTGCCAAACGTCCAGAGTGAACATTGATTTCGAGGTACTCGAGAGATTTCCCCAAAGCAGGACTAGACAAGCGCGACATGAGCATGGCGGCGGCAACGGCATGCTGGCATTCATGTTGCTTGCGTGCGTGCGGGCAGCGGGCAAGGGCGAGAAACAGACAGGAGAGAGGACAGGCAATGTGAGTTGAGTGTCTGCAGAGCTAAGAGACCAGAGTGCGACTCTACCATGTATCTACGTACCAAAACCGACCTGACTTGGATCTCTCTTCCAGGCGCGCTATGTACGTACATCTATCCCATACCCGAACTTGAGAGAAAAAAGCGAGACCCAGCGACCATGTATCTTTTTTCTTCCCACCCCTACCGTATGGGCCACATGGGACGCTTGTGGGTAGGTACTTTACGTGGTACCGACATTACTTTCTGCAGTGGTAGTGAGTAGCACTGGCAAGGTGCTTCTCCTCTTGCGGGACCACCACTTACCTGCGCTCCGGTAGGTACCTACCCAGGCTACCTTACACCCCCCCCAACCCTCCATCCCAATCCCATACCATCCCATTCCATTGATTCCCACCAGACCCCGACCGACGATGTACTGCAGCCGACAGTTGAATGACATTTATGGCAGGGGTGGTAACGTCAGTGGATAATGTAGGTATTAGGCCTTGAAGTGCAGCGCAGCCAGCAGCAGCATGTACGTACCTACCCAGCCAGCCCAGTCAGTACCCGCTTGCCGCCGCCGCTGCTGCTGCTGGTCACCCAGACAGAACATTACACTGCCTAACACGCTTCCCTGTAGGGCGCTAGTGCTAGTGAGCCGTCCGACCCCAGCCCATGCCCTTTCGAACCTGAGACCCTGGGACATGGAAGAGAAAAAGGGCTGAAGCAGAGTAGCGGCGTGGGCAGCAAGCAAGTCCCCCAAAGTCAGACTAAATAATATGGGCGCCGCCCCTCCTTCATAGATCCCATACATTCATACTCGGCCATCGGACAGACAGACTGACATACATAGTCTCTATCTAAGCCGTATATTTCTTGCCTTGTGCTCACGAGTTTCTTCTTCCTGTCGATTATTATTGCTCTTTACTTGTACCGTTGTTGAAAGGTACCAGATCGAAGAACCAATCCCATCTACAACTCGTGGCTTTGAGTTGCCGCTCCAGTGTCTCGTACCGGGTTGCCTCCAAAAAAAAAAAAAAAGAATTGCCGTCATCGCCCTGTCCCGTCCAGCTGTGTGTGTCCAGTGTATGTGGGTTTGGACTTGCCCCGAAAGGTCGCAGCTGTCATTGAACCAAGAGGTCTCAAAAAATTCGAAGGAAGGAAGGAAAGAACGAACGTATTCGCTCAGACAAGCCTGCAAACCTTGGATATTATTTTATACTTTTCATTTGCCCTTTTCCATTACCATCCTTGTCTTTATAAAACAATTCGACCTTGTCTAGTTTTTTTTTACTACACCCTTTGCTGGCAACAAGGTTTCCAACGCAGCATGAGCAGCAGCAGCAGTTCGCCCTCGCTCTAATACTCTTCCAAATACACGAGGGACCGTCTGCTGCACAAGGGTCGACTGCGCCTCAAAAGAGCCCATGATACCGGAACCGCCGACGCGACCACTTTCACCAACAACTCCTGCAACATAGTATTTGATTCTCGGAAACGGCACACGACGACTTATACGAATCAATTCTCCCCCCTGCTGAGGCAACCTAAACAAATATTTGCTAAAGCAGAATCGAGGTAGCCAAAAACTCCCATGTGCTTGCTTCCTAGCTTGCAGTGCGCTCAAACCACAACCACGAACCGCCGACGCAACGTACCTACCTCGGTTAAACCCTGATTTGATCCAGCTGTTCACACAACAAGAAAAGCTGCCGTCGTGGCAAGTGGATCATTGAGCCGTTGGGGAAGAAGTATATTCTCTTCCGCAACACTACTAGTCCTGGCACACGGCCGGAGCGGAGGAAAGAAAAATTAAGTACAAAGAAAGATCTATATAAGTCACAATGGCGATACCGGGGTTCTCCTCGAGGAGACCGGGCGGCGCCCCAGACATATACACCGACCCTTTTGAACGATATAGAGAGACCAGGGCTCCTCAACCATTTTCTTCACAGCACTTTGCCCCGGGTTCCATGGCGAGGGATATCAGCAACGGACACCAACCGACGGAAGACGAGAGAGCCCCTCCACCACTACCACCCCCTAGGTATCCTATGGACGACCACCAGCCTCCATTGCATAGCTATCAGCCTCGAGAATTTCACTTCAAGGGCAACAGCCTGAGTAGTTACAATAGCTTGGACAATAGCCCGAGAGACAGACGGGAATTCCGAACAACGGATCGAGACGAGGGCTACCACAGTCTCATGTCTGTGTAAGTCGGGCTGGCTTGCAAATAGCTTGGGCACGGCCGTTGTCATCTGCTTGCTAACAATCTTTCGTTTAGGGAATATCATCAAGATGCAGGCGCAAAGACCATGTTCATGTCTCATGACCAATTCAAATTCAAGCCCGCCAATGACCTGGACTCATCTATGCTCAAGAAGTTTGATAGTCGGAGGGCCTTGGATAATCGATCACCTCCACGAAGGGCTCCTTTCAGCGCCTCCTTGAATGATACTGTGCCACGTCAGACCACTTTGGATCCGCGCGGGGCCATGTCATTACCAATCCGTCAGCTGGGCGAGGGTCCAGCACACCCGGCCGTCCCAAGACAGAGTGCTTTGACCATGGGCTTTGCAGGTGCTCGCGAGCTTACCGACATGGACCGCTCGCCGCCTCATCGGTCAAGGAGGACTAATAGCGGATCCATAGCGGATGATGCTACTATTTCCACACAAGGCAGCTATGAGAATCCCGACGACACTGATTTTCCTATGGAGGATGCGGGAATGTCCAATTCACAAATGGATTATCACACTACTGGGCAAAAACGACGGGCATCTTCGCCATTGGGTGAGGAATCCAGCCTGCAAGGACTTCCTGGCGCCGGTGAATTGCTGCGCCGCCGAGAAGGCGCTTCCAGAGCTTCGCCAACGCCCAGGCTTACAATTCCTCAAAATTCGCTATCTTCACTCTCGTCTCTTGGCCGTAGCGCCAACTCATACATGCCGTCGCTTCCCCTCACAGCTACGAGCACGACGAGCATGACCGGGTCATTTGGTCGAAGGTCACCTGGAGGACTCTCGCCAGGAGCAATGTCCCCAGTCGATGGCATTTGCAATTCACCTTTCAACACACCGATTTCACTGACCCACTCACCTCGGAGCGCCATATCACGCATCCCCCATCAGCGCCAGCTTAGCGAAAGCCGGCCATTGTCCTCACCGCGGAAGCTGACTGAGCTGCCAAAGGCCAGCATCCCCCGCATTCAAGGCTTCTATATGTGCGAATGCTGCCCAAAGAAACCAAAGAAGTTTGAGACAGCCGAAGAGCTAAGGTAAGTTTATCCCATTGCGGTGCCTATTACCGTGCCCCGTCCGAGCCGCTGTGGGGCTCCAATTTACCCCGATGTCAGTTTGCTGACATCCGACTAGTGCTCACGCGGCCGAAAAGCAATATGAATGCTCATTCTGTGGCAACCGCTTCAAAAATAAGAATGAGGCCGAACGCCACCAAAATAGCTTGCACGTTCGGCGGCACAGCTGGTCATGCTCAGCGCTCCATCTCGCGGGTTATGACAAAGCATTCCACGAGAGCACAAACCGCCCCGGCGAAGCTGACGCATGTGGCTATTGCGGCGAAGAATTTCTCCGGAGTGGTGGTGCTGGTCGTGCACGTCTTCCAACAGAGCAGGACTGGGACGACCGGCTTCGCCATCTCCAAGAGGTCCACAAGTTCAGAGAATGCAACTCGAGCAAGAAATTCTTCCGCGCCGACCATTTCAGGCAACATCTCAAACACAGCCATGCAGGTACAAGCGGTAAATGGACAAATATGCTCGAAACTGCGTGTATGATTGAGGAGGAGCCTCCTCAACCACGCTGAGGAAAAGACAAACCAATATTGTTTCAAGGCGGTACACTTCCGAGTTGTTCGTTGAACATGCGCAAAGACCAACTCTTTTTATGTTTGCTACTAGCTCATTGCTAGTAGCCATTACGATTCAAGCGTATCTGAACACACGCGGAGAAAAAAGGGACAAAAGTCTCAATGTGTATGGTCAACGGATCGTTGACTATGTCGTGCCATTGAGACTCACCTCATTGGCACAAGCGCATTGCCAGTCTCGCATCTGTTGTGTGAGCATCCCCCCCGAAAGTACCAGTCAGTCACCTTGCATCTTGGCCATTCGTATCGGGGAATGAGAGCGGTTGCCTAGAGCGGACGAAATTACGAGCCCATTGCAGCTGCTGTCAGCCAGCTTACATTACACACGTAGCGGCAAGATCATCAGCGCATGTAATGTAATGCGCCGTAGAGGGACACAACTCGCAGATTGGGGGCCATGCAGAGACACGCACGACAAATACCTACCTATCTATACGTTAAGCTGTCCACAGAAGAGGTTGGTCATGAAGAGGGGACCGGCGTGTCCACCATGGTTAGCAATTCTTGGCACAGACCTGTAATACTGCAGCACTCTGCAAATAAAAAAAAGGGGGGGTGTGCATGGTTGACAACAGAGCGACAGTTTGTATTGGATTGAGAAGATGAACACATCGGACTTGATTGCTCCTCAAACCTCCTTGCTAACCAGCTGTTTCAAGGAGAGAGAAACATGTAGCTGTAGATGATCGTCGAGCGCTCACGATACCCTCATATATTTGTTGATATATACACATATCTGGCATTGGATTGGGACTGGATGGAAAGCGGATATGGGAACCAAAAAGAAGAAAGAAGGAAGAAAAAAAAGCCAAAAAGTATATAAAAGTTCAAATGAGACATGTCAAAAATCATGCCAATCTTTTTGCAGTAGGTGACATTTGATACGGTGGGTGAAATTGCTTTGATGAGTAGGAAGAACAAATCAATTGAAACAAGAAGGGGCTCTGTAGCCAATATTGAGTCATATTTGTTTGGCGAACTCATGATCAGGCGGGAAAACGGAAATGTGTGTACAAAAAAAAAAAAAAAAAAAAAAGGATGGCTGCGCCCCTTACTAACGAGCACTCGATGAATCACTGCGTGGAATAAATAGGCCGGCCCACTGCGATAGGCAGTCAGTGACTGGGGGGGGGGAGTCTTGAGCAGCTACAGAGCCTTGAGCCAGCTAGCGCGTCACATGATAAAAACTCACTCAGCCCTATGGGTAGGTGAATGGGGTTTGCGGCAGCAAGAAACTTCAACGGTGATTTCTACTCTGTGTGAATCACAACTAGTTTGACTACTGCTGCCAGCACCCAAACAATTGACGATTCGGTTTTATTTCCCCTGTTCTTCTTGATTATTACGTTTATATATGTATATGTTATGTGCATAGTCGCAGCTAGTCGTTCGATTTACCTTTTGAATTTATCCATCTCACGTCACTGTGCAGGACAATTATCCCAAGCTTTCCTTTAGGGAACCACACGCCAAAAAAAGAAGTCACATATTCACTCTCAAGTCCTGCGTTTGGGCGACAAATCATACTGCACTCGGTCAGTGGCGTAGGAAGAAGTCATGGCTATGAACAGGATACCCGGCAATGACAACCTTTGGGTGGGCGGGTAGGTACAGCTCAAGAATTTCTGGAATGGTGAAGTTGCAGAGTATTGACATGACTACCTACCATAGCATTTTTGCCCTGACAAACCCGGAGAAAATGGAAGAGAAAAAAATCACCTCTATCTTGTCGGTAATCAAGTATTCATTCGACGGATGGGGTGAAAAGGCCAAGCTTTTCGAGCACTTGAGCATTGATGTGGATGACATGGAGGACGAAGATCTCTTGGCTCACCTGTCCAAGGCCGTGCGCTTCATTGACCGGGGTTTGCACCCGACAAATACTGGTAGCGAAAGAGGAGATGGCGACGACGAGAGCGACACAAAGCCCTCGAGCGCAGTATATGTACATTGCGCCATGGGCAAGTCGAGATCCGTCACGTGCGTGGTTGCATATTTGCTCTACAAGTACCCGCATCGCTACGGCGGGAAACAGTTTGTCCCGTCGGCAGCATCAGCGGCGCAGCGGAGGCAGACGGCATACGAGGCAGTATTGAGCGCCCTCAGCACGGTCAGAGAAGCTCGCTCCCTCGCCGAGCCCAACCCCGGCTTCATGCGGCAGCTCGAGCTGTGGTGGGAGATGGGCTGTCCCGTTGGTAGCGACGATGCCGTGGAGAACCATCCGATTTATCAAAAGTGGCTATACGAGAACAAGTTGAAGGAGGCCCGAGACGCCCGTATGGCGCCCGATGCCGACTGGATCCGTTTCGAGGACGAGGCCGAGCCTGCAGATGACTCGGCTGAGCAGAAGACATCGGGGAAGCAAATGAGATGCAAAAAGTGCCGCCGCGTGCTCGCCAACTCAAAGTTCATTGTCGACCACAACGGCACCGGACAGGATGACAACAAGGAGAAGGCTGACTGTCAGCACATTTTTGTCGAGACGCTATCGTGGATGCGGCCGTACCTGCAGGAAGGGGCTCTGGACGGGCGCCTGCTATGTCCAAACGCCAAATGCAATGCCGTTGTCGGTCGGTTTGATTGGAGGGGCTTCAACTGCAGTTGTAAGGAATGGGTTTGTCCCGCCTTCTCCCTCCACCGGAGCCGCGTGGATGAGGTCCTGGATCGGCCGACCGGTATGGGTATACGCATGCCGCCGGGTCGCAACGGCAGCTTGTAGTCAACCACTCGGATGAAGACCCCCCCCCCCAAACGAAAGTACACAGCTAAGTAAGTAAATGGGATAGAACAAGGTGTTCCATTGGTTTATTCTTCTCGTGAGAATACGCCTAGTGATGGCAGGGATCGGTGCAAGGACGTTGAAATATCTGCATAATCCATAGTCTGAGACTAGCCTCGGTGAAGCTCAACAAGGAAAGAAATACATATCAAACTGCCCAAACTTTTTTTTTTTTTTTTTTCAATTTATATGACTTCAGCTCAGTGTATAGGCACACCTGACCAGGGTAGCTAAACTTCCAGATCCCGAAAAGCTAGGGTAGGTGCTTTTGCTTGCTGACGTTGGACACTGGCCGCCGCCGTATATAACACAACCACCAATGAGCACAAAGCTCGGGCTCCAACACATACAACCCTCGCGCCAGGCCATGAATAAAGCATCTTCTTGTGGTGTCAAAGCCCTTGGCCAGAGCAGCAACAAAACAAGGGCTCTCGGCAAAGCCAAAAGTCGGCTGGGCAGACTAGCCTCACATGTATGTAAAAAACCTGCCATCCCGAAGGCGAAGCCAGCAAATCAAAAGGCTCGGGTTCTTGCCCGGAATTCTTGCCATAATTCCTTTTTACGCATCTGACGGCATTGGAGCACAAGGAAACTAGAACACACAATGCTTTTCTCGCAATGTGATATGTCACTGCTGTGCGCGCGCATGTACGCATAGGTGTGTAGGTCCCAAAGCAGGTTACAACATGGGCATTGTGGCCGTTTTCCTTTTCTCTTTCTTTCCCGAGGTCATTATCATGGATTTTTCCTTTCCTTACTGTATCCCATGTCCTTTTCCCGCAAGTAAGATTGTCTGGGTCAGAATCACGAGACGTATTGGCGATGCGATGTTACCAATCCCAGAGCCACCATGTTCTTTACGAGCTGTGCGCTTGCGCGCGCTAGAACAGGGTCCAATATACAATGTACTGCTGGTGAGCAGAAACTAAAGACGCGCCCTGTATAGATGAAAAACTTATTTATTGATTTATTTTTTTCGCATCCTCTGACTCTAGTCAAATCTCTCCCCCCAAACTTTCCCCTCATTAATCACCCATTACCAATTGGGTAATACCGCACTGGTAATTTGTCTCTCTCTTCCCCCGGGTCCTTTGCTGACGTTGATTCTCACCGCGCATTACTTCCGGTCTCTTGGCACCGCCTTTGCAAGGAATATTCCAAAGTCACTCTCGTCTTGAACAACGTCCCAAGATGGGGGTTTAAAAATAAGGATGATATGTTTGAGCTGGAAAAAAGATCCGTCACCACAAGTCCCCCACCCCCTCATCCGTTCCACATGTCAATTTTTTGCCCGTTTTACCGAGCGTTATGGCATCATGATATTTGCGTAGTATGGTGCGGCGCATGTGGCGCGGAAGGGGGCCAGCAGGATAGATGGCTGTCTATTGGCGTATATACGCGATCATGACAATCGCAGAAAAGTGAGAGAGAAAGAGGCACAGAAAGTAAGTAGGTGAGATATGTAGTAGTAAATCGACCCACACGGCAAAGTCATGCAGTAGATCCTTGTAGATATCGGCATAACTGTTAAAGAGACGTTATTCTTCGGTGCTGTGTTGCAATGTATAGGAATACGCCCCCTTTCAAGGCGGTCGCATATGACGGTTTTGCTCATCATCCTCTGCCAGTCTCTCCATTACTAGGTATCCTCTGGGAATAATCTCTCCACATTTGGCTGATGATGATCAAATATAGTGATATCTCCTTAAAGGAATTCTGATATACTTTCTTCTTTTTTTTCCCCCTCCCCCTCCAAAACCAAAAGAGCCCCCAAAAATCAAAACAGCGGGCGGCCCGCTGACTAGATCGACTTCACCGTTATGGATTCCCGCGATCCCCATGCTGTCGATCATCCGCAAATTGTACCTAAATCCTCATGTTTTCTGGTCCTTGTCGGTATCATATGATGGACTTTTGGCCTTGTACGCCTTTTGCGGTGGCCGCGGCCGCAGCCGCAAACCCGCATATCCACCCTGTCCTCTGGTCGCTTGATGGTCCCAGTTCTACACTAGGCACGCTCTTTGCAGGATGGGGGAGATGCAGTACTCAAGGGGCCCCCATCCTTATCATCATATGATGAAAATGGTTCCCCGACTTACACAGCAAGAATCTTGTCAAAAAAACTTGGTTATATTCCAAATTTTCTTGAAATATTCACAAACCAAAAGAATCTTTCCGACCCGCTTCCTCTCGATGCTGACAACAATTTCCGAAAGACTCCCAAACCTGCCCCCAACTTATTGAATGGGGCAAGGATTCAAGTGTAAAGCGAGGCGGTTTGCAAAGAAGGGCAAGAAAGAGCATCGATATCATCAGATCATGGGACTTACATGTTAGCGTCATTGTCACATTGTGCTGTGCCGTGCATGTGCACAAGCTCAGAGTCTTTTCCAATCTAGATAAAAGGCCGCCTTCGGAAAGAAACAAGGCTACGTTGAAAAGGATTCGATTCCTTGAACTCGCATCGCCTTGCATATTCGCTTTTTTGGCTTACCCGAGTTGCCAAGCACAAGAACCCCGCGGGCGTACCTTGAATGGCAATGAGGACCATATACCAAAAATGGGATGTGATTTGTAAACATCATGCCCAAACCCCTTCGATGCAAGAAAGAACAACAAGGACCCCTAGTATGATGGGAGCATCAATTAGGCCGAGTCGGATATACATATACCCATTGCAGGACAAACAGAAAATGGAAAGCAACTAAAATACGTAGAATCAAATAAAATAAAACCCAACCCGCGTTCCAACTGCCGATGGTGCTCCGCTTTGACTACAACGCTCGTTCGCCTCGACCGGATCAAACCGATGGACGTATCACACTGCAGTAGACGATGCGGCGTACACTCCGAGGGACAACACGACGCTCACGAATAGTATGATTTGGTGATTCAAATCAGCCTACTCCTTTGAAAGGTTCCAAAGGCAGGACATGAGAGATGAACAAACACGGTCAATTAAGTTCGAGCCGATTTTTGCTCTGAAGACCCTGTACCAGGCAAACAACGGGCCGCACACATGAGAAGCAGTCTCTTCCTTATCAACAGAAAGAAAAACTAGATAACCTTTTTTTTTTTCTCTTTCCCTTGTCCACGCTATGATTGGCCAATTCAAGAACAAAAGAACTCAGTCGTAAAGTACCAAGAAGATCAAATACCAAAGGGAACCGACATGGACCCCCCTGCCGCGGGAAAGGCGATGCCCGGGTTCCGGATCCCCTTTCCTCCACACCGGCCGTGCGGGGGGTTCCCGGGGAACGGGGACACCGGGGTATGTAAAGAATCTGCTTCCTTAATTTGGAAAAACAAAAAAAAAAAGAATAACAAAGAATTAAAAGAGGAAAGACATGAAATATATTTCATGGCGTGTTATTTGGCGTCTGGGAATTTATGGTAACTTTCCAAATCGAGGAATAAGACAAGCCACGAGCGAGAGAGGTCCGCCTCTGATCCCTTTCATCATAACGCCAAACGTGGCCGGCCATTCTAGGTAATATATTTATTTGGAAACTCTGCTCTTGTGCTATATTTCCTTGTTGGACGAGTTATCTGGCGACTAACCCCCACGCGATCCGGGCCGCTGTTTAGTTGCAGTCCCTTGAGTAGCAGCTCCCAAGGGTCATGGATAGATCAAGTAGAGCAGTTGTACATGGAGGGAAAAGGGGAATAAAAAATTGTGCATGGAGTCATTTCACTCACTACATTTATCCGATCCGCCGCTATTGGCTATCTCAATGGTAAAGCGTGTTAAAAAGAAATGGAGCAAATGCTCCTGTTATAGTCAATGAGAGGCGTAACTAGTGGTAGAAGGGAATTGGCATGTTAAACACGGTGAACCTATTCGTATTTTTATCATCTTTTATTTCATACTTACAAATATCTCGCCGTAACGTAACGAGGCAAAGACACTCGCAGCTTTGTTGCATTTGGGAAGTTTGTTTGAGTTTTTTCTCTTTAAAAAATATGGCGGTCTCGGTCTCGGTTTCGGGTTGCAGGTACCAGAGGGCTTTCATGTACCCTGGACGTTATTAATTGATGTCTTTTGCCGAATCCATTGCTGCCTGGAAAACTTTCTAGGTAGTCGACGACTGCTTTCTGTATCAAGACTGTATAAATGTACACTTAGGCATCATTATAAACAGCGGAGCAGCTGTTTGATTTGGCCATGTATCTGAATGAGATGGGGTATTCCTACGTTCTCATCAAGCAACATGGTAAATATTTCATGGGACCGCAAAGCCAAGATACAGGCGATTTTTCTTTTTTAGAAACCAGCCATGTACAGATTGAATTTGTACATCTGGGGTCTATATTGTTCCCTGACATGGCGGAATTAGCCTTCGAGGCGCCCAGGTGGCAAGACGTACAACGAATAGGAACCTGCGGAACGAAGCCGAGGAGGGCGGGAGCTAACAAGATAAACTTTCTCCTCCCGGCTGGGGAGTGTACTCGGAGTATAAGCATGTCCCTGTCAGTCAAAAGACGGGAGACGTATATTTGCATATCGGTTCCTGGGCCTTTTGCCCAGTGGTCTCTTTTTATTCGCAATGAATGATTTGACTTGCTGAAGATGGGAAAGGGTACGTATCGGTGTAATGCACAAGATAATCTATCTACGTCCAAACTGGAACGTATTTCCATGAGGCATGCCCATCTTATACCAGGTGAGCAGGTACTAGCAGTCCGCGGAAGGTGTACAACCAGCAAAGAACAGGATGAATCAATCTGCAAAAGTTCCTTCCAAGCGATCAAGAACAAGGCGAAAAGTGGCCCGACTATGAATGTCCTAAACACGGATAGCAGCTTTGTTTTGTCTTCCTCGAGTTTCAGCCCACTATGGTGAATCTCGGAGTTCGGCACCAATGTGCGCTGACACAACGGGGGGGAGAGACAAGTTTGACAGTATAGGTTGCCATCAAAGTTTAATCGCCCGGCACGGCAAAAGACCCAACTGACTCACAAGTCCGAGCATTTACGACAAGTTTGGGCCCTAATGAAACTCCCACATAAAGGTGTGTAACACCAGATTTTCCATGTGCCGTGCGCCCTCTGCCCTACCGCGAGGCATACAGGGATCAAGATCAAGGACAAGAAATTGAGACCATCGTATTCCAAAAAAAAGAGGAGCTTGACGCAAAGAGATAAAATAGATAATAATAAAATAGAAAAAGACTTGGTTAGGTTGGTCTGAAAGGTCCCGGGAGAAGTGGATCATTGAGGACAGGCAGCCATATAAAAATGTTGGGGGGCCAGAAATTGGATCGCCATGTGTCGTTCATGGCAAGGTCTCGTTGCATACGGGCAGAGCAACTTCATATCCAAAGGTATATATTGTAGTTTGACACAAGCCGTGGGCCTAATCTGAAAACGGGCACTCTATTCATCCCTGACCTTGCCTGCATCATGTCCGTTGTGACAAGCATTGTATAGCTCCAAGTCGAAGTTTCCATGATCACGATAGATTGGGCGAGACATATTATGGCGTTGCATTGCCAAGGCATAATCTCAAAGAAGAGATCCGCAGGCGGCCGCATCATGCTCATACTGCAGAACTGCCTTATTGTGCCTGGTATACTGCAAGAGGGCCGAAAGGGGAAACTTCCATCTCTGGTCATAAATCACAATTTGCTTCCGGGTAAGAGGGACGTATCGTTGCAGTTGGTCAGTTTGTTTCCTGGATTGTAAGATTTCTGATGATTTTATTCCCGCATTATCGGAAATACGGCCGAAATATAGCATATCTACCGATCATATGCAAGGTCCCGGACCGTGGTCGTTTCTCCACGATAAAAGGCGGGAAGGATTCCTGTCCTAAATACCAAGGACTCGGAATTCCCAGTATGGACCTGCCGATGCCCTGCGGACGACAATCCTCCCATGCCGATATACATATAGCCATTAGTTGACGTCCAATAATGCCAGATGGGAACGGGTCGTTCTTTGAAGTTGGAGTTCAAGATGGCGGTAGCTGCATAGCAGCACATGAACGCAAGCGAGGTAGCAATCACGGTATCCTTTGCAGATAACCCCGCATTGTTCGATCGTGAGAACGATTTGACTTCTGCCATCTTGTCCTCCACGACGTAAGCACTAGCCCCGTTCAGGGGTGGGACAAACACCACGGGGCTGATGGGCCGGACTTTGTTGGGTAGCAATCCCCGGGCACAGGAGCTGTACTTTTTTTTTTTCTTCTTACAGAAAGAGACACAAGTTTCGGCGGCAGGCTCGGCTGGTTGTAGTTGAAGCTAATCACGTCGTGGAAGGGCCGGATATCATAAGCCTGCCTGCCGCCTTCGTGGCGTCTCGAACCATCGCCCGGTAAGGCTGACAGGTTGGTGGTAATACAAGACGATCGATTTCTCATCATCATCATCATCATCATGTGATCATATCGGCCTGGACTGGTTCACCAAAATGACAGTCATTCGGGCCAACCCGCGGAAGAGGCCTAAGCGGCATCTCTCGGTCCTTTCATTGTGTGCTGCTGACTGCAGCTCGGGACAAGGCCCACACTTGCGAGAACGGGTGTGGCTCTAGAAATGTACAGAGCTCGAGTACATTGGAGATACAGAGGTCCGGGCATTATCGCTTGCGATGGTGTGGTCTTTGGAGCCTATTGAATTTGCTGCTCGGTATTCTTATATGCAGGCATCTTGCGAGAGGTGCCGAAATACTATGCTGAAAGAGGTCAAACGCCTGCCCTCGAGCCAAGGCAGAACCTCATTGGGGTTGCAAGGGGGTGGTCATGTATGTTCATTTGATATGGCTGCCACGTCCATAGAACTCGAGCGTGTACTTTTCATAAAAGTACCTCACCAAGCCTGTTCACGGTTCGTGGGTAAGGTGTCAGTCAATATTCGGCAAGGTGTCATTCCAGCTGTGGCGTTTTTTGGCGGCCAGTTTCGAGCTGATTATACGACTCGCGCAGCTCACGAGGAGCAATTTGCAAATAATTGGCGTTGAAATGTGATTTGTTATTTATGGTGCATCTTTGGGGACTGAAGGAAAGAATCCCGGAGTAGCCATTCGTTCACGGTTCCTTTTGGCCAATTCTGCCTGATGCTTCTTGGTGAGGCGGCCCTGATAGAAACTCCTTGAAAAAGGTGTCAGCTAGTTTCGACACGATACATGGAAAATCTCGAACGCTTACTTTGCAAGAGAAAATACCCTGGGCTCTTCTTCTTTTGGAGTCGAGACTTCAGATTTTGGCTATTAGACATGGTTAGCAGGAGATAGTAACATTGCGAGGACCAAGGGAGGCCAACCTCGTCCTTGGATTTTGACTCGTCCTTTTTATCATCTTCCTTGGAATCCTTGTCTTTGTCGTCGGACTTTGACTTGTCTTCTCCTTTGGATTTGTCCTGTTTCTTCTTTTGCTTCTCTTCATACTCCTTCTTGACCCGCTCAAGCTCCTCGTCCATCTCCTTCTTCTTCCTGGCGGCGATGGCGGCCTCGTCGACGACGGGCGTGGCAAATCTGGTGTCCTTGAGGTGTGCGGGACATACGTAAAAGAAATCTTGCTTCTCAGGCGTCACCAGGACGCTGGTGCTCGGCCTGAAGCATATATCACAACCTTTGGCGGCCGAGTCAGCTACCTTGCGGTGGTGCCACACATTGGGGAACGACATGGTTGCAGCGTCGTCCCTCGAAGCTTGACCGTATCAAAGTATCCCAGTATAACGCCCGAATGGAGATATAGAGCGAGCTAGTATGCTGCTGTGTACGAGAGGAACGAGAAGAAGTAATAGATAGTTTAACGCTGTTGTTTTGTCGCTCTCCATGTTCAATGCATTGATGAAGTTGCCCAATCGTAAGTGGGGGGTGGGTATGTGGGGCTGGAGAGTCCCCTAGGTTAGGTTAGTTAGTTCACGGTACACGCTGTGGCTTGCGGTTTGGGGCTCAAGATCATGTATAATAACTACATGATACTATTCTCTGCTCGAAATATACACGACTTGACCAAGATTGCCCCTTAAAGTATCAATAGTAGTCGCAGTGGCCCGCAGAATGCTTATTGGTATATTTCCTCAGGACACCCCGCGGATTGAATTCATGCCAAATTATTCCCTTCAGTCGTGAAAGTCGTCAGAATTTATGGTACAGTCTAGCAGGCGTCTATTATTCATCGTCAGCTGCGCCGGCATTGTCTTCGTCCATCTCGTCGTCATCTTCGCCATCCTCTCCTGCATCATCATCTTCGTCGTCGTCGTCGTCATCGTCATCAGAGCTACTGCCAGAGCCCTCACTCTCTCCATCGGAACCGGGATCGTAGTCCTCCTCATCTTCCTCGTCATCGTCTCCCCAGAGATCGGTCTTTTGAAGCTCTGCCAAGCCGACGCCTGGCGCTGCTCCATCATCGTCATCACCGTTTTCGGCGTCTACTCCTTTCTTGCCCTTGCCATTCTCTGCGAGCTCTTTCTTGGCTTTGCGTTGGTCTGCCATACTTCGATCCTGCAGACCCTTGCGCGCCACATACTTCTCATTGATACCAGCATAGTCCTCTTGATCCAACATGGCAAATTCGATCTCTTCGGTTGCCTCGTCATCGCCGCCTTCTTTTGTGAAGATCTCTACCACCATGTTAAAGGTGCGCTGCAGGACGCTCGTGTAGCTGATGGCGGCGATACGGTCCACCGGGATGAAGAGCAAGGGCTTCTTGAAAGCCCACAAGATTCCGTTCTCGAGGAAGAAGAGGAAGCCATCTTTGGATCCTCGGTGTGCCGCCACGTGGACGGCCTGCTCCTTTGGTCGATGAGCCTGCCGTACCTGGCTGTGAAATTTTGAAGGGTCTGCCTCGACGATTTGCACGTCGGGGGCTCTGGCGTTTAGGCACATCTTGAGCGCCCAGTTGAATAACTGCTTGTAAGAGTCGGAAACCGCCTGTGCGGCTGCAGCATTCTTGCCGCCAATCGAGCCTGGCTTGGGTGCTGTGGCACCAATGGTGAAGACGAGAGGTTCAGCAGCCGTAGATGGGCTATCCTTGGAAAGCGATGCCAAAGCTGAGCCTCGGGGGAGGAGGACGTAGTTGTGTTGCACTTGAGCCTTTTCGGGCACAGGGAGGCAAAATACATATTCGAAATCCTTCCAGGCGTATGTGATGGTAGGAATCGGAGCCGTAGTGTTGGGCGCCTTGGCGTAGATGTGGTGCGCAGTGAAGCATAGGTCAAACTTCTTGCGCTGAGGGATCGAGACGGAGATGTCCTTGATCTCCAACAACACATCCTCACTCGCGACGTCTACACTGGGTGCAGCTCCATTAGAGGAGGAAGAGGTGCTGCCATTCTGGTCAATGTCGACTCGCCGCCGTTTGAGGGCAGGCTGCTCTTCTGCTGCCGAGTCGCCACCAGTCTGCTCGTAGACGTAGCTGACAATGTCGTTGAAAAGCTTTACTCGACTCGGCGTGTCGGCTTCCTTTTGGATGCCCTTGAGGATGTCGGGCCTCGACTTGAAGACGGCGCTTAGCTTCTGGGAGTCAAGCCCGCTTGACATTTTCGAGCGCGGCGCCAGCTTTGCGGCGGGTGCAATTTCGTATGCAAGGACGTCGTTGTTTGTTGTTGGGTTCGGATCTGTACAATCAAGGCGGGTCGGGTAAGATGGCGGTTGTTGTGCGATTGCAAGTCAATGAGGTTTCGCAAGCAAGCAAGAGAGTAATAAAAAAAGGTTATGTTTTGTTTTGGGGATTTAGAAAAGTGAATATCCACTGGAGCAAGCTTGTCGTCATTGGAGTTTGATATATTTTTATTCCAATCCCTGGCGCCTTTGGCTTAATGCACGGCCCCTTAGGCGCCGCCCACATAGATTAGATAATTGCAGAGTCGCGCGCGTGTGTGTGTGTTGCTCGGAGGAATACACCGTGGGTTTTCGAAGGCAGAATATATTCCAAGACAAGGCATGTGACAGTATATTTCCATGCCTAATATTCGAAGGAAACAATGGAATCTAGTAATGTGAAATTCGTTATTTTCTGATCCGAGCAAACATACAGATCCACCAGTCGGTACCTGGGTAAAGATCAAGTACAATTATTCGCATCATCAAGCTCCATGGTCTGCTCACATACAACCTGTTATGGTGCCTACATTAGGCAACATTTGTAAATGTACATGATTGCAATTGTTTCAAACCCTAGTTTGGAAACGGCCTTCTCTTAATTATTTGCAACATTTATGTAGCGGAATACATATTCAACGGCCGGTTACCTACATGTAAGAACACACAACAACATGCTGGGCCGTCGAGGTACCAGAAGGCGGCATATGGTCCAATCAGGGGACTTTGGCGGCGCTAGAAGCACAGACCAGCGATTCCCCCAAATGGGGACTGCAGCGCATCTCTCTCTCTCAGAGCTAAGATTTTTGTAAAGCTTCAGATCTTGAACGAGAGTCAATCCGTTTGTCGCCCCTCAGCAATTGACCTTTCCTCGCCGCAGAAGCTGCCCTCATCTTCTACGTACTTTTTCCCAACGCGCGAACTCACATCACATCATGACTGGAACGCACAAGCCCATGCGGCTCCCACCGCTCAAGGTTCTGCGCGTCAAGAACCCAAACCGCCAGGGCGAGAAGCCGTGCATGGCTATGATGTCCTCGGTCCTCGGTGAGTGGAAAGCTCCTCCAATCTTGGGCGCTGATTTCTTTGATGCCAAGTCCCTTTTGCCCCCCACTTTGTTCGATGGAAACGCTCACTAACGTCGGGGGCTCTCGAAATAGCATGCTGGGCTTCGGCAGGATACAACACGGCCGGTTGCGCACAGATGGAGCAGGCCCTTCGAGCGTGTATGGATGGCCCGCAGCCCTCGGGGGGCCGGAGGAGCGAGATCAACTACCACTTGTCGAGATTCCAGTCGAGGGTTGCTGGTGTCAAGAAGCCTTAAGAAGAGGGAAAGGGAGAGGGCAAGAAGAGTTGGCAAGCTGGATAAAGAGGGCTACACTCGCATCAATCTGCGCCAGCACGACAATGGCAGGATAGTAAAGATATGGCGGCCGGATGGACAAGAGATACCGACAAGGCCAAAGGTCCAAAATACGGGCACCGTCATGTGCATGTATGGGCGGGAAAATATGCCACGACAAACAATGGGTGGACTAGCAAAACACCCCCTGCGCCTGGGAAGAACTCGATTTTGTCCCAATCATTGTACGATATCCGACGAACGACAAACGGTAGCCTAAGAGGGGAGAGCATTGGGTTTGGCGTTCTTGATTTAAGAGACAAAGAAAACCCGACACTTCGCACGGGAATCTTGTTCATTTAACGTACTCTGTATAATTTCTTGTACAAATGGAACAGAAAAAAAAGTGAAATAACACCGTCAATATGACGGTTAAGCCATGCAAGTTTGAAGTCGAATGCAATTGATAGAAATTCCATATATTGATATGATGCCTCTATCCTGATATGAGACTCCATCGACCACCTACGAACTTGGCCTCAACACAAGCACGGCAAATGTATGGTCTGGTAGTTACTGCAAGTCGCCCCGCTGGGCACGTCGCTTCCTGTCTGAAGGTAAATCTGCCAGTACGAATCATCGAGTTGACAAGCGAGGAAATTCAGCTCTAAAGATGTAGTGGTCAGCAAGTATTAATCTGAGCATGCGTAGATTTTGTCTCTTTATCCTTCTTTCGCCCCTCTTCCCTCCCCTTTCTCCAGCAAAAAGTTTTCGAAATCAAAAACAACAAAAAGGTAAACACAGAAAATGATTCACGACAATGAATGAAAAAGACTCACGTCTGCCCCAGGTACTGCCCGTCGTGGTTATAATGGTATCGCCCTCGAGGCCCCACGCCGTGGTATTGGCCGTCTCGTCGAGCGTCAGCGTCTTGTAGCTCGTGCTGTCCGACCCAATGTTGAAGTAGCGCGTCGTGTTGGTGCTCGCAATGGTGCCGGCAATGTCGAAATACTCGGACGAGGGCTCGGGGCCCATGACGGCAATCGAGGCTAATTGGGTGTAAAATTTTCCCACCGGTAAGCTCGTGTAATTCAACCTTGTCTTTTGCTCTTCTGCATATTCTTTCCTTCTCGTCTCCTCGCCCTCATGGTTTTGATCCTTTTGGAAATTTAACATGGGGAGTTGCACTCACGATCGGATGGATAAGACTGAAGGTACAAGTGGTAGATTGGATCCGACACACTGCGAATCTGGTACGATTTTGCCGCGGCCATAGTGGCCAGAAATAAGACCGGTACCGCAGCCAACATGGTGGTTATCAAGAAGTCGATCCTTTAACTTTCGTGGTATCACTTATTTGATAGAGCTCGTTCAACAAGTAATTATATCCAATAACCCACAATTGAGGGATGGGAGATCCAAGTTAGTTCTTGGCTGTGCTCACTCGCGTCAGCAACGACAAATATATATGTTCTTGCTCGAAGCAACCAGACAACTATTGCAAGTGAACAGCATCAATGTCAAGTGAACCGTGGCACTGGATAGGGACACATGGATGGGGGATGCTCCAGTGTTATGGGCTCCCAACCGCAAAGGGTAAGTCACGGAAGACAGCCCCCGTTCAATCTACTTGATACGACAAAAAGTTTTGGGCACGCTCACGAGAAACATAGGCACTTTCTGTGTAGCTGTCAAGACTTGTGGAATAATTGATTCGTATTTCGCCGTCCAATGCTTACATGATGCAGTAGACATTTGCAGGCTCGATTGGGCCTTTATAATTTAGGAACGCAAGAGAGCCTACCACCTCAACTGATTGTTTTCGCAACCATCTTCTCTCTCTCCTCTCTGCAGTTCCATTGTACGAGAAGAAAATCCCCATGGACGCCGTTCAGCCTATAACTAGCGCCGGAACTGTGCATAACACAAGAAGAACATCAACTTAAGCCAAGATTGGCGTCGCCCCAGTTCCACCGCCAACCCCCCAGTTCCCCGACCATTTCTCCAGTATATTCTGAGCATCAGGCCTGTGTAGATTTAAAAAATCCAATGCGCTTTGGCTTTCAACCTATCCATAGCAATAGTTGTTCGACCACGATCCCCAAGTCGAACCAGAGTTTCTGTAAATTCCATTTGCGACGAAGGAAAAGGGAGTTGTAAAAAAAGGAAATGGTAATGAAGAGTGGTAACAAAGAGCGTCGGTCCAGCCCACATACGCCGAAGTGTCTGGTATCATAATATCTGGTATCATAATATTTGCGTAGAAGTAAAGTCGTGAAGAGAGTGTAATCGTTTGCCGAAGTTGAGAAGTTGCCCCAAAAAAAAAAAAAAACCAGCAAGAAAGCAGAACAAAACAGAACGAGGCAGGGTTATGGTATCAAAGTGGTTGTCGTTGTCTATGCAATTGGTGTACGCCATGATCGAAGTCGTGCAAATGTGGTAATGGTATATGCTGTTCGCAACTCGAGGTCGTTGGTTGCTGTATATGATCTAGGAAGTTGAGCCTGAATGCTGCCGTGGTATGCAAGGAGGATAATATTGATAAGAGGCATTACATGTCGCCGACGCAGAAAAGTTCTATTTCTCCGACGCCGCCGAGGTTGTACTGATTCTTGGAGCCTTCCCGGTGTTCCAAGAAAGCAATCTGTATGTCTTCGTCGCTCTCTATGCTGACAAAGTCTCCATCCTCATCGCGATACCGCAGCTTCAAGTTGCCCTTACCAATTGAGCTGTCAGTGAATCGGGATAGTTTTGCATCGATGCGGTCAATCATTGACTGATATGTGATGTTAAAGGCGACGACCAGTGTAATATAGTTGCCACTATCGCAATGCACCTTGACCTTGAGCTGCGTGGGCATCGCATCAGGCGCAGGACTGAAGAGAGAACTTGCTGCAGTAGGCAACGATGGCGAGACTGCAGTGCGATTGTCCAGCTGCAACGGCGTTGGGACATTCGACGGTGCTCCACTCGGTGCCGGCGTTGTGCGACCCGGGTAGAGCGGCTTTGCAGGGAATTGACCCATTTGACCTCCAAGCGAGCCGTGTGATTGATGCGTACGTTGAGCACCGGGGCTCTGGGTGCTTGTCCGCATAGGCATATCTGGCATGGGCGACCCATTCTGAGAACGGGGGACCGATGGATCGTGAGTGGCGAGATGAGAAGGTATGCCGGGGACAGCGGGCACCGGCGTGGTGCTGTTCGATCTGCGGCCGTTGCTGAGCTGACCGTTGATATCTGGGGTGCTATAAGATCGGTTACGTTGTTGAGCAGCGAGGCTCTCTCGAGAGGCCATGACTGGCATCGAGGGTCCACGGGGGTTTCTTCCACTCATAGCATACGCGTTGACCGGGGATGAGCCGTCTCGTGAAGGTGCCCGTGGCATCGCAGGAGCTGTGTAACGATTGTTATCCTCCATTCCTAGGGGCGTACCCGCCTTTGGAAACGGGTAGCCGGCGGTGAATTGCATGCTGCTGGCAGCGCTAGTACGCGTCGATATGGGCGACTCGGTCGCTGGCGAAAAGTATGAATCCCCTAGACGAGGTCCTGGCGACCCGGCTCCCTGCGGTGGTCCAGCTCCTGTTTGCAAGCTGAGCTGATTCGGCGGTGCGGGCAGAGGGAATCTTGGTGGCGGCGCTCGAGCCATACCGGCAATAGATTGAGTGCTCTCGCCTGTAGCAGAGCGCGATCTCAAGCTGGTGCTGGATGCATTACGGGTCATGACACCGCCTGTTGACTGTGGTAGCTGTGGCATGTTACCGAAGCCAATGTTCGGGGATGCAACCTCGGCTGGTGCTATAGGCAATGCATCTTCATCATCGCTTTCTTCTTGTTGTTTGTAAGGATTCTCGAGACCCTCGGCATTACGCATCCATGCAAAGTCGGTTGTTGCGCCGTTTGGAGCTGCGGTGACTGGTTGGGCATTGATCTTCCGCTGGTTGTCCAAGCCAGTGGCCCATTTCTTCATTTGCTCCTCGTTGACGAATTTGATGACGAAATTTTCGACGCCAGGATCCCCTTTCCACCAGATTTGCACAGTGTACGATCCTGAGAGATGTCAGCGATCAAGAACAAGGGAGTGTGATGAAGAGAATACCTACCGGGCTTCGCAAACGAAAGAACTTCCGTCACATTCGTCATGAAGATTCTACCTTTCAACTGTAACTTGTTGTTCTTGTTCCGTGATTTGGGTATGTTTGACTTCGTCTTGTCCTTCTTCTCCTTGCTCTTAGTTGGCTGTACTTCCTTACAACACAGCAAAATAGACTCAAAGAGATAAATCTCGTACTATAATCGTGATCAGTAAGTGGCACTCCAGCTTGGCAGTATTCAGTCAGGAATCCTACATCTTTCTCCTGGTCACTTCGCCCAGTAATGACGGTGTACACGCCGTGCAAGAGAAGACTGCCGAAATGGTCCACTTTATGGCTCTTCCAGTCGTCAACTCTTCTATTCAGCTCTTCGACCGCCTCGTCAAGCATATCACGGTTGACGGCCTCGTTCGCCTTGGAGAGTACCCGCTCGGCAGCTGCTATACCTGTGGAAAGATCCTCCTTGATGGAAGCATCTTCACTTTTTTTCAAAAGATCCTGCTCATGGTTAGAAGCCAGGTATTTTGCTAAAAGAATTGCAAAACTTACCTTGAGAAGCAAAGGATATTTTACAAGCCTTTGCATTGGTTTCAGAAGAAATCCATCCAGAGTATTAAAGTCGCATGCGACTGGGTGTTGGATGACCCTGATCTGCTCAAATACTTGGTTCGCCACCTGTGCCGCTTTTCGCTGATTGGCAATGAATGGCTGGTAAATTGCAAAACCTTCTTCGTATGTAGCGAACGGTGTGCCCCAGTGCTGTGCTCCAGGAGGCATGGAATTCATCGTTTCAACCTTGATCAGGAATCGTCTCTGGAAGTCGAGAATCGAGTTGATGTTCAAGAAGATGTGATGAACGATATCACCTGGGATGTCACCTTGCTGCTCAACAGCCTTCTTCAAATCGTGAAGGTTTTCCAAGTCCTGAACATATTTACGCTCGGTATCTACCATTTCCTTGATAATATGGTCACGGTAGGACATGGAACCACCAGTACTGCTACCGTCGCCAGCAGCGGCTTCCGACACAGATGCTTGACGAGGCTGTAGCAGTTTACATTGCAGCTGTGCAATGTCAAGGACATTGTTGACTACTTGTATCACCTTGAATCTTGATCAGCTTGAATCACTCTTCAAACTTGCAGATAGATGGCCTTTACCTTTACAAATCCGGTGGTGTCATTACCCATGAGGTCATTGATGACAAAGCATTCGTCGCTCTTCATGCCCAGTTGATGGAGACAGCCCTCAACAAATCTGAACACGGCGATCTTGGATACTTTGGCGGCACTTCCAGGAACGTTGTCGACATTTAGAGGACGATCCGGTTCGAGGGTGTTGAAGATGGTCAGAAGGGGGTGACCAGTCCGCAACAATTGCCATACAGCGTCCACCGCGCCTCCTTCGCTTTTCTCTGTAAGTTCATCGAGCTCCTCCTGGTACTGGTCGAAACCAGGAACCTGCTGTAATCTTTGCTTCAGGGATGAACATATCTGGAACAGAGACCTCGATGCATCGGCCTTCTGATTTATGATATTGGCTGTCGCGATCACATGTCCTGCGTCGGCCACAGTCGTTGCCATGGACGACAACGAGGGGTTGGACGCAGAAGCATAGATGGTTGAGCCAGACAACTGGCTTGCTCGGGGACCTGCTATACCTGAAGCACCGGACATGCTAACTTTCCTATCCGCAGCAAACACCGGGGCCGTGTTCGTCCTGAGAAGCGCTGGAGCATGTGCCATCGCTCTCTACCCCATTCGATTCTATCGGTTTCGGTGGAATGTGATAGCTTGCGCCAGATGTACCAGCGAGTTGTCGCCAGGTTGAGGAATGCTATATTATCGTGGTTCGTGATTTAGTATCTAAGTGACGGGCTGGAATGTTGCTTGTTTAGATCGGAAAGTTATTGGAGCGAAAGGGATGGTACGTTGGGATCAAACGGGATATTATATCGCGAGGCGCCGATCTTCTGATCAAGCTGACCTAAACGTTTGGTGCGTCACTTGTTGATATGGTGAATGGTGTGTTCCAGTGGTCGTGATTGTGATGGAATCGCTATCGTGCCACAAGTCTCCTTTTTGTGTCGAGCCGGTCTTTTCTATCACCTCTGCCGAGTCTTGCCTTGCTGGAACTGCTATTCCCGGCTTTTGCGCTGCAGGCTTCCCAAAACTCTTCACGTCAAGTAACTCGCGAGATTTCCTGCTTGCTCTGAATTTGAATCGTCTGGTGAGTCGTAGGGTATCGAAATGTCTCCCTAATTTTCGAGCGCGAGGGCGTGGGTGCGAGAGTTGATTGCTTTTCCTGCTGTCTGCCCCTCGTCTCTGTTCCGCGGTGGTCTGGTCTGGGGTCAGGCGTGGTCAGACTGACGCGCGAGGATTCAGCAGGCAGGTACAGTCAGTGTTGGAGCTGAGATCGGAAATCCGTGGGGCTCGCCAGGCTGGAGATTTGTTTTGTAGGCGGGAGGTCAGGCCGATAAGGCGAGGTGAAACAATGACCGAGAGCGGCGGTTAGGAGGCCAATCTCGGGTCGACTCCACGAGCGATGGGGCGGAGGAATTGCAGACCGTTAGGACGGCGGTCTCGAAGTGGGCGGCTGCGTACTACGGGCAATATGAAATTACTACCAGCAGATGGAGAAGGCGATCTCTGGTCTTGCGGCCGAAGATCTGCTCTAGCCTTTCAAAGGGGCCTGTTGTTGGGCGTTTTTCGTCTGACCTTCAAGGTGTAGTTGTATGGGACGGAAGGAGGTTGAAGAAGAGGTCGTGAGGCAGGAATACCATGGACCTACATTAGGCCAAGGTGGAAGGTATCTTTGTGTCGCCAATGCCTTTCTGCCGACGGCTGCAAGCCAGAGGGAGGGCTGCAGTAACAATGAAAAATCGTGGGCACTGTGACCCGCCCACTGGATGGCCCCCCGGGTCTTGCAGCTTTAGGTTGGTTTGGTAGAATACTTAAGGTATGTACTATGGATACATTGCACCATACCGCTACAGCATTCAACAGCAACACCAGGCACCCAAGTTCGTCGAAAATGTATGCGCGTACTTACATTATTGTGGTAACGTAGGCATATATGCATGCATGTAGCCTGCATATATCATTCCTGGCAATGGCAGACTTAGTATTGCGTGCGATCCGTGAGCAGATGTATGCCCAACGTCGAATTTCGTCTTTGGTCTTTAAGCTAACTGATAAAGATAAAAATATATCTCCTGTATGCTCACATATCTGCATACCCTTCATCCAAGATATATATATATATAAAAGAGATAGCACAGCATAACCTGAAGAATTTCACTAACAACAACATGACCAGTGGCGCGTCGGCGTCTCATGGTGCCGTGAGTTTGAGTGCCACTAGACAGACAGCCAGCGCAAACTTGCATTTCAGAGTGGCCAAAAAATAATAGTGATAATACCGTCATTACTTTTCATCCAGGCACATAGACGATGATTCTTGTGAATATATCTCTTTTTATGTTTCAAAGGCGCAGCCTAAGATAATACATGTCCATGGTGACGCTGTTAGGATGTGTAAATGTTGTAACAAAGCTTCACTTGAAGATCATGTAGTCTGTGTTTGCTGTCGTGTGTCCATGGAATAGGTATTGACTCCAATCGAATATCCGCAGTTTGTACAGCCCAAGACAGTCAGTTGAGGTACCCTGGTACTGAACCCCTCACTAAGCACAGTGCGCAGTGTTGCTTGCTCCTCTCCGCAGATCTGGGTAGGGGGGAAGGGAGCAGGGAGGGGGAGAAAATCGAGGGACTCTGGAGGGGAGGCACCTGGCACCCAAAGATGCCTTGAAAGAGAGAGCAGAGCTCAGGGTAAGAGCATTTTTGGGCATTGATGGTTATGGGGTCTGTCCTGTTTCAAATTAGCGGGTGTCTGCGCTATGCCTAGGTCGGCCTACCGCCCGTCACGAGCCGACTACCCAAAAACCTACTATGATCGCCGCCACCCCTCGCTGCCGCTCCAAGCACAAGCTGGAGTGGAATGGAATGGGGCCTTTCACACATCCCCCGTCGTTGTTGAACCAAATCGCCGCCCATGACCCCCGCCAAACCTCGATACAGGTGAATATAACGTGTTCCATGGTGGAATTGGACATGGTCAGTATTGATTGTTGCGCCCATGTTATCGCAACTATCGTGTCGGCGGCAATAGATTATTGAACGAATGAGCGCACACTTTTTCTTTTCTCGATATCGTTACCGGCAGCTCATTATTTTTTCCCCATTGCCAATCCTGCCCATTTTCCACACCGCCGGACACACTTTCGATATTGGGCCATTTATAAGCCAAAAATCCATCGCTACCACTTCAACCGAGTACTTAGGATACTCCCGAGACAAGTGGATTGTGTGCTTAATGCGCTGACGAGATACTTCGTACAACGCCTGGGACCTCACCATCCATACGCAGCCTATTGCATCAACCAGGTCATTCATCCATCCTTCCAGCCATTCGCTTGTTGGCCCAGAGTCCAGACGAGGGTAGGGATCGTGCGGACTGAACGGAATACGGACCGAAAGATTCCCGGTGGGACGAGACAATCATATCATCATCCACTGCAGGAGCGAGTAGGTACACTGCTTTTCTTTGTGTATCGCCGCATCGATGTTGTCTCTATTGTCCTTGCAGCAGACATCGGCGGACCGGTTCAGATGGGAATAACGCAGAGGCAGACCTACTCAGTAGTAGAAGCCCAGTGTCCACCGTACCTCACGTCCTGTTATTCATCTTGTGATTTTTCTTTGCTAGGTAGCACCGTAGTGTTACAATGACCCAGCACACCAACGTACACAGTATATACATACAATCACTACCTATTGACCTTATTAGGACACCAGAGACAATCAGCAAAACAATGCATTGCACCGTTCATATAGTTGGCGCTACCTACACCTCTCGTTACCGGCCGTCTGGTCCCTGTGTGCTCGACTAATGTGTATGCGCAGTCAAATTCCGCATGCACATGGTCTAGTACATAGTAAGCAACATTTGCGTGTCGGGCGCATGAGCAAATACGCCTGGTCGGTGCGACTAAAAGCACTTAGACTACCAAAAGCGTATCGGGCCGCAAAAACTCAAATGAAGATTAATGGGGAGATTGGGTTGAGGTGGGTTAGTAGCAGGGAGCAACAGTAGTCCGTCGTCCCAAGTTTTTTCTTTGACCCCGAGTCGCCGTCAATGTGCAACCATCAAGTGTACCTCCCTATTACGCTTCGCACAACCCGCGGATACAACGATTGATGGTCTGACCTGTTCAATTGTCCCATAGAGGGTATTCGATTCTTTGTCTGCCTGTATTCGGGAGGATGGCTGATCATGTCATGCCGTCCATCTTGGCACCATTCATGGATCCTTTTTGTTGCCTCCGTGGCGGCGTGCATCAAAGCGTAGGTCTTTTAACATGTAGATAATCTGGATCAGGGAGCGGACCAGTGTTTAGAGCTTACGCGGTCTCGGAGTTAGCAGTGAGCTCACCCTGGATCTGATGTGATTCTTTGCCAAATCCATCGGATTTTGAGCTCTTCAAGCTGTCAGCCCGGGTCGCAAATGCGCCAGCATGGAGCCCCGTTGCCCAAGGTTGTACAACCATCAGATTGGTAAGAAGACTGCTCTTTCTTACATTGGAGTGTACGAAGTAGGTACTCCGTACACTTGGTCGGCCTCGGCCATCTCTGTCATCAAATCGAGATCAACCTCCCACCTCAAGTCAGCAAGCGTTGCTATTGCTGATCTCATGGAATAACACTGAAATGACGGGACTGCCATCAGCATCTGCTTAAACACCCGTCGTCTTCCATATTGAATGGTGAGCAGCATCCCAAGCGGACGAATACCACACGAAGGATGCCCAATATAGGGTGCATCAGGCGATCACCTACGCTTGCCGAATACGATTAGCCTCGCCAATGGAGTGTGGCAGCCCATGGAAGGAGGAGTCGCAAAGAATGTTCTTCGACTCTTCTCTTGCATCCCAAAACCGTCCTCCGAGGTCAAGCTTTCGTCTTTCCCCAAATCATATCTCGACTCGTGCGCCCCATCCACAAGGGGGCGCGAGGCATCTCGACTCGTCATCTTGAAACGGGCCATCATGCGAGTCAAGACTTGGGCTGCTGGTACCACCACGCAGGACTGGAGACAACTACCAACCTGCGTGCTTTGCCCAAGGATTTGGCCCCGCTGACGAACCAACATCAACCTCGTGGTACATAGTACACTTGGTGTCCAGTTGCGGCGCCAGCAGTTCAGCGCTCTTACTAGGCTCCGAGTACCCCAGACCACTGTTCACATATTCGATGAAAACTATCTCACTCAACCTCCCACACCGAGCCGGCTTCTGCATGTCATGTTGTCTTGAGTTTGCGAATTGACCCTGAACTACCATTTACAGATGCGAAAGACCCAATCCTACCCCGCGATGCTCCGTGGGCGGTCGCAGTATGGCCGCAGCGGACCCCCACGAACACGCCCGCCTCGCATAAGCCGATATGTACGCACTTTAGATAACGCCGCACCAAGGCATAGCAGCCCAATGGACACCCTTGGAGACTCTAGAAACGTCATGCGTCTGCGAATGTTTGTGTTCTTGCGTGCGTGCGTATGTCTTGGAAACCTTCTGGAAGCGTTATAGACAGCAGTAGTAGTAAATGCGTAGCAACATGGACAAGGGTGGTATTCTCATTTGTATGTACAAGAGGCCCGCTCCGTCATCCCTGTCACGGCTATAATGCTCCAGGTTTCGCGAGTTTGGCTTCCGCTATGCAGCGAACATGTGATACAAGCAAAGTCTTGCAGCATTTTTCAGCTTTTGCCATTTTTTTTTTTTCTCTTTTTGTAATTGTTTTCAAATTGCTGGCTACAAGTGGAATACTAGGCAATCATCATTGAATGTTTGTAGACGTGATATATCTTGATGCCCCAATTTTGATAGTTTCTCTTTCGCTTGTAAAGCGGCAACTAGTCGCTCCACCGTCATGTGCTTCATACAGACACAGGTGCAAGAGTACATGGACGCCGGCCGGAATGAAAGCATGTATCAATATTAATTAATCTACCTCTAAAACATGATATCAAATAGTAAAAGTGTTTCATCGCCAAGTCAAGAAGATTTTGGCTGCTTGTGAACGCAGCATGCTTTGGAAATTGTACCCACATACAACCACTTTCACCTCCTATTCACGACTCAAAACATCGATTTAAAGCGGAATGACCAAAGTATCAACCCAGAGCACGATCACAAAGAGTTGAGATCATAGTCGAAATATTTAAAACTGGAACATAAAATTGACCTAATGTTGCAGGCCAAGTTCAGTTCATGGTGGAGTTACCGAAGGAGACGATGAACCTCGGGGAAAAAGAATTTGGCCGGTAGTCATTATCATCCAAATCCCTTATGCCGACCAGAACAAGTACCAAGTCCACAATGTTTCTAGGACTGCACTGGCGATTTGCGAGGCATATCTCAGTGACGTGATGTGTGGACCTGGTCGCTGATCACGATCTGATAAAGATGGAGCTCTTGCACATCTCAGTTCGTATTCAAGACATACGAAAAGTGCTCACTCAAGAGGGCTTTTCATATCCATCCAAAACTTGGATGATCCTCACATATGAGAGAAAAGAAGCAAAGATGCTGAGCAGGCTTCGTCTTGCTCATGATCGTTCATGTCCACAACACACGAAATATCCAATAAGTGAATCTTGCGATAACTTCATTTCTGCTTATGCATTCGCGCTTATCAAACGAGAATAGCGCAAACGCAATATATTGACTTTTACACAAAGACTATTAAATGTCGTGACCAAGGAGCTGTTTAGAGGTACCAAGAGCACATTGCGCAAATTTATAAGCACTGCGATGGATGAGGATCTGTTGACGTATTACAACACTACGGCATCCTCATCTCATTTTTGCTGCTTTGATCGCCCAAATTGACTATATGAGGCTCTCTCGGCAAAAGATCTCGAACATCTGGGGTTATTTTCTAAGTGGATGCATCGGCACCTACGAATGAATGACTTGGGAAAAAAAAAAACTTGATGTCAGACCAAGGAGAGTCGAGTCACCGTGGCTGAATTCATTGGAGAGTGAATCAGTCAATTACGTTGGAATTTTGGGGGTTCGATAAGAATGAAAACCAGTGTGGTGTCTTACTAGTCATTGCACTGCTATGGAACGGGGTAAAACAATGTTTGCTCTTATGAATAGACACGCTGGCGCTCCTTACTACTACGGCCAGAATCCCGATGCTGTAATCGATGTTTCCGTGCTACCTTGGAATCAGTGATTTGAGTTATGATTGCTTCTAGCAATCCAGCACCTACTGAGTGGACAATGGTCATGATTACAATTCATTTCCTGCAAAGATGTCGTTCCTATGCAATATCTAGCTTATGAACTGAAGCCATACATGTAAACCTTGGGTCTTCAAAGTCAAGAACGTGTGACGATCCGCTGAGTCGAGCTACAACACAGTCTTGTAGAAAGAGGAATTGTCAGTCTTTTGTTTGGTTGTTCCCACAGGGAGATTGTATCTACGCCCAGCACGAGAACTACCCTCATCAACAAGCCAAATGCCCTGCTAGCCATTATAACAAACGGCTTGAATATGTTGGAATAAAAAAAAAATCAGATGCTCGTGACCACAACGTCACTTGTCAGATGAGCCAAGGTCTATACCAGCATCCCAGATTAAACAACTTCAAAGGGCAGCCAGTCAATCCAAGGGTAAAGGTTTTGTGTACGATACATAATATGAACACAGACGTACTTGGATTAGAAGCAATCAATGGTGGAGAAATCAAAACATGTAGATTTTTGGCACAGTCAAGCATTTTATTAAAGGTTCCAACAAGTTAATTTTAGTTAGTTTCTCAATATCTGTGCAGAGATGGGAACATACAAAGTCATGCTGTGGTCAACGATTGACTCCTATTTTCTTGGTGCCGCCACGCCGTTGTCCCTTGGGAGTCTATTTTTTCTTTTCCCACCTGGGGTCCTCAGAAGCTTCCTGAAAGGAAGGCAATGACAATGAGCACTGCCGCCATAATGTTGACTAAAACCACATACAACTAACTACTCATAATTTCATCATTGGGCTAATCCAAAGATGGTGAGACTGACAAGAGTCATGAATAGGTATCTTTCTTTCCTGTCTTGGTCAAATTCTGCAGACGACAAGAGTGAAGTCAATCCATCGATTGGTTATAGAATGTCGACCCAATGTGTTTTTTGTTGGTATTTTTTAAAAAATGCTACAGTGGATGCGTGTGCAAGTAGGAGTATTGATTATGTATTGGCCAGGAACAAACTAAGAATAACCATAAACTGTTGTGGACGGCGGCAGCTGAAAAACTCCATTTTTTAAGTGGAGGAGTGTGACAAGGGTGTGGAACCCGTCGTCGATGGTGACAATTCTGGCCTGCGCTTGCCGCAAATCTCACCCCACCCCCAAGACGCCTAGCGACCTGACCGACGCGCTTTGGCGGTTCCAGCCTCTAACCTGTTTTCGGAGACTTCTGCCTTGATCACCATTGACGTCGCGACAACATTCTTTAGAAAACCGACTGCGACGAGAATTGGTAATCAATTTTGGCCCATTCCTTCACAAGAGAGAGGTACATTTCTGATTCTTCAACAAGGCAGTGCCCTCCTCAACACGCACGTCCCGCAGCCAATCGGGAAAGGCAGCAACGTCCACTTTAGGCTTTGAGCCCGACTCCGGGTCTCCAACAGCTCCGTCCAGCTCCATCCACAACCAGACGAAGAAAGCCCCCGACGCGGGTCCGAACCAAGGCTGGGCTGCGCTGCGCAAGCTTTTGTCCCCTTTTGCCCCGGACTCAACGCGGTCCTGCCGAACCCATGGAGTCATTCCCGACCACGGAGCAGCCCGACGAGGGTTACAGTGAACACCCTTTATCATCGTCTTTGGAGAATACCTTCGGCCCTATTGCTGATTCCCACGATTCCGCAAGTTTTGTGTCATGGTTGACACCCCGAATCTCGAGCTTAACTATTGCACAGAAGAAGCAGTTGGCCATGTCGCTCCTCAGTGAACTCCCCACCACAATCATACAAGACATCGTCGTCGAGCAACTGAACCCCCGCCTCTACATCGACTTTGTCCATCAACTGCCTGCCGAGATCTGCCTCAAGGTGTTCGGATACCTCGACCCCGTATCGCTAATAAATGTTGCCGTATGCTGTCGGGCATGGAACAATCTGGCCCTCGACCACAAGCTATGGGAGCGCCTGTATCATCTCGAGGGTTGGAAGGCCATACCCAAAGAGATCTCCATGGCTGAGGCCCGGACGAATTCTCGCGAGGCGGCAAGACATTCCGGAATGATACAGCCACAACGGCTACGGTCATCTGAATATGGACATGTTCACAAAAAGAGAGCCATCTCGGATCCGGCCCAGGAAGACGTGCAGCAGGACGCCATGGACATCGACAACGATGATGACACGGAAGTGGCAGGCGCTGGCGCAAGCTTGTTTGGTGGAGGTGTGCAGCCTGGTGGCAGTGCGTCCTCTTCCAAGACTACTGGCAGTGTAGTGCAGCATCTGGGACATCTAATGATGGAATCGCCAAGCCCAATGCCCGTCGACAGGAAAGGCAAGGGCAAAGCGACGCAAATCTACGACAGCCCTGTCCCATCGATAGTGCAGCCCGACCTGCCTCAATCATCGCTGTGGGTCTACGACTCTCTGAGCGACATATATCGAATCAACTGGCATTATCTATACACAATGCGCCGGCGCCTCGAGTACAACTGGGAGGCGGGAAAATACACCAACTTTCAGCTTCCGCACCCAGACCACCCTCATGAAGGCCACAAGGAATGTGTCTACTCATTGCAATACGATCCGGACTGGGTAGTCAGCGGAAGTCGTGACAAGACCATACGAATCTGGAATCTCCAAACTCGCCGCCTAGCGCGGAAGCCACTCATAGGTCACCGCGGTTCGGTTCTGTGTCTTCAATTCGACGCCGACCCGCAAGAAGACATCATTGTGTCAGGCAGCAGTGACTCGGATGTTATTATCTGGAAGTTTTCCACAGGTGAAAAACTGCAAGTTCTTTCCTCTGCGCACAGCGAATCCGTCCTCAACGTCAAGTTCGATAAGCGCATCCTGGTTACATGTTCTAAGGATAAGAGTATCAAGATATTTAATCGACGACCTTTGCGGGCTGGCGAGGTGGGCTACGGAAACATTGAAGAGCTCGTTGGACCGGTACCCATCAGCCTGAAGAACTATGGATACGACGACACACTCCTGGCTCAGTTGCCGATCAAGCCTGCCTGGACCCAGATCGGCTGTCTCGAAGGCCACGGCGCTGCCGTGAATGCGGTCCAGATACATAACGATGAGATTGTGTCAGCTAGCGGAGACCGACATATCAAGGTCTGGGACTGGCCGCAGCAGATTTGTCGTCGAACATTTTTGGGCCACCACAAGGGTATTGCTTGTGTTCAATACGATGGGCGCCGCATCATTAGTGGAAGTAGCGATAATGAGGTCAAGGTATTTGACCGAGAGACTGGTCTTGAAGTTGCAACTCTGCGTGGCCATGTTAATCTCGTGCGCACCGTGCAGGCTGGCTTCGGTGACTTGCCCTACAGCGTAGAGGAGGATCGCAAAGTTGCCAAGGCAATTGATGACGAGTATTTTGCGGCCATTCGCAACGGCGCTCTGGATGATTCCCAGCGCAGTCGAGGCAAAGCTCCCAACGCGGGTAGCCGGCGACCTGAGGATATCACAGCTTACGGTGCAAAACTACCTCCAGGTGGCGGAGGTGGGCCATATGGACGCATTGTATCTGGCTCATACGACCAGACAGTCATGATATGGCGTCGTAACAAGGAGGGAAAATGGAAAAATGTCCATATTCTCCAGCAGGCCGAAGCTGCCACGAATGCCTACCGACAATTGAAGCGACTGTCGACCAATTCAACAGCCTTTGGCCAGGTACCATCACCCAGCCGCTCGCCGATTCCGAGTGGGAGCAACGCGGCTTTGCCCTCTCTTCATCACAATGCGCGTCCCCTTGCAAGACACCCGCCGCCGCCCCCAGCTCCCCCAGCCAGTGCTCCTCCTGCAATGCAAAATGGTGCGGACATGAGACACGTCGAGCGCCCGACTGCCGTTCCCCAGACGACAGCGACTTATACGAGAATGATCGAGGATACTGTGGCAGAAGGGCCGGCAGCCCTTCAACAAGCATTGGGCACGCACAGCACCATGCTGGCATACAATTCCCATATCCAGGCAGCGATCGACAGAGTGCCTGATATTGCAGCTCGAGCAGAACTCAGATTAGTTGTTTCCATTGCTATTCAGCAAGCACAAATGCAGCAAGGCCGGATCCGGGACTCTGTACAACAAGCAATGGCAGCCCCGCTGACAGAGCGATCTTCTTCGCAAGGACAGGCCGCACCAGCACAACTGGCACAGCAAGCCCCCTACCCGCGGCCCTCGAGACAACCTTCTCGCCCAACCAATACTTCCCTGTCGCGAAATCAGGCAGGTCGGCAGATGCTTCCGAGTGCTGCACACCTCATGGAATCGGCTGATTCGGCCACGTCCTCTTCGGCCGCAGCAAGCCCTACGACAACGTCCTTGCCTCGAAGCTCTGTGCAAGCATCGGCTGGACCGCCGACAATGGCGGCTCATCATGCTGGGCTTGCACTACTGGATCAACAATCACAGCCGCCGCTGGTCGTAGGAGCACCTCCTCCCGTCCCTGGACCTTTGCACATTCACCATCCCCACATACCACAGAATGACCAGCAAGCTCCAAGAGTTTTCAAATTGCAATTCGATGCCCACAAGATTATCTGTTGTAGTCAGACTTCGACAATTGTGGGTTGGGATTTCTGCAATGGTGACAGTGAACTCGAGGCTGTCGCTCGCTTCTTTGCTCCGATCGAGTAAGGACTTGAGACACGAAAAATAAGTGGAACTGGCCATGACACTGCATGTCTCGACTATGGAGCCTTGCCTCGGGAACCTTCATACTTGGACTCTGCCGGCGATCGGGATGGGAGAATGCCGGGCCAGAAACAGCAGTTCTGTATGCCCTGTTGCTCTGGCGTGCGAGACGGAATGCTTTATATGCGAAGTGGAATGATCTATGTGCAAAATGGAATGTTTTTCAGTGTTCACTGAATGTTTGGGTTGTGGTTATGGATTTGACCAACGAGAACCTCGTTCAGCGCGCTTTGATGGTTAGTTAAGAGAAGGATCGAGGAGACGATGGCTCAAGACTGCTAGCAGGCTATGGTATGCATATGAAACTAATGATTTGGCGTTGCATTGTACGGTACATTGCTATTCCGGCGTTTTCAAGCGGAAGAAAAGACGTATAGAGCGACGAATGATGGAATGTAATTAATGAAAGCATGCTGCGCGTGGCATGGTAGATGCTAATTGACACGATCGCACAAGAGTTGCAAATTGACAGGCCGCATACCCTAAGATGTGCAAACATGTGTTTTCATAATGTGCTTGGAATAATATGCTCTTTAATCTCATAGAATCTGCAACCTTGTGCCCGTATGCATTTCATTCTCCAAAACGCCAGAAAACGCCATGATATGAAGTGACCGAAATCGATTGCCATCAAACTTGGATTCGCATTTGGTCACCTGGCTGCCTCCTGGACCTTGCCCTGCTCTACCGGCTCGTCCACAAAGTCGGGCACCTCATCCTTGAGGAAGTCAGGGACCTCGCCGGCGCCTATGCTCTGCTGAGCCTCCATCTCCATTTCGGCGCCGAGCATCTCGAGCTCGGCGTCGAGCTCCTCCTCATCAACATCGTCGGGCAGGTCGTAGGCGCGGGAGAGGGACTCCTGGATCTCGTTGCCAACGTCCATGAGGTCGGCCATTTCGTCCTGGAGGCGCTCAATCTTGTCGATATCGACCTTGCCGTACTGCTTCTTGAGCTCCTTGGACGTGGTCTTCATGGCGTCGACGGTGGCCATGACGCCCTTGAGGTTGTCCTGCATCATCTGGGCCTGCTCCATGTTCCAGACCTGCTGCTGCTGCTGCTCGCGCTGCTGCTCGTACTTGCGCCGCTGCGTCAGCAGGTCGCGCGCCCGCTTCTTGGCAAACGCCTTGCCCGACGGCGGCATCCGGTTCATCTTGCCCGTCAGCTCGCGCAGCTCCGTGTTGATGCGCGCAATCTGCACGTCTAGCTTGGCGATGCCGCCGTCGATGTTGGAGATGGCGCTGTTGAGCGTCGGCTTGGGCGCCTTGGACCCGCTGCCAAATAATCTGTTCATCTTGTCTGTATTGTGTTGTGTTGTTTTGTTTTGTTCCTTTTGTTTCTTCCCGCCTGCTTGTCCCTCTTTCGGGGCCTGAGATGGACAGTCGGTCTGTAGCGACGGTCGGGGCTTCGTTGGGCAGCGAAGGAAATGGGGCCGCTGAGAGTCGATTTCTCGCTGAGCTCGTCTATGGATGAGTAATCGCCCAGGGCTAGAATTAACAAAGAACAATCAACGCCTAGGTTGGTCCGCTCAGGCTGTTGGTATAATGGATGCCTGTTGTTGCAAGAGTCGTCGCAAGCTTGCATATGCGGGTGGCATGTGTTTAGGTGGGATGTCCCGCGCTGGCGCCGATGACGTTGGCGGGGTGAGCCGATGCCCTCTAAACCCTGGTTCAGCAATATTGTATACAATTATGCAGTGTAGTGTGATATTGAAATATGGTCATTACTCTGTATACTCGACATATGACGAGTGACCTAGAAGTTGTGAGACTGTAAAACATGCTCCCCTTTTACATATTATCAGCAAGTTTCGAGTGACTTCTAATGAATGGTACATCCTTCTAAAGTACTCCCAGATCGGCCTTGCAATCATGGTTCATCCATGTTGGGCAATAATAGGAATGCGTCCAAAAGAACAATCACCCTTGCTAATACTTATCATAGCCCATTGAATTGTACTGTATTTGACAAACTTGTTCGATTCCAGACTTCTAGCCCAATTTCACGTCGTTGCTAGAATATTATGCCCTTGACTGTTCAACTTGGAATGAAATATGATTTCAGGCATCTTCAGGTTTCTGAGATCGTGATGTCAATATGAGTGTCAGAGAATAATCCATGGAGGAAGTGCGGGCTCAACAATTTGGTAATATTTTGCTCCTCAGAATGCCCATTGTTGCCTGGCTGAGTCGACTTCAACTCCCCAGTCTAGTAACGCCCAAGGCCCTTTCAATTTTTTGATTGTTACCATAGTATTTATAGTTCATACTTCTCGGAAAAGAATCATGCTGCCAAACAACCGCTTGACAAAACAGCCAACTACATCCACTGCCCTTCACGACTTGACCATCAAGTTGAACGAATACCCCACGGTCCCAAGTCATGTCGACAGAATGGGGCTCTTGCCATTCCGCCACCCATCGGGCTTTAAATACCAATGAACTGGCTGTCTCCATACTCGCACATCTTGATATGCGAACTCTCCTGGTGTCAGCGCAGAGAGTCAAAGCGCTCCTGGCATTGGATGGTCAACAACACGCCCAGCTTACAGAAAAAGCTTTTCCTCCTGCCAGACGGAACGCAGCCAGATGATGACATCTCAATCAGCGCGCGTCACAGCGCACACAACCCTCTCTTGACTCACATCTTCCCATTCTGCTTTCCTGTGGTGCAACGGCATATCCGTCGTCCCCTTATCGCGCCATACATCGCAAAATCCGCCTATTGCTCTTTTCCAGTATTCAACTGGACCCCTTTCTTGAGCTACATCGATACAGAGGAAATCGCCAACAAGTTGGAAGCCTTGAAGAGACATGGTGCATCGTGGAAGAAGATGTATACTCACCAGCCTCCCCTCCAGGGTATAAGCCGGGAGTTTTGGTTGGGTTTCATCAACCAAGCTCCTCCGCGTAAGGTGCACACACGTACACAGGCACAAGATGAGCTGATCATCCGAATGCCAACGCTAATACAATCAATGTTTGGCCGGGAAGAGCCGCACAGTTGTGAAAAAGCTGTCGGCGCGTTCTTTGCAAAAAGGGACGACACATATTGGTCCGATCGAGGCTCGCCAATGCCACGCTCTGCTGTGTTCGTTGTCGATATCCTATCAGGGGATCTCGCCTGCAACACACCCCCCGTCGTTTTCAAGAAAATGAGTGAAATGTTGCTCGCTGCCGTTGCTGAGTGCTGAGGATTACTGAAAGCGAGTTGCGTCTGTTTACTGAACTACGGATGAGGGCGGTAGCTCAATTGTTGTGCGTTAATTACACGACTCGATGCCATGAACTTGGGAGATGGTTGATCATAGACGGTTCTGTAACATTTAATTAAGTCAATTCATACCAAGCGCGTATTTTTCTGATAGATGGGCAGATGATTCGCATTGACAGCTTTAAATCATTCACTGTGTTATTCACCAAAGTTTTGTCAGTGCAATACTCCTAGAATAGTGTGTTAATTAATCACTGTCGGTAACATACTGAGAGATTTAATAATGTCAGTCTGGGCGCGGTGGATGATTCCACTTGAATTTGACAAAACTAAAGTCAACCACAAAACAAAACCAGCCCACGGAGATTTTACCCTCTTGTCCCGCACCTTTCAGAACCATCTCGAGTGCCTCAGCCATGTCAACAGATTCAGATATCCCATCCGCGGCGAACCGCGTGCTGCATATCTTTGAGCTTCTCGAAGCCATACTTCTCGACGTCGACGACCGCACATTACTTGTCTCTGCACAAAGAGTCAACAAACGCTGGTGGAATGTCATTGGCAATCCCAACTTTCAGAAACGACTTTTCTTCATTCCAGACCACGACGCCTTGGGAAGTACGGTCAATCCGTTGCTCTTAGAGTACTTTGCTTTCTGCTTGCATCCCCGTCCCATAGATGAAGATACCCATGAGGAAACATACATCTCCCAAGATCGTACTCCCCCCAGTAACGATGTCTCCACTCTATCTAATCGGAACTTAAATTCAACTGAGCTGGTTGCAATCAAAGACAAAGCAGAAGCTTTTAGCAGAGTAGAAGCATCGTGGAGACGAATGTTTACACACCAGCCGCCCAGGGTGGGAATACACCAGCAGTTTCATGGCAGAGTGGACCCGTCGTTTCGGTTAGGAATTGGGTGTCCCAAGCATAACTACGAGATCTCCTACCAAGAACAACATGTTGACAAGTTTGTCCGCATGTCGACGGTGATCGAGTACTTTTTTAGGCCCGACAAAGCCGTCGACCACCGTTTCCCCCATGAGTTTCCACCTTGGCTCAGAAGAGTGGTAATGGTCAAGCACTTCCATGGTGGCTACGAGCGCTGGCGGAGATATGGCTATCCACATGGACCATATGGCCAAGTGTTCTTCTACTATCACGTAATGCCAGAGTCCAGCGACAGCCCCTGTCATAATTTTGCTGGCCTTGGGGAAATTCTGCTACTTCGCAGATCCTGGGGAACAAACTGCGTCTGGTACTTGAAGTCAAAATTGGAGCGAATGTTGCAACTGATGGCAAATTATCTGGAGCTTCAACAAGATTTGATGAATTCGGCCAATGGAAGACCAAGGAGAGGGCTATACAAATATTTCCAGAACTCGGACGTGGAACGAGGTTTGCAAAGACTGAGGAACTTTTTCGGTCTTCAAACTCAGTCTGACGATGAGGATTGAACACCCTGGGAAGTAGATGCTCCTGGATCTTGAGAACAAGCGTATGAGTGAGAGAATGGCAGAGGAACAGGATGGGCGATAGCTATGGGCAGGTGTGATGCTAAGCATACTGCATTGGAAGGATATGCATCATTTCTATCTATAATTTCATCGGTCATTCATATCAGTCGCTCTAAATCACAAGTCTCCATGAGCGGCTATGTTTTCTTGGCAAATTTCTTATGCCGAGAAAGAACCAAGCAAGTATAAGGATACTCAATCCTCAGAGGCCAACAAGGGCCTTCTTTCCGCTTCGGTTGGAGGCTTTGGATCCTCACCCTCTCGAAATCTAGTTTTTGTTAGCCAGCAGTTCGTGGTGCTTCTCAATTATTGAAGACTTACTTTGTGTAACCGATGAATGAAAGTAACCAGAAACAACCCAAGTAAGTCAAAGTCCACTCTAGGAACCCAGAAATCCTGTAGCGTCCAGTGTACATGAAGACGACAAATGATACACCAATACCCATTTGGCAGACGACCAGGAATGTGTTGAAGAGGCACCTGCCCGTGTTAGCAAGCCCGACAAAAACCTGAGAGTCTCTTCTTTCATATTGAGGGAACATACCACTTTCTCAGCCCAGCCCAACGTGGCGGTCCCCAGATTTGATCCCACCACACGGCCGTCGTAAGGATGGCACTGAGACCCAACCCGGCAAACGTGCCCATGAGCAGATACCGATGCCGAACATGGGCATCCACAGTATCATAGACACTGAGGAAGAACAAATTAAACGCGGCCGCCAACCCAGCAACCAAGGCAGCAAAGCTAGTGAACTGGCGCCAGGGCGCGTCCGAGACGAGACCATAAAACTCGGGGCTGTAGCGGACGTGGTGGACGGCAAAGACGGTGCCGGCAAACGCGACGCCGACAATGGTGCACCCCGTGACGAACACTGGCTTAAAGGTAAAGGCGGCAATGTCGCTGATGAAGGGCACGTCGGGGTTCACCTGTCCCGGGTATCGCGGTTGCCCAATGGCGAACCACCGGATCAGCAGGATGCTAAGAGTAATGAACCAGACGCCGCCCGCCACGAGCGGGAATAGCCAGAGGTGGTGAGAGGCGCGCGTGTCCTTGAAGACGTGCGGCCAGGTGAGGCGAGACATTTTTGCCGAGTTCTAGAGTGGAATTCCAAGTGCCTTCTGATGCTGTCACGATATTATTGTTATTGGTTGGGCGACTATAGTGAGCAATTCGAGTATTTGGGTTTCACAATGCATGTGGTTGCAAAAGAAGAATTGTGCTAAACAGAGGTGTTGATTAGTGCCCGTCTGCCATGTATATGCCTCGTCTCGGAGTTTGAATGTTATCGTTCAGGCTGCAATTGAACGCGAGCATGTGAGATCCGGGTGCGTCATCTAGCAGTTTGGGTGGAGTGGGCCGATGCATTCAACAATACGGTATCCATATCAATAAAAGATGGCTGGAATTTCGGCCACCATCATGTCCGTCTAGGTTAGTTGATTCTGATTGATCAAACGGCTATTCGCTGGTTCCAGATCGCTGTGAATGCACTGAAGCTATTGGCCCGGACGGTCTGGTCCGGGACAAATGTTGCCTGTCCCAAATTTCATCTCGAGGTTCTATGCTGCAAAATACAGAATTGACTTTTTAAACTTTTTGGTAGAGGATCATATTGTATACTAAGCAACGGCTGGAATGCTTTTTATGTTTTTGTAGCGTAAACTGATGGTATATGACAGATTCGCATGTCTGTAGTCATTGTGTATCGTGGACAAATGTTAAGTCGCAACCATCACCTTTCCAAATTGGCGCTTTTTGTCGTGATGTGATTGCAATACAGTGCACCGTTGTCGTATTGTCGTACACCCGCTCCACCACTCTGCTTTGGGGGGAAAGATATGAAAGCACGACCGTGATCCATGATAATCTTAAGGCCTCATTGGTATCTCTTTTTAGTATCTTCGTGCACGTCTTCCCACAGATGGTCGCCCAACGCTCAGCAACTCGTTCAGGATCATCCAAAACCACAATGATTTGATGTGGCCCCAAGCCCATTGCTTGTATGATCTCGGCGTCGCATGCCAGCCGACGAGCCACAGGCCCGCAATGACACCAATGACCACGCTGCGGCGCAGGTACTCGCTGGGGCCAAACTCGGCCAGGCCCAGCAAGACAGCCTCGCAAATGGCGTAGGGCCAGTAATGGGCCGACTGCCAGATGAATACGGTGCTGCTGGCGGGGGCGTCGCGGTCGATCCGGCCGTTGCGGATCTGGGGGCCGGAGCTGCCCACCGGCAGCGTGATGGCGAGGGCGTGGCCGAGTCCCGCGATCCGCCACTGAAAGTAGCATGCGCAGAGCAACACAATGCCGGCGCAGAGGCTGTCGACGAAGAAGGCGCCGTTCACATTGAGAAACCAGCTGACCGGGTGAAAGGGAATCGCGGCGCTGTAGAGAAGGATGGCGAGGGCCACGGCCGATGCCTTGCGCAGCGTCCTGTCAAATTCGCTGGGCGGGCCGTGATATGTGGTGTAGGGGGCCTTTGGAGGATCGCGAGGAGGGGGAGGGGCGTAACTTTCTCGAGCCTGGGTTGACTCGGGGCCGTTGAAGGCGGCGTCGACAAAATCAACGCGAGCCATTGTACAGAAGTAGGCTTGATCTCGTGTTAATTGGGCTTAAAACAGAAGAAAAAGATGCACGTAGCAATTATGATTGTTTCCAACGATAAAATCTTCAGTAGAGGGAAAGGGAAAAGGCAGAAAAAGGCAGAAATGGTCAAGCAATATTTATTATTGGATGCATCATTGGTCTTTTCTGGAAATATCCATGACATGATTACTACTTAAAGTCCACAGCTGCTGCCTTGTGGGTGCCTATTGAGTATGGAGTACAATGTATTCTGTAGTACAGGCTGCGCTGTTCAAAAGCAATATTCTTTCTTTGCTATTCTAGGCGCCCTGAACCCCTAGTCTAGACCGGCGCAGGCTGCCAAAGTGGCCCCCAGTGGCTCAATTAACCTTAGATGGCATAAGCCTCGACGATTTTTTTCGGCCCCGCAACAGCCTCATTTCGACTTCGCCTGAAATTCGTTTAATTCAGGATGACCAACTGGCCTATGGTCGTGTTCGTTGCCATGTCGGACAACTCCTGAAGGAGGCGCCAAGACGTTGCTCGTTGTGCCCGGTCCCGTGCTGATTCGCCCGAGCTGACTCGCCACTCTGGTTCATACATGCGTTGCACTGGCCATGGCTACACAAAAGTAGAAAGCAACATGGATAATGAAGGAACCTCATGCATAGCTTCGTGTTTCGCTTTATATAAAATGTCAATACATACTCCTCGTCGATTGTTTCCTCCCCACCGTTTTAGATGGCAGCTCGGTCGACACCTCGACGTTTCGCGTCTTGTCCCTCAATGGATCGACCTGCTCTATCACATAATCGTCCATGTAATGCATCTCCTTCTTTGTGAGATTATGTTGGCTCGACATGCTTAGCGTGCGACTGTTGCTATCCTGCAGCTCGATCTCGTCGTCGCCCTCCTCCGAGAAGCGGCGCTCTCTCGTGATTTTGATTTCTTGCGTCACAAATATCTGGTCCATTCGCGCCGTCAGGGCCGGCCAGAATACCGGAACGCATGCGCATATGCTCGCTGCGTTGACTTCCATCATGCCCAGCACTATCACTGGCACTCCGTACCACGTCGGATCAAAAACCGGGTCGGTCGCTGCTTTGTGTTCGATGCAAGCAGCCAAGCGCCAAATAGAGACGCCGCTTACCCTGTCCTCACGTTAGCCCAGCCGAGAACTCAAGAGTGCAGTTGCCGCCTTACAGTGTTCCAGCACCAAAAAGCATCAGTAATCTCCTCCTTGTCGGCCCCGTCGTGGTGCTACGAAAGTACAACGGCATCGGGATGGCCAGCACGCAAAAGTCCAATACCATGTTGGTCACGGCATGGCTGAAGTATGCCCCGTAGAATTGTGTTGCGTGAAGGGATGCAAATGCCCAACAGTGACCACCACCCGAAGTCCAGTTCCAGTAAATATGGATGGGCTTGCAAGGAAACCAAGTCAATATGGTGTACGCGGCGCCCCAAAGGCATGTAATAACAAGAATCACAATGCAGATGATGCGGTGGCAGCCACTTTTGAATATCCTCAAGTACTGGAAAAGAAGCGATGCCTTGACCAGCGCGGTCGACATGGCGTATGATGCGTTGGAGACATAGAAGGACTGCAAAGATGCAAACATCATGTCAGTTTGTACGGTACTATGATTGGACAGTGTTGCCTACCTTGAGGAATGCGACTAGATTATCCTCTTCTAGTTCTAGAAGATGCTTGCCTAGCCCATATTTGGCGGCTATACCGCGTCAACAACTGCGACTTGTATTATACCATGCTCTGAAGTCTTACCTAGACAAATTCCTATCGCATTGGCAGTCCCCGATAACTATGCTCAGCTCGTTAGTTGATACTGTCTATGCATAAAGGAAGCTCCACATAAAGTATGGAATAGGCTTACCAAGAAAACCAGTACAAGTAGATCGTCCCATCCTGGAGCTTTGATAATTCTGATTCTCGTGTAGAGCCTGGACACGACACATATCCACGATAACAACTACACTCTCTGATTAGAAATCGTGTTCGGACAGGAAGAGATCAGATTATACACTCACAAGAAAAGAAATGCTCAGGCCAATGATGAGCTCTTTATGGTTCCATGTTGGCGTCGGTTCAGCCGAATTGTCGTACCCTCCCAGAATGGAGAGAAGCACGTCTTTATCCGCCATATAAAATTCTTGGGTTCGTCGGTGGCTGTCGATGATATTCGAAATCACGGAGCCATTGCTCAGTGTCGTCGACAATCTGCTGCTACAGCTTTACCATTTGTCCGGCTGCTGATGAGTGCCGTATCGCGGCAGGATGGAAGCATCGATCGAAAAAGAGAGCAGAGATCACCAGGGGCCAGCCGCGTGGGATGATGGGATTATACATACAAACTACCAGTATGGAGTACCTATCTGCAAATCGACCCCAGGCTTGCCCAGCGTTTTTTTAATTCTGGAGGATGCGTTCTTTGCATCCGCGGGGCGGCCGATTAGCATGCCCATCATGCACACTGAGAAAAGCCCAGCCTGTAGGAAGACTGCCTCTAGCCTTGCGGATATAGCAAGCGACCAGGGTCCCTAGAATGCTGGGCCCTGCAACCGTTCTGAACAGTGGGTCGTCCTATCGTTGGTGTTGATCAATTTCCGAGCCAGTGTTGCTGAAAGGGGCCAATTCTTGAAATCTTGGCCCCTCCATCTCTCTGCATGCTTGGCATGGGTCTGTCCTCCCTGCCATGGTCCCCCTTTTTTTTTTTTTTTTTTTTCCCAAAAAGAGCCAATATTCTAGGCGACGATGGAGAGAAACCAACGTCAGACAAGCAAACAGGCCTCAGAATGGATGAAAAGGCGACCGAATATCAAAAGGAAAACGCGGAACAGGTTCCCGAAGGATCAAAAAGTCGCACCGTTGCGCCAAACTGCTGCGGAGTCGTATCAGCAAAGTGATTAGACCGATTGGCATGGACAAACTTCGTACCTGGCCAACTTGCATTCATTCATGCATGGGGAGCCCTGGCTGGCATATGCAGTCAGCTCAGTAATTTGAACAAGAGCCGTTATGTGCTACACCATACACACTTCAGATTATCCATGCCTACACAAACAACTGCCGCGTGGTGGCGAGCAAACACTGACTCGATGACCCCCCCCCGGGGGTCGACATGCCTCTTCGTAGATAGACAATCTTGCAAGTGCCTGGTGCTTGCAATCTTCTCCAAGCACTACCAGGTCGAGTCAATAGTTCCGGCATTGTCGCTGGGGGTCAAGATTACTAATGGTCTGAGCCGGGGATTAGCCTTGAGCTGAATCATACATGATACCAGCCAAGCTGACTTTGAATGACATAACGCTCGACGATCAAAAGGGAATCTGCTCCAGATAGACACTAGTTGACTAGATATCGTACCTTGAACTCAGCTCAAATATGATATGATCCTGAATGGGGACCCCTTGGCAGGCTTGTTGAGATGCCCATTAGTGAGTTTGATGCTAATGCGTCCACCTGCAAACCGCACGACTCGCGGAGCCCTCTCCCCCCAGTAAAGTGCTTCCTTCAGCTTCACGATGCCTGGCAAATGTGTGAGGGATCCAGTTGCCAGACAGTCGGATGCCTGTTGCCCTAGCCGCGTATTATTGTAACCCGAACGGTGGAATGTACCCACACGGAGGCTCAATAATAGCGTACTGATCGTACTGTCTGTCTGTTGTAATACAGGGCTTGCACGGCACTACATCATAGCCGCGTTGTTTATCAGATGACGGCCATATTATAATTGGACCGTGAAAGATCCACCTGACAATCGAAATTCAGGCTGGATCGCGAAAAAGAAAAACACACAGCACAGACTCGAAAAGAGGCGGAACGATTTGAGAATTGGGTGATCTTTGGTTGGAGGGGGACATACGGCGGGTCAGACTAGTCGGGGATAGAGAGAAAAGTAAGAAGAGAAAAATATTGTTGGCAAGTCTGCGATGTGCCCCCCACTAGCCGAACCAATCCGGTGAAATCCCATTCCAGAGGGGGGGGGGCGATTTGCAGTCCCCCCATCAAGCCCATCTTAACCACTAAAGGGAGGGGCGCCCCGTTCCATTCGCTGGGTACGCACCTGAACCTGCACTAAAACGTCCTTGGAATCGCCCTAATCCACTCCCCGTAATGGGCCGCTAGCATCGCGGAAATCGCCATCTTTGGAAAGATCACGAACCAGATCCTGGCCCTCCCTCTCTTGCTGTGTAAGTACACAGTAATGGCCCCAACGGTTTGACAGGGAACACGAGTCGAGTTATGATGCCACTTTTGCGGTCGAGAACTTGTCCTACTCTAGTTCTCGTCACTTTATCTTTTTGAATGAAACATACTAGGCCGATTAGAAGAACTAATTGACCCCTCGAGTGATGTTTTAAACGGTTTAGTATATCTTTTCGGCCGAGAATCGGCTTCGGGAATAGTAGACTGGAATGGGGGCTCGACTGAATGTACGGTCCATTTAGCCAGTGACCAACGAGACCTGGACAAACCTCTCAACTACGGTGTCCCTTGCTTATGAAGTCTGTTCTGCTCAGCCTAAACCATTTAGGTTTCATAATATTCCGAAGTTCAGGTTCGCCTGTTGCCGAAGATGACAAGGGGGGAGTGTCTACTCCATCCTGTTCCAGCTTGACAATCATTCCGACAAATCGTCACAGGGATTGAGCAACGTCTATGGTATCTTTGATCATCAGCAGACCCCAACTCGATCGTTTGATAGAGCACTATTCCAACTTGCGGTGTGCTCTGGGTATTCCGGAAATACGTAGAACCATTCCAAAATTTCCAAGGGTCCCAGAAGTCGTTATGCCAGTGAGGAAAGAAAGGTCGGCCAATGGCACTGCCACGATCTTGGACAGAGAACAAAGAAGACATCCACTCCTTAGCAATTGTCCCTGATTCGGTCCTTGGAAAGTTTGCTTGAAACAGCCTGGTCGACTCCATCTTGGCGAAGAACCAAGACGCAAGACGAGATGCGTATAGTTCATGCGTATCGTACGGTTCAACTACGAACTGCATTCTGCTTCTTGTGCCCGAAGTGACTCTACCGCCAGGGATTACGTGATTGCTCTCATGCTCCCCTTGTCTAGCTTGATGATTTACTTTTTGACATTCTGTCATCGACCTCCGACGTCAAGGCTGTGCAAATCTCGCTTATTATACTTGGGTATTTGGCAGATGTGTATGTCTTTCATGTTTCGGTACATTTTATATCATCCTCTTTGCGCAAACTGGGGCTGCGATGGAAGATCTGATCAATGTCCGGATTCTTCCAGTGCTATTGAAAGGGATCATTGGCACGCAACAAATCAGAGTTATACAGAATAAATGATCAAGCATACGTAGTGCCCAATCTAAAAGGCCATGGCTCACTAGTTATGCCAATAATGGCTTTGTGCAGCCAAAGACAAGATTTCAAGTCAAAGTAGGATGACCGTCATCAGGATAATTGGCACTGTCTGAAAAAAATTACAATATTAGTTTCTCGAAATAACTAATTCCGAGCAATGTTCCTACTCGCTCATAATACTCCTGACATCTGGAACTCGGCCATTTTTACTTCATCTTGTGCCACCTCATGCACACAGACAGGATCCACGCAATGCTGACCGCTGCTGAACAGGCGTAAAACACAGTCTGTATGGACGATGAAAACACACTCAAGAGCGGTTCAATCAAATCATCTGGAACAAATTCCCGAATCCGATCAGGCATAGCGAGCGCCTGCGTAACCGCCGAGATTTGGTCTCCTGTCAACTTGCCGTCCAGTTCCTCCACTCTGTACAATATTTGGGTATTCAATACCGATCCTCCCAGTACGAGGCCCAGCGTTCCGCCAAATAGCTGCACCATCAACGCTACCGAAACGATAAAGGACTGGTGCTTGGGCGCTGCCCAGCTTTGAGAAAAAACAATAGCCAGGGTCTGCGACGCTCCGAATCCCACGGCGGATATGATGCTCAGAAGGCCTGCATGTAGCGGTTCTGTGTATTCGTTCATCGTGGTCAGGAGAAAGGTGCCGACCACTGCGAGTGTCGATGCTACAAGTATGATAATGTTGGCGTAGGGCAGCCACATCATGGAGGCACCGGTCGCGATGCTCGAAAATCCTGAAGCCAAAAAGAAGGCCAAGAGAGATACTGCCGCGTCGAAAGACGACAGTCCCTTTACGGTCTACCCATCGTTAGCCCCAGGTACCCAGATTACCAATGGGTGGTGTCTTACCTGGAAATATGTCGACAAATAATAATATACGCCATACATGGCAAACATGACAAAGAAGCCAAACGCCATCAGCAGCGACACATCGCGATTGAACAAGCCGCGGGGCAAAAGCCTATTGTCGGGATCATCGTACTTGATCTGCTGCAAGACAAAGCACGAGAACATGAGGACCGACACGGCCAAACAGGCAATGACCGGAGCCGACAGCCATTGATTGTTCTGCGCCGCCAGCTGGATCCCGATCAACAGCAACACGCTAAACATGGACAGGAAGCCAAAGCCGAAAAAGTCGAACCGCCGGAGATGTTCGCTTGCCGGCAGGCCGTCCGTCTCTCGCGGCGGCTGCTCGTAGGCTGCGGCAATCAGGCCTACAGACACAATAGCGCCGAAGATGGTAAAGGCAAATGCCCACCCTAATGAGTCGAAATGTGTCAGCATCTTAGTCGTTGACTAAACGTGTACAAGTGCCCAGTACGATCCAGCCACGGATGACAAGTCAGTGGTTATTTTCCGGGGCAGAATCTGGGACTGGGAAACAAGTTCTCAAAACCAGACCCCTGCAGAAGTTGAGAAAAGTGCAAGTCTTGAGTACTTACGATAGTCCATGTTGGTTTCCAAGTAACCACCGAGCAGCGCGCCGAAAGCCAGACTGATCACGTCGACGCCCACGCACGATGCCATGTACGTGGCCCTCTCCTCGGGACTCGTGATATCAATCAGTATAGTTGCGCAAAGAGGAACGCCCGCTGCAATACCAATCCCCGTTACCACCCGTCCTATAATAAACACTGGGGCTGAGCTTGCTATTATGCATATCACGGAACCGACTTTTTCAAAAAGTGAGCCAAGATTTCGTCGATATTTACCTGAACAGAACTTACTGGTGAGGACGAGACCATCAAACAAGGCCATCCACCGCAAGTTTGTTACTTGTGCCAACTTTCCGAATCCAATGTACAAACATGCCTGCGGCAAGAAGTACGCTGCTGAGAACCATGCTATCTGTGGGAGACTGTCGAATTTGCGACACAAGGCAGGCACAATTGTTGCTTGTGTTACAAGTCAGTATAGCAAGAGCATAACTTGTCGACGAGTATGCTTACTTATGACCGTATCATCAAATCCTTTCTGTTTGCAGTGTCAGCTTCAAATGTACAACATGATAGGGGAAGAGAAAAAAGCAAGGTTTATGATTTTACTTACAAATAACCAGGCAAGCATCAACCCCACGAAAACGATGACCCTCTTCTTGTCCTTGTAGAGAGGAGGTCGCGGGGCTACCTCGAGTTCCTTGGTGGACAATTGGATAGACGGCGACGGAATGTCTGTCCATGGGTACCGTTCTCTGAATGTGGCCGGGTCCAAGATGAGGTGCTGCGGGTGGCCTCGCTTCGGATCGCCTCTTTCGATCTTGACTGCGATGCCCTTTTGCAAAAGTTCATCAAACGACACTGCAAACTTGTCAAAGTCTGGCAGCTCGAGTCTGGGACTGTTCATGGTCGGTCGTCGTCAAGATGGCAAGGAAAAACCCTTCCCCCTTTCCAGACCTAGAAAAGAAGACGAATGGGAAAGAAGGAGAATCAAATCAAAAGTCAAAGTCCAATGGGATTGGTGAGGTTGGCCCAAGCAACGCGTGGGCGCGAGGGCAGAGGGGAAGTGGTGTCCTTTTAATTTTTGGTATTCCTTCAATAAAACCTCTTGAGCCGCGGGTGGTAAGTAAGGGAGGGGGGGACATTCAAACGAAAGACCGGGTTTTCGGTTCTGCGGACTGGGCTTTTCTCCAGGATCTCGGGGGATTAATTCTCTCCCTCTTAGATTGAAGCTACCGTGACTTCCCGTCGTCGCAATCTATCTATCTGGCTCCGAGGATGATGATAGGTCTGTGTGGGAGTAGGTATGAGGCTTATGATGTGGATGGGCAGATGGAAAACGTGGGAGGGTTGGGTCAGGTTGGGTTGATCTCCCGCACACTCTTTTTTTTTTTTCTTCTTCTTGTTCCATTCTACCGCACGACGACCGTGGACGTGGCCCGGCACGCGTGCGCCCTGCGAATGCCTCACATGGTTTCGTCGGCGGGTAGCAAAAGTCATGTCATTGTCGTCGTGGCGAGATGACAATTGTGTGTTATAGTCGGTGTTTGTTAATAGTCTAGGGGACCCATATGCAAGTCCCATTAAGCCACCGCCGAAGCTGCCTAAAGAGGCAAGATGACGATCGCTGTATATTCCGGTTCAGGCTAAAGGCTTCCTCAAACGGCATGGCTCCGAAGGACAAATGTCGCCATCCATGCTATTCAATCAATATATATTGGACAACCATATGACACGAATTCATGCGATTGGCAGCCGTTGACGAAGTTGGGGTTTGGTGGTTGTATTCCGTGAACCGTTCAACGGCACAACTCTCGGCAGGGCGGAGAAGTGGTCCATTGTGTGCCGTCAGGCATTCCATTCAAAGGCCGGGATGGGGGGACCACCTCCTCTGTGACTTGGTGTAACTCGACCGTGCCGGTAGATTATTATCAAAGTAAAGAATAGTATCTTCCATTCGCCCTTGAGTGACTTGGTCCAGAACACGTTTTCTGGTGTTTTGCGAAGTTCGTGCTCTGGATCGTGGACACGTGGGTTGCCGCCAACCCTTGCATTCGCCGCACCTGTCAACGGTGTCGTAATACTTGTTGCAGCGTCTGTGGGTGCGTCGAGATCTTATGCATACGGCCAGGGTTGCAAATGATCCCCTCCCGTGCCTCCTGCACCCAAGATTGGTGGACAACTTGTGGCACATGTTTTCCGACTTCTGACGTCGCTGCCTTTGGCAACATTATCACATCATGCCTGATGTTGATCAACATTGTGAACGAGATAAAGGGTTGCACGCCGATACGGCATACAAGATCACATGCCTGTGAACAAATTTTACAGCATGCATCAATCAGCGTTCATCTATAAGCGCGGTTGTCTCGAACACAACTACCGAGTGACTAATCACGTTGCGTGCAGTGAAAGGAGTTGACGGACTGGATAACATCAGGAATTGATCCAAGAGATGGTTTAATAATTATTCGCGTCTTGAGTTGTCTCGTATACCAAGACTTGAATGTGCATATAAAAGCGATATAAATTTGAAGTCCTACTATTGGATACTCAAGCCTGACTCCACCAATGCAGATTGTATTCGTGTTGCTTACCTACATTTGCCAATTCCCTCGGCTTATTATTACTGTCAGAATTTCCCCTTGGACACGTAGCCGAGAACCATCTTCTGTTGCATCTCAAATTTCGTTGTTGTAAGGAAGTGAATGGTTGTCATATACGGACGTAAACGTCCGCTTCGAGTTTGCTATTTAAGGACCGTGATTCTAAAAAATATTGTGATTTGGTCGCACAGAAATTCTAGATGTGTCAAAACGTAGGTAGGTATAGGGATATATTATATATTTTCACGCATTCTGCTCGGAATCCTTGGACAATGGCCGATCAAGATATGGAGACCTTGGAAAATCGAAGCCCGTCAAGGGCGCTTCAATGATGCAACATCTTGCTGAGTTCACGGTTTCGTAAAACAATAAGCCCGAGGGCCTTGATTTTCCTTTGTATTCATATTTGTTTTGGTCCCGTCGGGTGACTCGCGCAAAGCCATGGTTTGGAGGAGGAGAAACGTAGGCAGGGTCTGGCGCTACAATTGAACTGTATCAGATATGATCCGACTCTAAGAGGACAGCGGATATGACATTCAAGGCAGGATCCGTGAGAAATGAATTTAATTCTCAGCGGGCATTTATAAATAATACAATCATCAATTTGCTGATCTTTGACAAAGGGTTGAATGCTCATGTCGAGTTCATTCTTACTCTTCTAAGCCGAGGGAAGACACTTATCGCAAGCCGATGCAAACCGCCATGGCAAGTGAATATGGCACGAGCACTCATGCATCTAACCGTGATAAGTCGCTTAGATGGGGTCGCCCGCACCTCTTTGCGAAACAGACGTCACTTCTTCTATTCGGGTGCATTCGTCGATTGCCATCGTATCAATCCATCACGTCAAATCGAAACTTGCCTGATTGCAAGTGACAAAGGCAGAATAGACAGACGGATTGGGCGCTGCTGCTATTCCGCAATGAGCCCACGATGGCGTCGCTACGTCCAATGATCCGACTAGCCCGCACCCGAGCAGCTCCAGCTCCAGCTCTCTTCCGAGCACGACAACTCCGAAAGTATGCGACCGCTTCCGACGTCAACAACTCAGCCCAATTGCCCGACAACTACGTGCGCATCGTCGAAGTCGGACCTCGAGATGGCCTTCAAAACGAGAAGAAGTCCATTACACTGGCAACCAAGCTCGAGCTTATAGAAAAGCTCTCCAAGACAGGCTTATCCTTCATTGAGGCAGGCTCGTTTGTCTCGCCAAAATGGGTGCCGCAGGTAGGTTGAGCGCTATCTAACTTGTCTGCCGCGGTCAAGCAGAAGGCTGTAGATTGGCATCCACTGACCGTGACCCGCGTGTAGATGAGCAACTCGAGTGAGATCCTGGAGCACGTACTAGCATCACGGATCCCGTCACCTGTTCCAATCACATACTCTTTCCTTGCGCCGAATGCCAAAGGCGTGGAAAACGCAACCGCCATCCTGCAAAAGAGCCCCGATGCGTACCTCACTCAAGCCCAATCTATTGCCGGTGCAGATAACAGCGGCAAGCCTGCTCTGGAATTGGCCGTCTTCGCCGCAGCGACCGAGAGCTTCTCAAAGAAGAATCTAAACTGTGACATTGCTACATCGCTCGAGAGGTTTAGAGATGTTATACAAGGGGCCAAGAATGCAGGAGTTCGGGCTCGCGCCTATATCTCGGTTGTGCTGGGTTGTCCCTTCGAGGGTTACGATGTGAACCCTCACAAAGTTGCAGAGATTGCAACCTCACTTCTTGAAATGGGCGCCGATGAAATTTCGCTCGGGGATACCACGGGCATGGGCACTGCGCCTCGTACCAAGGAGCTGCTGAGCTGCATGTCGGCTGCTGGTATACGCAATGAAGATATTGCCATGCACTTCCACGACACATATGGCCAAGCACTTGTTAACACCGCCATCTCTCTGGAACATGGCATCAGGACTTTTGATAGTGCAGTAGGCGGCCTAGGCGGCTGTCCGTACAGCCCTGGAGCCACTGGCAATGTGGCCACTGAGAACATGGTCTACTTCCTGGAGAGCCTCGGCATGGAAACTGGTGTTGACTTGGATGCCGTTTCTGACATTGGCCAATGGATCACTGGGGAGATTGGCAAGCCAAATGATGCTGCCGTCGGAAAGGCCGTCCTAGGCGCTCGTCGTGCTTCTGGATCAGCAACGGCAAAACTGTAGGTCTGTATGTTGTAGTATGTCTACATGGCTGTAAGGTAGTGGCATTTTCAACTTTAGGACATAAATGCCCTGTGCATAAGAAATGAATAAATATCAAAATTGAAAGCAATGCCACTTGTATTAAATTATCTTGACATATCATAGAAATACCTAGAGCATGACACGAAACCATTATATATCCACTTGTTAGAACAACTTAACGGTAGTGGTAGCAACCAGTGTAGCACCACACACCGCTTTTACATCACTGGACTTTCATCGTCTTGCGCATGCATTGTCCTTGGTTTGATGCAGGCGCAATACAGACGGTTGAATTCAATTAAGAATTATAATCAAATCAACTTGAAATAACAACAACTATTTCTGTTTAATGTGAAAGAATACGCATGTTCTTGGTCGTGTTTCACTTGCAATCAGTGGCTGCGCTTGCCTTATCACAAGCAAGCTCGACACCCAAAACGGTTCTAGCGCGGGCGGTGGCTGTGCCATAACAACGTCAGTCAGTCGGCCAATGCAAGCAAGCAGCTCACACCCCAGTTCCAAGCTAGCTATCATCAGGTCAACCTAAGTTCAACCTCCACCGACGACGACATTCTTGAGCTTCGAGCTCACCGAATTCACTACCCGTTATCCGTCAGATCCTCTCTACCTACAACAATGGCGGACCCCCGCGAGTCGTCGTCCTACTCCATCGTGCCGCGCATTCGGTACAACACCGTCGGAGGTGTCAACGGACCGCTGGTCATCCTCGAGGGTGTTAAATTCCCGCGATACAATGAAATTGTCAACCTCACACTGCCCGATGGCACAGAGCGGTCTGGTCAGGTCCTGGAGGCCAGAGGTCAGTTCAGCTGATGACTTTCTCCCGTTTTGAAGCCATTCTTTGCGAAACCCATGTGCTTACGACCCTTGTTTGAATAGGTGACCGCGCAGTCGTCCAGGTGTTCGAGGGTACATCGGGTATCGATGTCAAGAAGACAAAGGTTGAGTTCACAGGCCAGAGCTTGAAGCTCGGTGTGTCCGAGGATATGCTGGGTCGTATCTTTGATGGATCAGGACGAGCCATCGACAAGGGCCCCAAGGTCCTGGCCGAGGACTACCTCGACATCAACGGTCAGCCCATCAACCCGTTCTCGCGAGAGTACCCCGAGGAGATGATCTCGACTGGTATCTCCACTATCGATACAATGAACTCGATTGCCCGTGGTCAAAAGATTCCCATCTTCTCTGCTGCTGGTCTGCCGCACAACGAAATTGCCGCCCAGATTTGTAGACAGGCTGGCCTCGTCAAGCAGGCCCAACAGCACGGCATCACCAACAAGGGAACCCACGACGGTCACGAGGAGAACTTCTCCATTGTCTTTGGTGCCATGGGTGTCAACTTGGAAACCGCTAGATTCTTCACTAGAGACTTTGAGGAGAACGGTAGTCTGGAGCGTGTCACTCTGTTCCTCAACTTGGCCAATGACCCTACCATTGAGCGTATCATCACGCCTCGTCTTGCTCTTACCACTGCCGAATACTACGCCTACCAGCTCGAGAAGCACGTTCTCGTCATTCTTACCGATCTGTCAGCTTACTGTGACGCTCTTCGAGAGGTCTCGGCTGCCCGAGAGGAAGTTCCTGGACGTCGTGGTTTCCCTGGTTACATGTACACTGATTTGTCGACCATCTACGAACGAGCTGGACGTGTCACTGGCCGAAATGGATCCATTACCCAGATTCCCATTCTGACCATGCCCAACGACGATATTACGCATCCTATTCCTGATTTGACTGGATACATTACTGAGGGTCAGATTTTCGTCGACAGACAACTGCACAACCGTGGTATCTACCCGCCGATCAACGTTCTTCCGTCCTTGTCTCGTCTGATGAAGTCTGCCATTGGCGAGGGAATGACGCGCAAGGATCACGGTGATGTCTCCAACCAGCTGTACGCCAAGTACGCCATTGGTCGTGACGCTGCAGCCATGAAGGCTGTCGTCGGTGAGGAGGCCTTGTCCAACGAGGACAAGCTGTCGCTTGAATTCCTGGAGAAGTTCGAGAGAAGCTTCGTGGCACAAGGTGCCTACGAGAGCCGTTCCATTCACGAGTCGTTGGATCTGGCCTGGAGCCTTCTGAGAATCTACCCCAAGGAACTTCTCAACAGAATCCCCGCCAAGGTCATCCAGGAGTACTACCAGCGATCGGCAGGAAAGGGCAAGGAGAAGGAGAAGGACACCAAGAAGACACACCCAGAAGACCAGCAAGAGGAGAACCTCATTGACGCATAAAGCAGTGTATAGCATATTTAGTTAGTATACCGATTAGGATGGATGAGCCGTTGTCGACAGTTGTTTGCAATTGATACTTTCCGTTATTTTGATTCAAGACTATGAGTTCGGCTCAACACGCGATTTCGATGATCAAGGTTTTTGGTTGGAGTTTAGAATCAAGCATATGTTTGATCCAATGCAGATAAATAACCTAAATTTGATACAGGGAGAGAGAGAGAAAGGCCAAGCCCGATATGGTCACGAGACTCCATGACATCTGCCAATTATGGAAGCAAAATGATTATACAGTTTGGAAACACATATTTGTGACAGCTGCATAAGAAATGGTCCTAGATTGAAATTATACTTTCATAAATTGACTCGACACTTGCATTGCCCTGGCTCACATGACGATGCCAATGATGGTCGAGTCCCATGTCTTCGGACCGGACGGCTGAAGTTACCCGAACCTGGCAACCAGATTCCATTCAATGTTGTTGGTAGGTATTGCGGTACGGAATCAGCTGGATGCTAGAGTATACCATACATTAGGTACATCTGGATCCAGTATTTGTAGTGGTAGAGATCAAGCCTCAAAGGTAGCAGCAAGGCAGCAGCAAGGTATGCAAGGCTAAAAGGCGCAGATAGTGTTTTTGCTCGGCTTGCTCGGTGTAACAAGCACCAAAAAAGAACGATGCTGACGACGTCCACAAAGATCTCTCGCGGGCGGCTCGTGGGTTAGCCCGCCCAGCCACCAGCCACCATGACCGCACTGAAAAGCCCACGCGGGGAAAGAAATGGGGCGAGCACACAGATGCCGGGGGTCTTGGGTCTGGTGTATTACTGCGCCAATTGGAATGCCAGCAGCGAACCCCGCATAAGTGAACAAGAGCCGAATAAGATTGTTGTTGCATGGGGATTCACAGGGAACTTGTCGAGTTCTTCTCATGTATTCCATATGGCGGTATGTAAATGCACGCAAGTATTGTGGTATGTAGGCAAAGCGCGATCCTTCCGTGCAACGTACCGAACATACACACATAGGATGTACGTATGCCACACCCTCAGATGTTAATCTCTCCATTATGTATGTCTTTCCCCGAATCTGACGACATCAATCGAGCTGCTTCAGTCCATGTACCAGTCCTGCTCACACATGTAATGTACACGAGCTGAGGTTTGAGAAATCTGCAAGACATCAAATGCTCGTGGCTGTTTGGGATCTATCATGTATCTAGTGTCCAGTAGGGTAGCATGGCTCATTAGGTACCTGAGCAATTGTGCATTCCTATTCCAATGTGCCCAACTAGCATCTGAACCAAGTGGATGAGTTGCAGAAGCCGTCTGCCATTGGAACGGCCAGTGTCGAGCACTTGTAAGGCACATGAGCACGCCAGACAGTCCAAACTAGGATTTCGAATGACGATCGTCTTCCTTCGCGCTGTTCAAACCCCAGATCAGATCCCCGCATCTCTGTCTACTTTAACACTACCTACCTTGGTCCCCCCTTTGAGCAGCAGCAGCAGCAGAAACGGCATCATTGACGAGGGATGACAGAACGTTAACAAGTCCCAACGGTGAGGAGAGAGGGAAGGGGAGAGAGAGAGACGGTGACTGGTGCGTCGGACTTTTGTTCAATGTTGGGTCTGCCAGCCGGATGCGAGGTCGAGCTGCATGCTTTTTGAAGTTTGCCCGTACCACGGCCATGGGTCAGGCTCGAGCGACATTGATCATGAGGACGGAAACGAGCCAGTCACATAAGCTGTCCCTGGGTCGTGACATGACTGCATCAACTCTGTAATCTTTTAATTTTTTTTTCTTTGCTGTCTCTTTCCACCTCCTGGGTCAGGGCTCGGCTTTCCGATCCCTACATGCCTACCTACTGTTACAGTAACTCAAGATACCTACTTACATATTAACCGTCACCCATCGACACCTACGTACGTACAACGGAGGGGGAGGGGGTTCTGGGCTGGCTGGCATGTACATGACGATACCACGTCGAGCCTCGTTCGTGCAGACCAAAAAGACCAGCCAGCAGCTTGTTTTCCCCGTTTGCACAGTTGCACCACATCATGTTTCCCCAATCTAAGCTGCACAAACGCACCACTGATCGTCGTGCGCTTCGAGGCTTACCCCCTTACCCTTGTCACTTTGGGGCCCGGCTTTACGTCGTCTACACCATTTACCCCAACTTTCCAGAGCGGAGTAGCTAGCTGCATGCATGCATGATGGCACCGGCGCCGGGGAGAAGCTTGACTTTTTCGTGATCAAAAGTCAACACTAGAAGGGACCCTTGTCGCTCATTATATGCTTGACTCTGCTGGCTCGGCTCCTTGCCGTCTATCTAATGTACTGATTCTGTTCCTGTCCAAGTTTTCTTTTGCCTTCTCCCTGGCTGGCGGAAGTGGTTTGTCTCGCTTACATTTTTCTGCTCCCCTCTGTGTGTGTATATAAGCACCCCCAATTGTCGCATTTGTTTTGTGTCTCTTGGCTTGGCCTCGACTGTACACCCTTCATCCAATTTGCTTTCCAACGGTGATCCCAAGCTCTGCAATAAGTATACCGTCCCAATGCGTTTCCCAACAGCAAAAATCGCCGCTTTGGGGGCATCGCTCATCCCAATTGCCTCGGCCCAGTCCAATTCTTCCACAGGCCCGGATGAGAATGGCATCTACTGGATCAAGAGCGAAGGCCTCACGGCTGGATTCATTGCTTACGGCGCTTCCATTAGCCACTTGCTTATAAACGACCAATATGGTATTCAGCGTGATGTCGTGGCCGGATTCGACAATGCCACCTACTATGGAATCGACAAGCAGCACAACCACTTTGGTGGCGTGCCTGGTCGCTATGCCAATCGCATAAAGAACAGCACCTTTGAGATCGACGGCGAGACGTACAAGGTCGACGCCAACGAGAACGGTGGTCTGGACACTCTACACGGTGGCTCAGATGGCTGGGACTACCGCAACTTCACCGTCGTCGCTTACACCGACGACTCCATTACCTTCTCCATTGTCGATCCGGACGGCAAGGAGGGCTTCCCCGGCGAGGTTGTCTCCTACATCACCTACACCGTTCACGATTGGACCTGGGATTTCAAGATGATCGCTCTCGCGACCACCAAGAAGACGCCCATCATGCTCAGCAGTCACACCTACTGGAACCTCGATGGGTTCGCCAACAATGAGACCAACCTGGTGCTGAACCACACCTTCTACCTGCCCTACAGTGGCCAGCGCGTTGGTGTCGACAATATTCTCATTCCCACGGGAGATATCCTCGCCAATCAGCCAGGCTCTGTCAACGACTTCTGGAGTGGCCCCAAGCAGATTGGCGCAGCTTTCGACAGTGGCGACGCCGAGCTCAAGGGTAACTGTGGATTCAACTGCACTGGATATGGTAAGTAATGCGTCCCTCGACAATGCTCCTTATTTGTTTGCTCCCCTTGTCAAATGAACCAATACTGACTTTGCCATCAGACAACTGCTGGCTCGTGAACCGAGAACAGAACGGCCCTTACGACTGGCGAACCGACGGATTCGTCGCCCAGCTCGCATCGCCCTGGTCAGGCATCCAGCTCGACGTCTACTCTGACCAGGAAGCCTTCCAGATGTACTCGTGCAACGGCCAAAACGGCAGCGTAGCGCTCAAGACGACGCAGGGTCTCTTTGACAATGCCGACTTCCCGCGAACGATTCCCCAGTACGGCTGCGTCGTGCTCGAGGTTGAGGACTGGATCGACGCCATTAACCAGCCCTCATGGCAGCGCGAGAAGAAACAAATCTATGAGCCTGGTGGTGACCCATACGTGCTGCAGGCTAGCTATGTCTTTAGCATCAACGGCACGAGCTCTTAAGAGATTTGTGTGTCTTTCTTGTTTAGCGAACCTTGCCAAAGAAGTATAAGAATAAAAATAAAATAAAAAAGGATCTAGGACTAGGGGATATAAGACGGAGAGATGCACTCGCACTCGCCCACCTCTATTTAGTTCGTGTCAAACAAACTTTAATATTTATTATAATTGAGACAATTTAACATGATGACCTGAAGGAAATCCCAATTTTTATGATTTTGTGGTTGTGTATTGGTTCATACCATGGCTATAGAGTATATTCTTTCAAGGGACACCCCGAGTTGCATAGCCTCGATTGATGCAATTTTATTGTTTGCCTCGAGCCACTGTGGATCCCACTTCTTTTGCCTACACACCACATGAAATTTTTTTGTTTTCGGCGACAGTCTCCCGACTTTCCAGCTGTTGAGCCTTATTATTTTGATTCTACGAAAGAGAAAATTTTCAGAGAACATTTGAAACCCGCCAGAAGTTTGGAGACAGGTTTGCGCAAAACTTTGACTACCGACAACGTCTTAGGGACGAGGGGCAAAACCATTCAAGAAGCGGGGCACATCTGAAAGCCATATCGCTTTCAAAGAATGGAAGACGACAGGGCACAAGCAGATCTCGGCATCGCTGCCGACATTGAGGAGGCTCAGGCACCAGAGCCGGTGCAGAGACAACCAAGAAAGAGGTTCGTCGGCCGACGCAAAGCCGGCGAGGGCTCGCGCAATGGAGGTGTACCATCAGTCGAGGATAGTGGGGCCATTCAAGGTCAGTTTGGGTCTTGGGAGTCTGGCTCTATGTTCAAAGTGCCAGACTGCCAAAGGAGATGGAATCCCATGTGCTGATGATATCATATAGTCGCACAACCGCGGAGGGCACCAAGGCTACTGAACCAGGTGCCGCCAGAGATCCTCAATGATCCGGCCCTCAACGAGGCCATGAGCCTTCTGCCATCAAACTACTCGTTCGAGATACCCAAGACCGTCCATCGCATTCGGACGTCGGGGGCCAAAAAGGTCGCGCTGCAGATGCCCGAAGGTCTTCTTCTTTTTGCGACCACTATTTCAGACATACTAACCGAGTTCTGCCCCGGGATCGAGACGCTCATCATGGGCGACGTGACCTATGGCGCCTGCTGCATCGACGATTACACGGCGCGGGCGCTCGGGTGCGACTTGCTGGTGCACTATGCACACAGCTGCCTCATCCCCGTCGACGTGACCAAGATCAAGACGCTCTACGTCTTTGTCGACATTAGCATCGACACGACGCACCTGCTCGCCACGCTGGAGCGCAACTTTGCCGCGCCCAAGACCATTGCCATTGTGGGAACGATCCAGTTCAACGCCACCATTCACGGGACGCGGTCGGCGCTCGAGCGCGCGGGCTTTCGCGTCCTGGTCCCGCAGATTGCGCCCCTGTCCAAGGGCGAGATTCTCGGCTGCACGTCGCCACGGCTGCCCGACTCGGAAAACGTCGACCTCATCCTCTACCTGGGCGACGGCCGCTTCCACCTCGAGAGCATCATGATCCACAACCCGGCCATCCCGGCCTACCGGTACGACCCGTACTCGCGCAAGCTGACGCGCGAGACGTACGGGCACGACGAGATGCAAGGCCTTCGGCGCGCGGCCATTTCCACGGCAAAGGGCGCCCGCAAGTGGGGGCTGATCCTGGGCTCGCTGGGCCGCCAGGGCAACCCGCACACCATGTCGCTCATTGAGTCCAAGCTCACGGCCGCCGGCATCCCCTGGGTCAACCTCCTGCTCAGCGAGATTTTCCCTGGCAAGCTCGCCCTCATGTCGGATGTCGAGTGCTGGGTCCAGGTCGCCTGCCCTCGTCTCAGCATTGATTGGGGATACGCTTTCCCCCGCCCCCTGCTGACGCCCTATGAGGCTCTCATTGCTCTCAATGAGAGGGAGGATTGGGCAAAGACTGGTGGTGTCTATCCCATGGATTACTATGCCCGCGAGGGTCTGGGCAGAACGAAGCCGTTATCAATAAGTAGCTGAGTCTGATACGTAAATAAATAAAAGTCACTATTTGAGAGATTTTTGGCAATAGTCAAACCTTTGCTCTCTATGCGGAATGTTGTTTGGCTGATCATGGCTGATAGCTTCTTGTTGAGCTGCTAAGCTGGCAATTGGTGCAGTGACATCAATTTATAAATTTTCGTCTGCGTGTTAATGGCCATATGGTCATTACAACATGCCAATGATTTTATGTGTAAAGGTAAGAAGGGCTGTGATCAGTCATCTAATTGTTCTTCGATGTGCTCACCAAGATATTCCCGTTTTGTGTGTATATCATCACCGCAGTACGAGCCGCGGCAGATTCTGGTAGGTACTGCAGAAGATTCATATCTGGTCTACACTAACGACTCCGTGCCACATGGGTTCTTGATGTCAGGTTTGAAAACAATCATGATGTTGAAGAAACAAATCAGATGCAGCCGTAGTCTGTCGCCAACTGCGGATTGTGACAAACCATGCACATGTGGCAGGCTATTATATCTAAAATGGTTTGGGACATCCAAGCCCTTTGGGAGGCTTAAAATTGCAGTGAAGTCGTGCTTTAACTACCCGTGCCCGTGCACGTTGTTAGGTGGTGGTGTTACTTGGTCACAAATAGTGGGGAAAACTACCCAACATCATTACGAGCTACCAGAACCAGTACATTCTTTCAACGTCCACACCCCGGCATGAGGCCACGCAGGGAAGTATCTTGTGATTGATTCTAACTCAATCTCTCGTTTACTACCAAACCCTCCAAAGGGTCCAGTGACGGGAGTATCTCAAAGTTTCCCCTGCGAGGCTAAAGAAAAAGAAATGGTGCTGTTGTCGTTGTGGCATGACTATTCGCTACTATAGTCAATGGACACCATTAAAGATCTCTTATTTTCATGTGCAGCACCCTTCTCCATGTCACTACTCTCAAGAAACTCTTTTCGCAAACGTCAGGTGGTCTGCATTTTGTTATTTGTGCTGTGAATCATGACATGGAGGATTTGGAGATTTGCAGCTCAGTCGGGCGCAACAATCTGGATTACCCTAGTCATGATTGGCTCAGCTAAATAAAGACAGCCATGCCCTCCGCGGAGGTTAAAATTGCTGTGAAAGTCGGCGGATTTCCAAAAAGGGCAGAACTTGAAAGCTTGTGTCCCCGTTCTGCCACCACCTAACAAATTGTTCGGCATGGCAATTCTCCATCAGCTGCGTGGTATACGTGGACTAGAGCACGGCGAAACCATGTCGTTGGCCGCCTCTTACACTCCCATTTCCCTTCGAACCTCTAGGCTATTAATAAAATCACACCTTTGGAACAGCTGTTCCAAATTGGCTTCAGTCTCGCTGACTGTAGAGCTTTCTTGAGACCTGAGGGACGTCACAGGAAAGGAGCCGTGTGGCATGAACAGCTCAAGCGAGATCTTTGAGGGTGACTCGCTCTCCAGCTCTGTCTTGGTCACGCCATCAAAAGCTGCTGGCCAGTCCTCGTCTGCACTTCCCGTAGTAACAAACCTGACGATCCGCCGACTAACCTCCAGGGCTCTCTCCAGTTGGGGACGACTATTGTCCGCATTGGGGAGCTTTTGGATATTGAGCACGTACGGAATGTCGCTCAGGTGGGAGACACGCCACATGGGCACCTTCATGGCATATTCGTAGATGGGCGTGAACTGTGTCATGTTGTTCTCGTATAGGCGCACCTGTGATGGCTCGACGCCGCCGTGCTTGAGGTACTGCCACGCAAAGTCGAGCACCGGGCAGGTAAACCAGAGGTCGCGGCTGAGTTGCGCGGCGCGGTAGTATTGTGGCGAGACGCCCCTGTCGTGGTCTGGTCGTACCATTGCCTTGAAATCTTTGAGGGGATAGAGCCCGAGGAGCTTCTGCTTTGTGGACTCGGATAGACCGATGAGCCAGAGACTGAAGCTTGAAAGTACTTCTTCGTCCGTCGATGTTGTGGGCCGAGGATACCAGGCCCCATCATTGGTGGTCCAAGACGCAATAATCGGAACACCCTTGACGACTTTTCTGGCGCGTATAAGCTGTGATGCTCGATCGAGAATAAAATCATCATCGTACGTAGGATGAAAGAAGCCCTCGCCAAACATTGGGCGGGCCGTACGAGCGGCAGTGACCGAGACATTGGTGAGTATTTCAAAAGGAACATTACGCAAGCAGGCCAACGTCTCGGGGGATTGACTACCGCTGCCCTCGATGCAGTCAACCTTTCGAGCAACATCGGCTGTGTTGTTAGCCACAAGGTCCGACATCGTATTAAAGTTGACGCCCGGGGAACCAGACATCATGACGGCGCTCTGGAACGGCACGCCCTTGGTTCCGCCGTACGAGGTCAAATGTAGGCCAATATCGCTGGCTCCCACGCTATGCCCAATGGCCGTCACCTGCTCTGGATCTCCCCCAAATATCTCAATATTGTCGCGCACCCATTCGAGGGCTGCGCGCTGATCCCGGAGTCCGACATTGGTCTGCTTGGCCTCACGCAACGCCTCACTGGTTGCGAACCCGAAAATGCCGAGGCGATAATTGATAGCGACAAAGATGAGAGGACGTCCGTCAGTCGCTGCCTGTCGCACGATGCCGTCCGGCGTGTACAGGACCTCGTACGCGGAGCCGAGCGCGTGTCCGCCGCTGTGCAACCAGACCATGACGGGGAGCTTGGCTTCTGGTTTGGTGCCCCGTGGCCGGGCGATGCGCAGGCTGAGACAGTTCTCGCTGATATTGCTCACCCGGCTCGTAAAGGGCAGCACGTCGCCGGTTCCCTGCGGACACCAGGCGCCCTCCTTTGTGGCGTCGACGACGGAGCCCCGGGCGTACCGGAGCGGGACCGGCCGAGCAAAGCGGTTCTGGCCCGATGTGTCTTGCGCATAAAAGATGTTTTGGAAATGCTCGACGCCCGGTGCGAGGCTGCCTTTATACTCAATATCGTGCCGCGGATCCACGACGACAGGAGCCGCGAATATAGCATTTGGTAGGTTGAAGTCATATTCATATAGTATGAATGCTTGGAACGAGTCAAAGACAATTGCAAATAGTGCCAGAAGCAGTGCTCCCGAGCCCAGAAGCCAGCGCAGTGATATATGAGGCATGATACGATTCAACGAGTAAAAAGTACTGCTCAGAAGATGATAGCCACGGTGAGAACAGTTGAGTATTACTTTTCAAAAAGGACACTGGTCAATTTCTCAAAGTTTGGCTCATTAGCCGGTCAGCACCAACAGCGTTCTCGCATAGCTCCACCAAATTTAGTTGGAGCCGTCTGACTTGTCATTGTTCGCGGAAGTAAGCGAGACAAGCATACTGCATATTTACCGTGTGAACGTGGGGAAATATGGTCATCCCCTTTCGATAGTGGCTTCTGATTCAGGCACAACAAATTGAATGAGATACGCGGTAGATATGGAGTAAATATGAGGTTCAATTGGCGACTCTGTACGGATAAATGTGATATAAGGGACACTGAAATTCTACCTGCGTCAAGATTGTCAAGAAGTCTCAATATTCGTTCCGAGTTATGTTCACATCTAGACGGCTTGACCGAGTTGATGCAGAATAGTATACTCGGAGCTTCCAAAGGCACAGCTGGGTGAAGAAAAATTGAAAGAAAGACTTTTCATTAAAAAGTCAATGGTCGCTGGCGACAGGCGCTATCATAAATGACAAATATAGGCCAGAGAAACAACAGTTTGGTAGGAAGAAGGACAAGATAATGTCATGGGATGCTGGTCGGAGAACATAGTATTGAGGGGAATTGTATGATCTGTATCCGTCCGTGTATATCAAATACTCATAGAAGCGTGTGCAAACATCTTTGTGGCCCTTGGTCATTTACTTCGCGAGATAATCCCATAGCCAAAAATAAATAGAATAAAATAAAAAATAAACACAACCCGCAAGCCGAAAAGACACAAGTAATCATTAGTCCCTTTTCTTCTGAATTGAAGACCGCTTCTTTGTTTTCAAATGTTGCTCGTCGTTATGCCTTTTCCAGTGATCACGACGAGGAAACCCTCGGCCGCACAATTTGCAAGTGTATTTGTATGAAAGCAGACCATATTGTCTTGCCCAGGGCTTGTGGGTCGATTTGACATGTCTTTTCATATCACGTTGCCATGCTGCTCTGGATTTCTTACTGCGGCAATTTGCGATCGGGCATCGCACAGGTTTGAGGTGCTTGCGGAGGTGTTTTCTGTTTCAAAGTCAAAGTCAATAAGGAGAAGAGTCAGGCTGATCATTATGTGCACCTACAGCAGGTGGCTTGCGCCACTTCTACCTTTTTCTTTCTCACAGTAATGTCTGCATCCCTCCCAAGGACACCAAAACTTGCCGTTTGCATCAGGCTTGAAAGTCTCCAAAGGCGGCATTGGGTACTCTGCAAACTTGATCTTGGGCAAAGCCTTGTCATTGGAAGATTGCGGAAATGAGATGTCAACACTTGCGCTGACATTGGCGGTATGTTCTACATTTTCAACAGAGCGGACAGCGTCTTGATTGACAGTGTGCCATGGACGAAACGTTTCAAGGGGCAAAGATTGCCCCAACGGAGGGGACATCCCACTCTAAGGAGTAGAATGCTCGTCGTGCACAGGTCGCGTCAATCGACCGTCATGGCTCATTTCGTCGGTAGATCCAAAATCTGTATGGGGGCTGGACGGACTGGGGACGGGGACATGACTGATTGGGCTGTCCGTAACCTCCAAGCTAGGCTCTTGGTTACTGACTGTCAGGTTTCGGACATCCAAAAGTCGGGGATCAATGGTCACAATATTAGATCCATGGTCCGGCTCATAACTCGAGGAAGTTGGGTAGATGGGATCTTCAATCATGTTTCCAATGGGTAACAAAAAGGGGGGAAGATTCTTGAAGGTAATAAGCACTTTTCACGACAGCTTTGGGGTATGACTTGAAAAAAAGATGAGTACTCAAAGACGGATTCCACGGGGAAGTTATCCTGCTTTATCCTGGGTGAAAGCACAGGTAACGCTTCTGCCTCCAAAAATCAATATAGAATCCCATCACCATACAACACATATCGTGTCTTGGAATGATAGGCTGACTTGAATGCTCTCCAAAGTGGTGGGCCTCCCTTATCTGTTGGGCCTCCTTGCATGTAGTCTGAGCCGTTCTGCATGAAAATGTGCTACCGTATATGCAGCTTGACAGTTGGTAGGCCTCCATGGGTTCGCTTCGGTGTGACGTACAGCTCTGAGGGGACGGTAAGCACCGATAGGTAGCCTGCGAGACTGCATTTGAAGCCAGTCGATCGGAGGTCAGGACCGATGACACATGAATCAATGCACAGCCGACCCTACTGCTCGAACAGGTCCTCGATGCTGGCAATGGTTTGGCGGTACTGCATTCACTGCATACTGCAGAACGGTGCTATTGGTGGTGACAGGAGGGAAAGGGTGATGATGAGATCTACATCGTGAACATGGGGATCTTAACTGCTGTTAAAGAAAGTCAAGATGGCGAAAACTTTTGCTATGGTGCGGGCTAAACTATTCATTTCCCCCAGATTTGAAATCATAAAAAAATCCAAGACAAGTTTCTGGCACAGAAAATATGATTGAATTTTCTTGAGAACCAAATACCTAAGAGCGCGTTTCATAACATCAATCTGCCAAGAATTGAATTCGCGAGCCCGACAGCCAAAAGTAACTAGAAAAGGTGCGGACTAAGAAAAAGAAAGTGTTCTCAATGAACAAAAGTCGAGTCATTAACGGGGATGATGCTTCAGCGACCTGAGATCAACCAGGATTTGACCTTTTTGCTGAGCTTCCTGATAAAAAATCCTTGCCTGCTTTGCTATCATCGGGTTTGGTTGAGCTTGTGCTTTCCCTCCTGGCCTGCCGCCATTCCCGGTGAGATCGCTCTCTTGCACTATCGACTTGACCAATACTGAGGACAATGCAATTCTGCAAAGAAACGGCCCTCCTACGATCTGGAGACTTCCAGATGAATGCAGGCCATACGACTGGCCCAGCCTGCTCATAACTAACAGACTGAGGCCCCTTCTTTGCAGCATTCTGCCCATTGCTTGATCTTGTGCTGGGATCACCTGGACGCTGTACCTTCTCGAGGTCATCCGGGATGAAATGAGACAGTAGCATGTAATTATCTTCATCCAACGAGTCGTGTAGATTGAAATTGACTTCAAGACTTCCTTCCACCCTTTGAAGTCCCATCCAGTACTGGCAAATCTGCTCGCATGCTTGGCCAAGTGCAGAGGAGAATTCTTCCTTGCGGCTTTCGGCCACCATGAGACCAACGGTGGATTCAATTTGTCGTACACATTGTTGAATGCGTATTTGTATCAAGTCGTCTGGCGGATCAACTGGCAATAACACAGCTCGGACATGTGCTTCGCGTACAGGATCCGTCTCTGCCATATCCGAAAGTAGCTGACACAAAATATTACCCTCCAAGAGATAAGTAGCCTGGAAGATGTGCTCCTCAAGTGCTCGGGCAGCAAGAAACATGGCTGCGGCCAGGCGCATATGTCTTGCATCTGGGGAGTTTGAATTGAGCATTGGAATGTTTGGGAATTTGTTGGTGAATTTGTTGGCCAATTTGCAAACACGAGACAAGGCGTCTGTTGATAGCTCCGTATGCACAAAAGTGATGAGAAGTGTGCAAATCGACGACATGATGGTTTCCAAAGTCCTGATACTATGGTCAAAAGATTAATGTGGTGTCCCGAAAACTATCGAATATATTACTAACATGACATCTCTTTCAAGATTGACCACTTCTCGTGTTAGTGATGTATAGCCCTCAAGAGAGGCCCTTGCTTCGAGCAAACGCTGTTTTGCAGTATCTAGATGAGTCTGTAGTTGCTTTTGAGCAGATGTAGCACTTTCCAGCCTTTTCTTCTCCAGGGCCAACTCGTCTTCTAAGTTTGTGATGCGGTCCTGCTTTTGATTTGCCTTTCTCTGCAAGTCTGACATGAGTCCATCGCTCTCTTTGAGCTTCTTGACAAGATTGGTTACTTGACTCGCAACCTTCTCTTGACTATCAGAGAGCGAAGTAATCTTCTTGTGGCATGACTGAAGCTCGGCACGACTCTTCTCCGCAGCTTTCTCGGTAGTTCGAACCTGGACTGTAAGATCTGCTATGTTGCCCAAGTTGCCTTGGTTGAGGCTCTGCAGACGCTCATTGTCCTGAGTCAGCTCCTTGTTTTGAGTGATGACCTTTTGAAGATGCTGAAATGATTTGTCTTTGGCTAAAGTTTCAAGTGTTGCCTTGATGGTCTCAACCATTTTGGACAAGTTCAATTCTGAAGCCATAATGCAGAATAAAGGTGTGATGTGATGTGGAACATGAATAATAGGTAGGTATGTTGGTGCTTTTAGGATCCCATCTTTTGTGGGCACCGAGGATGATTTAACATGATTGACCTCGAATGACCTCACCAGCAGCGTATTCAAGGACCTCCAAAGGAACAAGACTCGATATCGTAGTGTTCAACCTGCACTTCCCTTCACACCACCAGTAAGATAAAGTTCAATAGAGACGAGATAAATCTAATGATTCGCCAATTCTCATGTCGCTATCACTGAAATGAGGCTGCTATCTCGGTGAGAACCATGGATCAGACTCTGATGACCTAGGCGAGGTAACATATCAGGCGTGCGATGCATATCGCAGTGGCGTGTGACGTGTCGACCACAATATATGCACATGTTTAGGCGCCGTGCCACTTTTCTTGGAATGTCGGTACGCCATACAGGGACGAACAACTCTGGTCGACCATGCATGATGTGCAGTAGGATCCTTCAATAGGCATGCTCTGTAGCGACGCTCCGGTACCGAAGCCACATTACCACATTAGCAGGCCATGGACAACCGGGGATCCATGACCAAATTGCAGGCAGAATATTCTGTTCGTCATCGCCGGTGCAAGGCTGAGCCGTATTTGGAACCAACGGGCCGTCCGCGGGGGTTCCCGCATGGCATCAATACCACCTTACCGTCGGGCCGTGAATATGAGCCAATAACAAATGGTACGACTCCGACTCTACCAGCCACTCAGGCGACACACCGGTTTGCATGCTCTCGCCACCCGTGACAGTTCATCACGCTTTTGCATAGTGCATGATGGCGAGGGGTGATAGTCACGTCTCGTGGAGTTCTGCACAAGTGCCTGCAAGTCAACAGCGCCAGCCTGCGATTTGTCTACATTGTCGTACAAGGATATTCCACACACTCTGAAGAGGACAGCTTCATCGCCATTTACCGAAAGCTCAAGACAATCTGGCAAATTCCAAGGTTCTACAACTGCCTCCTTCATAAGTCTTGAGGTTTTCAAGATTCGTGCTTAGGTAGTAGATGCATGGTATTCCGTTTTGCACACGTCGGTCTTGCTGCACCAGCAGAAACTGTAAGACTTCCAATATTGCCAAATTACCTATGAATGCTTTCAAACGAGGTTGACTTATCATGTTATTTGGATGTCTCGATGAATAATAGCGGCAGTCTATCTGTCAATTCTGGAGTTGCAAGCTAGGTCCCCTTTGCTAGTGCTAAAAATGCAGTGAAGTAGATTCGGCGTTTATCATCCGATGTAGTGTAATCTATGTCCCTTTTGTGATGGTTAAAAATGCAGTGAAGATGCTCTGTAAAAAGGGCCTCAAAATTCGGCTTTGATATATATGTCTACTCAACCCACTGTTCGATGCGGCGAGCTGGTCCCTTTCGTGTGGGTAAAGAATGCAGTGGAAAAAAAAAAAAAACGTCAACATCCGGCACCCACCAGCGCTGAGTTTTTGTAGATATTAGATACTTATTGAGAAGGGATTTGGACAAGAAAAAGCTACTGATGCCCATATGCTGGCAAGCTCCGGCGATCATTGTTAAGAATGAACAATATAGACATCAATTGCATACCCAGGTGTATATTGAGCCCCGTAAGGTTGATGTACTTGATATACTTCGTAAATGTCTTGTACCAAGCGAAGTAGATAGGTACCTAGGTTAGCACATTATGTGATAGGTACCCCCCAGCCCAGTACCTTCCGGGGCCCCACCTTCTAGCTCGACGCGTCTCTCAGGGCCCCAGCTCGCGTAAAGTGCTTTCACAGAGGCTGATGCAATTAATTGCCTTGCCTGCCTACAACCTTGGGCGTTTACAACAAAGCCACAGTGTTTGAGAGTTCATTTACCCCCGCTATTTCATCTTGACACATTCTCATTTCCAATGCAGTGACTACGTACGGTTCCCCTCGTCCGCTTCTACAGAATGGCCTCGAATAAACGCAAGGTTGACGCCGCCATCTCACCTCCCCCAGTGAAGCGCAAGGCGCAGAGCTCCATCACCAAGAGCTCCGTCGCCAGTTTCTTCACGCCCACCTCGCAAAAGCCAAAGGAGCGGACGGTATGGTCTGAAAGAACGCCTGACGAGGATACGCCTGCCACATTGCTGGTCGGACGCTACGAGCCCGAGAACGAAACCGAGGCCGAACAAGATCGAAGGAAACGGAAAAAGGTTGCTGCATTTGATTTGGTATGAAGGGTCGGTCCGCCGTACATGAGCACTGAATGCTGACGAGGTATCGTTCCAGGACTCGACCTTGATCACGACTGCCTCGGGCAAGAAATTCGGAGACGATCCGGCAGATTGGAAATGGTGGCATTCGTCGGTGCCGTCCAAGCTCAGGCAACTTTACGAGGACAACTACCGGATTGTAATACTTAGCAATCAGGGCGGACTGATACTGCATCCTGACCCAAAGTCCAAGGGTCCAAAGGCCGGCGCCAAGGCCAAAGTCGACAAGTTCAAGCAAAAATGCAGTGCGGTGCTGACGCAGCTCAATCTGCCCACAACATTATATGCAGCCACCGGCAAGGACATTTACCGAAAACCGCGGGCAGGCATGTGGAAAGAACTCTGCGAAGACTACAATATTCCTCAGGATGAGGTCGACTTTGAGCATAGCATTTTTGTTGGCGATGCTGGTGGGCGCATCGCCGTGCTCAAGGGCGACACGTCTGTTGCAAAGGACTTTAGTTGTTCAGATCGCAACTTTGCACACAATGTGGGGATTCCATACACAACGCCGGAAGAATTCTTCCTTGAAGAGAACCCACGCGAGTTTTCTCGAGACTTTGACGTGACGAAGCATCCTTATTCGGAGGATAGTGACAATCTTGTCTTTGACAAGCAAAACGAACAGGATATCGTTCTATTTGTAGGACCTCCAGGTGCTGGAAAGAGCACATTCTATTGGAGAAACCTGAAGCCGTTGGCATACGAACGCATCAACCAAGATACTCTCAAGACGCGCGCCAAATGCTTCAAAGTGGCAGCCGATGCCCTGTCTGATGGCTTATCGGTAGCCATTGACAACACGAATCCGGACGCTGACGGCCGTGCAGAGTGGGTAGCTCTCGCAAAGAAGCACAACATGCCCATCCGCTGCGTCTGGTTCAAGACACCACTTGAGCTCTGCAAACACAATGACACCGTCCGAGCTCTGAATAAGCCGATGAATCCCGAGGCCCGAACAGTACTTCCACAGCTCGCCTTTAATGGCTTTGGATCTAGGTTCAAAGAGCCAAAAGCCAAGGAAGGGTTTCAGGATGTTATCGAGGTTGAGTTCAAGTTCAAGGGCACGAAAGAGGAACACGATATTTGGGGACAATACTGGACGTAAACTGCGGCTGGCTCAGAAAACACTGAGCTAAGCCGTTTGCATGTCTTTGTGGTAATGATGCACCTGCTATTGTCCTGTACACTTGGTGTAAATGCTTGGAGCCATAACGCCCAGTAGTCTTTTGCAGATCCTAGCAAACAAGCCGACCGGCCTCATAGGCGTAGCCGCCATTAATGGACCTGATTGCGACCAAAACGGCATAAGCGGTATCACCAACAATGAACATGCCGGAAGTGCAAAACACCAACCTTTGGCTCCGCCATTAATTTGCTAACCTTCTGATGGGAATCTGACCACGCAGCCCGGCCACGGCTACTCCTAGAGGTGAAAAAATTATCAACACAACGAAATGCGCAAATCACACCGAATTCTCCAGAGATCGAGACTCATGGTGCTGATCATGAGCTTTGAAAGCTCATGAACCCAAATCTCGATAAGCGGAGATTTGTAAATGCTGTGCACTTTGACGTGATCGGGAGACGTTTGTATGTGGAATGTACCCGAGGCAAGCCGTATATAGTCCATATACAATAAATACCTAGGTATACTAACATAGTTGCGTCGCACCAGATGCGACCGGTGGAGACTATGTTACAGCGATCTATCTTTGCTGCAGCCTGCGTATTGGTGATGTGCACGATGAGTGGCACAGTTGACAAATATCTGCTATTTGTCTACAGCCTTATCCAGAGCTTGCATCTGCGAGTCGATATATTGGATGCTATGGTATTACAGCAGTCGATAACTCCAAATCTTGCAACCACAACTTTCGACCACCTTACTTTAAGCACAGTACATGAACGTAAAAGATCAACAAGCAGGCTGCATGGCAACTAGTCGCAGAAAGTAGGTGGATGCGACGTTGGGGAGAAGAAAATGTAAGCAGCTGAAAAAGAACCCCCCACCCCAAATGACCTTTCGTCTTTATTTTCTTATAATGAAAAAAAAAAAAATTGAGATTACCCAATGTGCCTTGATAATTAGCAGATTCGTATACTGATCCGTGGCAAGAGGACTCGGTGCGGTACAGAGTACTTTTAACACGTAGTATGATTTGCACGACCCATCATATCCATTCAGTGGGCAACAACCACGGAGTGAGCAAGACCATCAAACACCATTGCTTGTTTCTTTTGTTGAAATAACAATTGGCAAGGAGGGGGACAAAAAGGGAACTTTGTGACAGCTGGGCCAACCTCCCCGACTCCAGAGAACCAGAAACCACACACCCGAGTCTCTGGAACCATCAAGTCTCAAGTCAGCTTCCCCCCCTAGTGCCTCAAAGTCCCAACGTAAAAGCTTGCATATAAGCGAAACCACACGTTCATCTAGAAGCGCACCTTGATGATGTTTTGGGATGGCTTCGGCACCGAGCGCGGCGGACAACCCCACCCCCAATGGCGATTCTGACATGGCTCAATTCGGTAATGAACATCAAATCACACCTGCAAGCGATGGTTGACACTCGATAACTCTGGGGTGGTGCCGAATGGGGTCAATTGGGGGCCATGACCGGAAACTTCCTCAGCTCTATTATATACTAGAATAAGAAGTCCTCGGTGGAACAAATCAAGGCGAGCATATGATTAGCCGCAGCGCCGGTATATCGTCCAGACGATACCATCGCCAAAGCTCTTCAAATCCCAAGCCGAATATCTGGTGAGCTGACATGATGCCGTCAATCTACAGAGACCTTTTGGAGACGGTGGATAACAACCCAATGATCAGGCTTTTGTCTATTGAGCCAGCCACAAACACAGACGACGACATAAAATGTAAACTTGAGGAAGTACTGCTACTAGAAGCACCAGAATACGAGTCGCTTTCATACTGTTGGGGCGAGCCCATAAGAAAGTGTCCCATCGAATGTAACGACACATCCATCGACATCACCGAGAATCTCTCTTCGGCGTTAAGGCACCTAAGGCACACAAAAAAGCACAGAATCATATGGGTTGATGCAATATGTATCAATCAGAATGACTTTGCAGAGAGATCGAGCCAGGTTTTGGCAATGCGCGAAATATTTCAACATGCCAGGTCGGTCGTGATCTGGCTTGGTCCTGCCTCGGCCAACAGCTCTTTGGCGTTTAGGACGCTCAAGCAATGCCAAACTGCGATCCCCGAGGTAATGAAAAGATTTGCCGAGGATCCATTTAGCATTGTTCGATACACCTCAATGAACAAATATTTCCCCCAAATCGTGGCCTGGAGAGATTCAGGAGTGCAGAGACCAAGATACGATGATAGACGCCACCATCTCCAACGGTCCCAACGGGCGGCTTTGCGCGCGATCCTCGAGAGACCTTACTGGACGCGATTATGGGTGTTACAAGAAATCTGCTCTGCGCGTGAGCTGATTGTGAAATGTGGCAATGACACAATGCCATGGGATGCATTCAGAGATTCCTTCGTGGTCACCCTGACTATAGGGGGCCTGCTACAACATATTGGACACCCTCCTTGGCTGTGGTGCAGCATTCGTTTAGCACAACTTCAACATCACCACCAGGCAACAAACCGAGCATCGCCGACTGAATCTCATGCTTTGAATGCTCTCGAGTTCATTGCAGAGAGCCATCTCAGACAAACCGCTCGGTCTAGTTCAAACATAATCCTCTTTTTGGAACTCAGCAGTAACCTGCGGTGCACGTTAGAGCATGACAAAATATATGGAATTCTCGGACTGGCACAGCCGCCGTTGCCAATCACACCAGACTACCAAATGCCCATTGAGGATTGCTTCAAGGCAATCACTATCGCAATACTCCAACAAAGAGGAAATCTTGACCTGTTCTCGGCTTGTTCTGCCCAAATGTTTCAGAACAAGAAGACACTGCCATCATGGGTCCCAGACTTTAGCCTTGATCATCTCCGGTGGTACCTAGAAGATACTGGCCCGGGGTGCCCTTTCAAGGAGCACTTTACGCTTTCCATCACGGCGTATCATCACTGGCTCTTACCCAAGGTAGTCGGCACCATGCAGGATTTCCGCGCATCGGGACCAGACTCTCGATCAGAATTTCGCCTTTTAGATGGGGACACACTGGAGCTTGTGGGCCATGTTGTGGATGAAGTCGCCTACGTCGGACCCGACATTTGGGGCCTTTTCGATGCTCAGAACAACGAGTCGAGCCGCCTCTTTGGCCGAGACAAGAGAACGCTCAGCCTACGCGAGCTCCTGAAGCAATTCCTGCAGCACTTGTTGCGATCAGGCAATTTTGCCGGTGCGCTTGTGCAATGGGAGGACCTCGCCTCTCAAGTACCTGGGAAACCCACGCATGAGGAGTTGCTCGCTTTGCTCCGGGTGCTTCAGCAAGCTTATCCGACTCAGGACATGGAACCACTGCTGCTGGTTTATAATGCGGCGTGGCGACGACTGCTGGCTAGTCTCCGTCGCATTCAACCATTGAACAAATTGGGATCGTGTCGTGGATTCTTCCATGTTTATAATCTGACGGCTGGACTGATTTCATATGTCTCCTTGAGACTATCACGGAATAAGGCCCATTTCATCCCATTTCATACGCCAAGTATGTCGATGCATAGAATTGCAAAGACGAAAAATGGGCTACTCGTATACGCCTCGGTATATACACAAGAGAACGACTGTATCGTGTTATTAAAGGGAGGAAAGACTCCTTTTGTCGCTAGGCGGAACGGACACAAGTGGAAGTTGGTCGGCGATTGCTATGTTGATGGTCTTATGCTTGGTGAGCAATGGTCGGAAAGCGCAGCGAAGCCCATGGAGTTTACATAGTCCTTGGTGGTTTGTTGCAGAAGTCGTCATGATGAGAAGTTTTGAAGCCCACCCGGGACCTACAGAGATACCGTTACGTTCAAAGGAGGCTCTCATGAAATACTAATTGTGTACAGTTGTAACGACAATGATCAATAGCAAAATTATGATATTGTACCAACAAAATCGTGCCAAGTCGAGAACTCACGACGAACTGGCTGGTCAAGATCAATTGCCCATTGGTTTTTTTCTGATGCATGCGTGATATTATTGAATCAAGACACGTACGTACCCATCCTTCCCTCAATATCGGACTCCGAGTTGACGGATTGGGTGCAAGCGGCAATATTCTCAACCAGCCAATCATAATCCTCGACTGACTATTGGTGTACTGTTGCATGTAAATCATGGAGTTTTGTTTGGAATTCGTGATTCCATTTTTGCTCATCTGCCTGTATTTTAGAAGTGGTGAAATGGCAAAAGAAGAAATTGTAAACACGGTCCAGATCCAATCAGAGATGATGCATCTAAATGATAGAAATCAAGAGTAACCATCTGCGTACATGGTACATTAGATTATAGCAAACAGAAATTCGGGAATGCTAATCTCAAGAGGTGGGGGCCGGGCCGGATCTGGACAGGCGTTGACAGGACCCCTGAACTTTCGGTCCGCGAGCTTTTGGACGATACTAATTGGAACCCCGCCATTAATAAAGTATTAGGGGGGGTATGCCGCTGCACTATTTACTCTAGGTACAATTATTGTTCATAGCCTGATGAGATTCGGTTGACCGCCCAACCTGTCAGCAAGCATCGTGACATTTTTCCTTCTTCCTCTTCTTCTGCTGTCCCATAGGTTTCTCAAGCATTCTTCTCGTCTTGTTTCCTCTCCAACGATACCCCCCACCCCTCCCGAGAAATCATCACCATTACACACAACAAAATGGTCGTCTACAGAAGCAGCACGACGGCCCCCGTCAACATTGCCGTTGTCAAGTACTGGGGCAAGCGAGACCCCAAGCTCAACCTGCCCACCAACTCGTCGCTCTCGGTGACGCTCTCGCAGGACGACCTGCGCACCCTCACGACGGCCTCGGCCTCGGAAGCCTACACCGAGGACGTGCTGCTCCTCAATGGCGCCCCCTCGGACCTGACCGGCGCCCGCACCCAGGCCTGCCTGCGCGAGCTGCGCACCCGCCGCGCCGCCCTCGAGGACAAGAACCCGTCCCTGCCCAAGCTCGCCCACCTCAAGCTCCTGCTCGTCTCCGAGAACAACTTCCCCACCGCCGCCGGCCTGGCCTCGTCCGCGGCTGGCTTCGCCGCCTTTGTCCGCGCCATTGCCGACCTCTACGAGCTGCCCGCCTCGCCGACCGAGCTGTCGCTGATTGCGCGCCAGGGCTCGGGCTCGGCCTGCCGCAGCTTGTTTGGCGGCTACGTCGCGTGGCGCGCCGGCGACAAGGCCGACGGCCTCGACAGCCAGGCCGTCGAGGTGGCGCCCGCGAGCCACTGGCCCCAGATGCGGGCCCTCATCCTCGTCGTCAGCGCCGCCAAAAAGGGCGTCAGCTCCACCAGCGGCATGCAGCAGACCGTGGCCACCTCGGGCCTGTTCCAGCAGCGCATCGCCACCGTGGTGCCCGCCAACATGGACTTGATGGAGCAGTCGATTGCCGACCGCGACTTTGCCAAGTTTGCAGAGGTCACCATGCGCGACTCCAACTCGTTCCACGCCACCTGCGCCGACACGTATCCGCCCATCTTCTACATGAACGATGTGTCCAGGGCCGCCATCCGCGCCGTCGAGACCATCAACCAGGCCGCCGGCAAGACCGTCGCTGCCTACACCTTTGACGCCGGCCCCAACGCCGTCATTTACTACCTCGAGGAGAACAGCGAGGCCGTGCTGGGCACCTTTTACCCGCTCCTGCAGTCCGTCGACGGCTGGAAGCAGAGCACCAACTTCAAGTCTACCGTGCAGCTCGACGAGACCATCAGCAGCACGCTGAAGGGTGGTGTGAGCCGAGTCATCATGACCGGTGTTGGTGAGGGTCCGCAAAAGACGGACGTCTACCTTGTGTCGGAGGAGGGAAAGCCTCTTTCTACTAGCTCATAAATTCCGAGACAGGAATACTCTTGATCTTTAAAGGATATTTAATGACACAAAAACATAGATGCTAATGATATAGACGACCAAATCACGTCCATTTCTATTTGAATAAATACAAATATGTGACATGGTGCTGTCTTGTGTTTGATAAAGGAGTGAAAATTGAAGCATGATTATATTTTCAGAGCTCATTCTCAAGGTCACTATTGTCTCAATTCGAAGCGGTCGCTATTGATTACTACGCCTGAAAGGCCTTCAAGAACACCAGAACCTATATTACTAGCCGGTGATAGTGTTCGTACAGAGTACATGGAATATCAAGAGTGGTGAAAATGTTTGATCAATTGGCTGAGTTACATAGAGACTATGAGCTCTAGAAAATGTGTATACAAAGGAGATCCATGATTTCCAGAATTGCTGCACAAGAATAGATGTGAAGGTAGACATCGGCGCCATGGCCAAGAAGTACCACGTCCCAGCGCCCTCCTTCCCCTCGTCTTTTCCATGATACCAGCGCTGAGGTAGATGACGGATCAGATGTTTGACAGAGGTAGCGGGCATTCGTATTGACTGTTACCTTGGCACAAGAGGGTATCTTCTTCTCTAATGATGACTATCTTGGTCAAAATCATCGTACTCTTGGAACTGATGGTGGTTGGGGTTGACTGCACGGACTACTCACTGGGGCTCGTGGCAACGGCGGTAGCTCACGCTCGCAGCGGTGCCAGTTATGATGATGACGCCGCCGCAGCGGTTGCTGCCTTGACCTCTTCGTTGAGAGCAAGGGTAGTTCTCTCGGTTGTCTCGGAGTTTACTGGATGTGGTACGCACCGCCATTTTGCGAAATTGAGGAAGGACACGGTTGACGAAAAGGTGAGTCCAACTACTAGAGCGGATCGTTGGAATCTTGAGGGAATGGGACGTTCGGCGGCGGTGGGGATAGGAGAAGATGTGGAACGTTGCGGAATAATAGATTACTAGGCAGATATCAGAAGTCTTTTGATCAAATCGAGTAGGAAAGATGGTGGAATTTAGAGAAAGAAATTGAAGAAAGAAGCAAATAAATAGAGAAGCGGGTGGAGGAGAGAAATAGGACAGAGAGAGATATGGGAAGGAGAGAGGAGGCGGAAGTTGTAGACTTCCAGAGCAAACGAGGGCCCTTTCCGACATGCTCATTCTGCCTGTCTGTGATTTCCTGCCCTTTCGCAATACCTTCCATACAACGCGCCGAAGAAAGACAAGACATTGGCAGTGTCGGTGTCGTGTTGACACGCAGGTAGCAGGGAATGACCCATCCCGTAAGAGTAGGCGCGGACGACCACAATGGGCAGATGACAACAAAATCGAAAAATTTGGCGTTTTCGCCCGGCTGATACCCGAGTGAGGGGGCAGCTTCTCCTGTGAACTCTCACAGGAACCGTGATTGTCACTCAGGTGAATATGGTAGGAACAATCTACTTCGCCGCTTGCAAGTGCTCAGATATAAGTCGTAATTGCTTTCACAGAGCATGATGCAATGACAAGTACATTTCGAAGAAAGGTGGATCGTATCGGAGGAAGAACTATCCTGTAGTCTCTTGGTCTTCATTCCATATTGTTCACCCTTAGGTTCTTCAAAAGGATGTGGGGAAGCGTATAAGATGTCGAGAAACAATAGCATAACTGACATGATGTGATTGATTACTTTAATTATTATTTACTGTGTAGTGTATTTGATTAGATGCCGATTATGCTGGCAGATAGTCTCACGTTGTTCCGTCTGGTAGCATCCCCAGTGAACGTCGAAAATGTGTGTGTTCACTACAAGAATTCCAATGCGAACCCTGATGAAGGACATTCCTAAGCCTCGCCGCCGCTAGTCGACGTGTAGCCACTGTAGACGAACCAATCTCCCGACGCGGTATCGTGCGTAACATTGGTCTGTCCCAGCTGTCCATTCTTCAAGCTTCCGCTGGCAGCCAAAGGGGCCGCGGCAGAGCCATTCTGGCGGTGCAAATGGTTCTCGCCCGGGAGAACGGTAAAGTTGGCCAGGGAGATCTCGTAGCCCTGCTTGACCGCCGTGGTCGGGATGCCAAAGAAGGAGGCGTTGAGCGAGCTGTGGCTGATTGACAGCTCATAGTAGCCACGGTAGTACAGATCCTGCCATTGCAATTCCTGATTTGCACCAGTTAACCACGCGGAGGCGCTGTTGGCTGTCTCAAGACTAATGTTCTGGCCGTAGGGGCACGGTGAAGAGACGGCCGATCCTGCAAACTCGACGCCAACGGAGCCGGATCCCGTCTTTGAATCATACTCGTGCTCGTCCAGCCATACGAGATCCGAGACCCAAGAAGCGTGCGAATCGCCAGCCAGGAAAATTGTGTTGTTAATGTTATTCTCGTAAAGGGTCGAGAAAGTTCTGTTGCGGTTCGACTGATAGCCGTCCCACGAGTCGTAGTTAAGGGGATCCGTATCTCCAAGACCCAAGCTCTCGTTCATGCGGCTAAAGACGATTTGGTTGCCAATGATCCGCCACGTTGCTCCACGAGACGAGCTGTCCTTGAGCTTGTGGTAGAACCAGGCCTCCTGACGGGGGCCCATGAGACTGCGGCCAGCATCCTGCGAGATCTCGTGGACGTAGTGGGTGTTCCAGTATAGATCAGTGATGGAGCGGTCATACTGGCGCGTGTCTAGCATAACGAGGTCAAAGAGATCACCAAAGCTGAAATCTCTCCAGATGCGCAAGTTGTCGTCCATTTCCACTTGACGAATGGGCACTAGGAAGATTAATTTAGTCATAGTAGTCATTGGAGAGTTTTAGAAAACTTGGACCTACTCCACTCGAAATAAGCTCTGACGGCGTTCATCTTGCGCTGGTCAACGGATACACCACCATCGTGAATGAATGAGTCTTCAGTATTGTTCAGTTCGGATGAACCATCACGGTATGTGTTGTCGGCGACCTCTGTACCATACAATCAGCAACTTTTGCTCCTTAATCAACAGACTGGAGAACCTACCATGGTCATCCCAAACAGGGATCCAGGGGAAGTTTTGGTGGCTCGCAACCAAATCCAAGTCGGTTCTATATGTAGCAAGCCGCCTTCTATAGTCGTACAGTCTACGGATGCAGTGTCAGAGATACTCAAGTTAAAAGACAAGATCAAGACGACATACGTGAAAATCTCGCGGTCTGGTAGAGGGATGCGGTCGTAGGCATTTCCCCAACCATACTCGCCATTTCCGTACTCGTAGATGTAATCACCGAGGTGAATAACATAGTCGACAGAGTCCTTTCTCACAGGGTTTCCGTACGCATTGAAGAAGCCAAATGCTTTGATAGGCCATGTCAGCACGAGCACGGTAAATTCTGTTTATGATTCAGTAACCTACGAAAGTTGCTGCAAGAGTACACGGCCAGTCTGATGGCGGTGTCGACCTTGGAGTCCTTGGAGGGGATGGTCTTGGTCCGACCGACGGGCGAAACATTGTCGGAGCCACATACATTGAACTGATAGTAGTAGGTGGTGAATGGGAGTAGCTTCTTGGCTTCAACCTTGACCGTGTAGTCAATATCAGAGCTCGTGTAAGCCGTTCCCGCATCAGCCGTCACGGCGAAATCATCCGTGGTACTAATCTTCCAGTCCACACACACGGGAGCAGCACTCTGGGCGACATATGGCTCAGTGTCATGGTTGTACAGGCCAACGTAACCAGAGACGGTCACATTGCTCTGATCGTTATCGTTGGAGGGACTGATTCTCGTCCAAAGGATAACGCTGTCCTCGTACGGGTCACCACTAGCCACGCCGTGGGTGAAGTTGAGCTGTGCGGGGTCCCATGGCGAGCTGGCGTATGCTCGCTTCGCTACCTTGTTGATCGAGACGCCCAAGCCAGGATGGTGCAGTGAGGGCGAGAAGTAATTGACGTTGCCCGTGTAGGCTGCAAGAGCCGTGGCAGTAAAGGGCAGGACGTGAAGGGCACGAACCATTGTGGCGGTTTGGAGCAATCGGCAGGGTCCTCGTCCAAATCTCACTCGATCCGAAGATCAAAGGTTAGTAGGTCTGTTGCGGCCTCTTATATTAGGATTCTTGTCCGCGTAAGCATAACACCAGTTTTAATATTCATGCCCAAGAACGTGGTATTGGAAACCTCGTGGCACCCTAGGCCAAAGCAATATTACGGATAACCCATGCCATGCTCGTGTAGTTGACCGATCTCACCATTGGTTGCTGTCATGCATTCGTCCAATGTGTGCAGGGAAACAAGCTTCCTCGGTATGATTGCGATTGGGCCCATTGGAAATCCTGGCAACCTGGTTCGACAAAGACGTCGAGGACTCCAGCGATCGAGGCCATCTTGACCAGGCCCTGCCGGCGCTCCGCGGAAGCGGATTTGCATCTGCATGAGCGATACAACTTGGTGGCATCCGGGAGGCCGCTACCAAGGCCTTGGTCTCTCCTATCATTGGTGGCCTGCCGACGGAGTAACGGCCAGTATACTATGTTTGGCAATATCCTCGTGCTCAGCAAGGAGTAGTAAGAACTAGAATTCGAGAAACAGAGTCAATGATGATGACGATGTGCATTCTAGCGGCGGAAGCACCCTGGTTCAAAGGAGGGAAACTCAAAAAGTCGCCTAAGAACAGATCCAATGGCGGCTGCCAGATTAGGCACGTTGCACACTATTATCATGGTGTAACCCCGCCCTTTGCAACGACGGTTATCTCCGCTCCCTGCAACCGACTGAACTATGTACTATGTAAAATGGATGACATTTCTCTTCTTGATTGCATTCATTGGAGGGTCGCACTCGTTTATAGTCAGCCAAGATATCCCAACATATCTTTTGCCTAGACTGAAGCCGCCATCATCGCTTTTCAAGGCAAAGAAAGGACCCCACCAAAATAGTATTGAGGTTACAGCGTAAAACACTGGTATATATGTACTGTACATGGAAAGCAGACACAACAGTACAATGATTTCAATTTTCAACTGAATACTGTTGAAACCCTAAATTGATTTTCAAATAAAGATACTGTGCTCGCATACACCTCACATCCCTCCGTTTGCTGATCCAATCGCTCCGAGACCGTTTGATAGACGTGCACTTAGAGCCCCCGCGCTAATTATAGTTCCCTCGAGCGGGTTGACCAATACATTAAATCACCCTTTGTCTATTCTCTGGAAAGATGATACGACCAGTATCTGAAATAAAGAGTAAAATTAAAGATAGTCTACATCTACGAAAATAATGTGTGAACAAACAGACTTAATCAACCCTTCCCGTTGTGTCACCCGAAGGGTGCCACACATCCAGCCACACTGTGGCGCATCAAAAGATATGATTAATTTTATTGCAACGTTTATACAATCAAGTGAACTGCAAAGTAAATCAGGTCAAATCTCCATCATTATCCTCCTCATGGGTAACGGGAATTGTCTGGTGATACATTGTTACCTGTGCGAGTTTGCAACTTATATATATCTCTTAGTGATCGCTGAAGCGACCTGACTACCTAAGTACCAGCATGAATTGAATTTGCTCCCCCAAACATATTGTGGATTCATGGCCCGTTTTGCTTCCTTAATTGTTTTTCTCCCTTTTCCTTTGAAGTCGCACTTGAACAATCCAATCAAGACGATATGTCTAGCAGATATTTGCGTTATGCCGAGTACTGTGCCGCAGGAGCGGCTATTCCGAAGAATCCAACCAATGTCTTACCCACGCTAATAAATCCCCCGCAAGCTGACTTACTTTTCGCGCGCGCAGTCTTCTCGGCGTAGACGACATCAAAAGAAAGAAAACAGCAGTTGATAATGGCACAGAACATGAAGGCCCTGGTGCTTCACGGTCCAAAGGACCTCCGGCTTGAGGAGGTACCAAGACCAGAAGCAGGACCAGGCAGCGTAGTTGTCCAAGTGCTGGCAGCTCCCCTGTGGGATTACCTGGTGCGTGCATTGACTTTCGAGAGAATATCTTCAAGCCTTGCCTTTTATACTGATTGCGATTTCAGGCCGAAGTTATTGACGGGACTCGCCAATACCCTCTCGCCTTCCCGCTCATCTTCGGCACTTGCTGTGTCGGGAGAATCACACAAGTCGGACCCGACGTCAAGGCGCTGCAGCCCGGAAGCCTCGTCTTCTGCGACTACATTGTACGTCTTAGAGATGCTCCCGAGGAAAGAATCGTCCTAGGTAAGTACCAGTGCGCGGTGCTGGCTTGTCATGACGTTGACCTGGTTAGGCTACCACGGTGGACAAACACCGCTCGAGCAGAAGCTCTCGTCCGAGTATTGGAAAGACGGCTGCTTTGCCGAGTTTGCTCGCTTCCCAACTGAGAATGTGCACCAACTGGACGAGAAGGCGCTCGAGCAAAATGGCATTTCTCCCTACCAAATGTCCGAGCTAGCAGCCCTTATCCCGGCCATGGGCGCCGTCAACTCGATCGGCATCACCGCCGGCGAGACGGTCCTCGTGGTCCCGGCCACGGGGTACTTTAGCTCCAGCGCCATTGTCGCGGCGCTCGCAGTGGGCGCCACCGTCGTTGCCGGCAGCCGCAGCAAGGACAAGCTGGATGCTCTGGTCGCGCACTTTGGCGACGACGGCAAGAGGATCCGCCCCGTTGTCCTCACTGGGGATGTGTACGCCGACTGTGCGGCGCTGCGCGCGGCCACGCCCGGTGGAAAGGGTGCCGATGCCTATATAGACTATTCGCCGCCCATGGCGGCCGGCACAACCCACATTGAGGCTGGTTTATTGGCCCTCAAACGGCATGGAAGGTGAGTCTGAGCCACTTGTTTCCTTGTAAAACCCAATATCTTCTTTGACTGACATTAAACCAAAGGTGCTGTTTCGCCGGTGTCATCATTGACAACGTGCCGATCCCGTATGCTGTCGTCATGGCTCAGTGTTTGACGATCAAGGGTCAATTTGCGCAGGAAAGAGACGATACTGCGCGTGCAGTCAGGCTAATCGAGGCTGGCAACTTGACCTTGCGAAAGGACATTATTGCTCAACATCCACTGGAAGAGCACGCCGAGGCCTTGAAGTTGGCGGCTGAATCGGGAGGATGGAAGAAGCTCGTCCTCTTCGCTCCGAAATAGATGGTAGGATCGCCATGCAGTCTAGACCTTAGATATTGTGCAGAGATGCATTGTCCAACCAAATTCTAAAAGTAGCCAGTTCGTGGAGCATGGAGGCGTCTAACATGTGTTGCTTGGTGTTGCGTACATCACCACCGGCCAGCAGTCGAGGAACATTGTGCCCATAATCAACAACCATGCTTACAGTTCCGCGATGGATAAGTTGTTGTTAAAGAACCATTATCCAAATACTTAAACTTCTTGTGTAACAATTTATATGGTGCATAGATTCTACATATAGGTTTTTAAATAACGCGAGTGGCTTGACTATATCGGCCCATGGTTATAGATAAGATAAAGTCGCCGTGTGATCCTAGTTGAAGGCTTGGCGCGAGCGTTACTCGTCTCGGAAACGGCCTCGTGCTTGAGCTATTGGTTCTCCTCTTTCTCCAACCGTCCTTGTTACGTAGAAACACCCTTGGAAAACAATTTACATTGACTGGTTTGTTGGCGGGGTAAAATCTTGAGGCAAAGTTTGAGTCTAGTCTGTTCCGCGATTTTGACAGTAACGCAACAACATCCATGAAGCGTTCATCAATTACTGAATTGATCGACTGCTCATAGCACGTGCATGAGTTCCTACTTGGTAGAGACACGTGCTCGTCCTGCAGTAAGCCCAACTAAATGCACCCCGTGTGTTTATTTCCTGCCGCTGTATGCGCCACTTGAGTCTGAAGAAAAAGAAAGAGAAAATAAAAAGCTACCAGCGCCACTCGTCATTCTCAAACAGTGACTATATATAAAGTGCTTATCACGACAAGCTCTTGGCAAGAATTATACTCGTACGGAATGGCACAAGCAGCGAATTCAACGATGGATCTCAGCAACGCCGAAAAGGGCTCCAAAAATGATCAACCTCTGGCAGACGTGGCCGCCGGTCAGAGCGAGGATCTCCTCGGCCTGCAGGACCTGGACACGGCCCTGAACATGAAGATGCACCTGGTGAATGATGTAAGCGATTGCCGGCGAACCTCTAATCCGCAGATTCTAATCCAGGTTGTTTCAGGCGATTGATGAGATTGGTTGGACTCGGTATCACTGGAAATTATTTGCTCTCAATGGCTTTGGGTGAGCTATGCGACGACACCGAGCTGATTTTGCGAGAGCGATTGCCGACTGATTCGCTCGACAGTTATGCTGTAGACTCGCTCGTCCTGCTCCTCCAATCGGTCATTGCGTCGCAGGCTTTCAAGGAACTCGGCCCCACGGGCTACTCGGCAGGTCTGACCATCGCCGTCTACGGTATGCTGTCTCAGTCTACACCTAGAGTAGATTTTTTGGCGCTGACCAATGTCTGTTTAGTTGGCATGTTGTGCGGCGCGATATTTTGGGGACTGAGTGCAGATATGGTAGGAAGAAGATGTAAGTCTTTTTTTTTTTTTTACAACAGACATAGGGATCCGAGCTGACAAGGACAGGGGCGTTCAATATTTCGCTGTTCATATGCTCGGCGGCCGCGATCGTTGCAGGTGCTGCTCCCAGTTGGCCCTCGCTTGGCTTCTTCATTGCCATGGTCGGGTTTGGAGGAGGTGGAAATCTAATCTTGGATACCACCGTATTCTTGGAGTGTAAGTCCTGACGTGGTCCCACTTTAAGCACAATTCTTTACTTGGAGTCCATGGCCATTGGTCCTTCAGCGTACTTTTCACTGATATCGTCGCCGTTGCCCGAGAATAGACCTGCCATCACACAAGCAGTGGGTGCTCACTTTCCTTGCATGCTGGTGGGGATTCGGGCAAGCCATCACCGGTTTCATCGCCTGGGGATTCTTGGGTAAGTTCAACCCCAGTCCATTAATCATCCTTTCTTCAGTTTGCACAGTCTGCTCAACCACGTAACCAGTGCCCGAGCGATGGAACTGCGCCTCGGCAGATGACTGTCCTCGCGATTCCAACTGGGGTTGGAGGTATACCATGTTCACAGCCGGCGCTTTGGTCTTTGTCCTGTCGGTCCTGCGCGTGACCGTCATACGGCTCAAGGAGACGCCCAAGTATCTTCTGGGCAGAGGCGAGGATGCCGCTCTTGTCGAGTCCCTCCACAGCATCGCAACAAAGTACAATAAGCCATGTTCTCTCACCGTTGAGAAGCTAGAGTCATGTGGCAGGGTCCGGTCTGCCGACCGTGACAGTGGCTTCTCGGCAGGGGCAGCCGCTGTTCACCTGAGAGGCCTCTTTAGCACTCGACAGCTTGCCCTGTCGACCTTGCTCATCTGGCTATCGTGGACCCTCATTGGTCTAGCATATCCTCTATTTTACGTCTTCCTCAAGTACGTCGAATCACATTCCCCGATACCGAACGCAATTGACCAAGAGACAGCAAATATCTAGAGAGCCGGGGTGCCACGGCTGGCGTCAGCACATACGATACATGGCGCAACTATGCCCTGACCAACATCTCCGGCATCTTTGGTCCCATGCTGGCCGCGTGGTTGTGCGAGCGCCGGATCCTTGGCCGTCGGTACACCATGGTCATTGGCGCACTGGTGACCATGGCCTTTTTCTTTGCCTACACGGCAGTGAAAACCCCAGCCCAAAACGTTGGCTTTAGCTGTGCCATTGGCTTTTGCCTGAACATCTATTACGGCACGTTATACGCGTACACCCCCGAGGTTCTGCCTGTGAGTGCTTCCCCCCCCCCCTCCTATACCCTTATATGCTGTCCTTTTTTAAGGGTCAGGTCGGAGAGACATTGGCTTGGGGGAAAAAAAGAAGAAGAAAAAAAAACAGTACGAGCTCTTGCAAGGAACTGTCCAAGCTTGCACAAGTACTCCAAGTCATTCACTCTATGTGCCTTTTCAACTTTCATCACAAGATCCAGACTACTAACTCTGAAATCAAAAACGCAGAGCGCCCACAGAGCCACGGGCAACGGTGTAGCCGTTGCGTGTAATCGCGTCATGGGTATCATATCAGCCGTTGTCGGAACGACAGCCAACACGTCCACGTCGGCCCCCATCTACGTGTGTGCCGCACTCTTCATAGGCATGGCTGCCGTCAGCGCGTCTTTTCCCTTTGAACCCTACGGCCGCCGAAGCAGTTGAGGGGGGGACAGTCTTCATAAGCTGCTGAGCGTGCTGAGAACTAGGGAGGCTGCGGCCTCTTGAACTACAAGCAGCCTGGAGGCAAACGTACGCTGGCGCCGGACATTGACTAGAGACAGAGTATAATATAAGATTGGCGCTCTGCCACCGCTGGGCTTTCATGTCGAGAAGACTATTGCGCATATCACTCAAAGTGGAACCAGGCATATGATTTTACTTGATTTCTTTCATTCATTTGGATTTTCAAGTACATACGAGAGAGGCTTGTTTGCATCTCCCCGAAATCTCCTCGTCGCCTCGTGAGACCCACTGAATGAGTTTCTGAGACCGGAGGCTGTCGTCCCTTTTTCGGACACAGCAGTTTGGCCACCACCACCTATCTTCTCGACTCTCTTCGCTCCATCCGCTGTTGAATGCGTTACACTGGTATACAGGTCTTCCCTAGATTCGCCCAAGCGCCAATAACGGTAAACACTAAGGATTACCATTGTTCAGTCCGAAAACCTCTAAGAAACAAAAATTCAACCGAGTCTCTATGTGCGGAATTGCTTCGCTATACACAAAACCGATCCCAAGTCTAGAAAAGGGGGCCGTGGCCCATGATCGATGCAGTCAGAACACCAAGCCCGTATCCAGGGCAACTTTTTTGTTTTCGGTCGCGGCGGGGTATACATTACACAAGCCCAAATGTGACGCAAAGAAAATGCAGGCAAATGCAACGCCCATAACTCGAATGGGACGTATTATGAACCGCGCCGGTGCTTATGCAGTGCAGTAGATGCAGGAGGAAAAGACTTTAAACAGTAAACAGTTACGTCGCGCAAGGCAAGTTGTCGCAAGCCTGCCGCGCAAAGATGTGTATCTTGCTGGAAACAAGTCGTGATCGTTGTGTAAAGGAGTGACTGTGGGTGGGTATCGAGGTGTTGAAAACACCAAAAAACAAATCGCTGTAGCGTAAGGAGTGTGTCATGCCGAGGTCGTCATCGTCATGATGACCTCCGGGGTCGTAAATTCGTTATTAAAAAAAAAAGATGCGGCGGGCTCACTTTCGTAAGCCAACTCGACCAGCGAGATTGCGCCAAAAGTTGGCATTTTTTCTGTCCATGGCATCACCAGGAACGTACATGCTGGCCTCGCGAACCATGGGTCCGACGATATCCTCGTCGCCCCTTTCAGGAAATTTACCCTCTGTATCCATGTGGGGGACAGCAGAAGCGATATCGTCATCGAACTTGGGCAGAGAGTCTGCTGCTCCACTGGCGATGATGAAAGCAGCAACCCCATCGTGGTTGCGGCGCCATTGAGCTTGCGTCTCAGCCCACTTCTGCTCAGTAAGGCTATAGGTCTTGGAGGTTAGGCCATAGTGTTCGCCGGTACGAGCCAAGTGCTTGGTGTAATTGCATCGTGCAGTGGCCCAATCAGTGCGAAGCTGGTACAACGTGTCCAGGTTGACCAGGGCAGGCTTGTACGGCAATGGCAGGATGGTATAGTTTGCGTGACCCAGGAGGTTGCACCAAGTTTCATCTTCTTCCGGCATGCCTGGTAGCTCTCCGGACAAGGTAAGGCGGTGGAAAGAAGAGACCGAGGGTCTCGAGCTCAGTGGCGGAGACATTACCAATGGCGAGATTGGTTCCAGGACTGGCGAAGAAGCAACCTTGGGGGAGGCCAGAGGAGATGCTTGTGCAGTGCTGACACCAGTAGAAATGTCATTCATGAAGGGTGGCAGGAGTGGCGTCGTTGAGAGAGCACGATCGCGCTCGATGTCTGCAGGGTTGATGTTGAGGGCCTTCTCAAGCTCATGCGGGGCTGGAAGAGCGATGCTGTCGCTGCTCTCGTAGAAAGATAGGGCGGGAGTGGGCGGCAAGGCTGGTTCGCCGCTTCGTTCCGGATAATAGCGTACTGAGGCGGATATCGAAGACGACCTACTCGAGTCGGCTCTGGATAGCGCTGATCGCGAATCGAAGCCATACTCGGATACAGGAGACTGCGTCACGCTGGTGCCCCTCTTCCTCCATTGCGTGATGCCGGTGAATTTAGAACCAATGCGGTGCGTGATTCCACTGAGCGGAGACTCGGCACCGCTGCGCGGCTTTCTCGAGGACTTCAAAGTCATGTTCAGGTCGCTGTCACTAAGGAAGCCATAGTCAAATCCGCTGTCACCTCGAGAGTAGAAGCCCGACGAGCTCCGAGCACCACTGTCTGTGTGAACGCACGGCTCGGCGCCTAGTGTTACTTGTTAGTATCATACAAAATGTTTCTCGAGGATGGATACATACAGAGGCAACTGTAAAGATCTTCAAACTCGCCATTCTCCAGCGCATCTAGGTCGTCAAACGAGTCACGATGGTACTCGAAGGGCTCTTCTTGGACATCGGGGAGGATGTGAGAACCTGCTTTACCGGAAACCTGAGCAGGAGAAGATGGGGGCTCGGAGCTAGCAGGCGTTGAGAGCTCAAACGAGGACATTGAGCTAGAATACCGAAGGTGGCCGCGCACGAATGTAGGAGTTACAGGTGACATGACATTAGAGCACATATCCATGTCGAAATCGTGAATTGTCTCACTATCCATATCATACTGCGACTCCTCTAGCTTCTTACGCTCAGCTACCAGGGCTGGCAGTCGTAATGGACGTAATCTGGGAGACATGGCGCAAAATATGATTTGGGTTTTGGTGCCGCGCAGCGCGAATGAGTGACGCGACGGGGATGCGTGCGAACAAGCTCTCGAGCTGTTGCTGGTGGGGTCGAACCAAGTTGGACCAAAAGGGACCTCTCAAGACGGGATGGTTCTGGACGTTTTGTTTCTGGCGGGAGGGTAATAGAGTTTCTGCGGCGCAACGGGATTTTCCAGGTCAAAGCTCTACCTGGGCATTCTAATATAGAACCAAGCGAACGTTGCGCTGTGTGATGTTTTCGTCGATAATCGGAATGGTGAGAGAGGCGATTGCAAGGCCGTTTTTCATACGTGTACAGGAGCTTTTCTGGCCTATGGTCGCTCGGCTAGGTGCACTCGTCCACGTGTATTGGGAGTATGCGGCTTTTCAAGAATTATGGACGGCGTGGGGTTTGTGGCCGCGGGTTGCAGTTGGGCACTGCGCTTGTTGGAGAAAAGAGGAATAGGATAGAAAGAGAGATAGCCTGTTGTGTTGTTTCCCAGGATGTTGTGTGGCTCGCCAATCAGGATCCTCCCCAGTAGCAGCAGCAGCAGTTCGGCAGGTCGGTACAGGTAGCGAGCGAAACGCACGTGAGCGTAACCCAACGTGTGTTAGAAGAAAAAAAAAGAATCGGCGTATCAAGCTTGATGCCTTCGTCGGACGCAGGGAGTACGGCAGCAACGCCTTCTGTTGGACAGTCCAACGGAGATCTAGATAGAGAGGTCGGACGAGAGACAACAAGTCGAGATGTTGTTGCAACAATGAGTTGGTAGCTGGTCCGTAGATTATCAAGGTTGGAATAGTCAATCCAAGTCACACGCGAGGAGGGCGGGAAGGGAAAAAAACCAATGGTGGGAGCCTCTGGGTAGAAGAGCGAACGAATGGGCTTGTACGTCGTTGGCGAGAGAAGCTTGCATCGACCGGCTCGACATGGGAAGGGATGGGGATGGGATAGAGCGCGAAAGAAACTAGGACTGGGGTCTTTCCACCAGTACGTACCCATCGCACACAGTTACTATGGAATGGATTGAATAATGGGACTGAGGCGCTACCCACCATAGCTACCCATCGATCCTCTCTCGCATCGAATGGGACAAGATGCAAAAAGTGTGGGTTGTTTCGTTTGGCTCTTTGGGCAGGACCCGCACCCACGCCGTTGACTGGGACCAGGGTCGCATCCCAGTTTTAGTGCAACTCCTCACCCAGAAAAAAAAAAAAAAAAAAAAAGAGCTGCTAGAAAAGAACCACGGCATAGAGGTAGCAACAAGGGTGGCTGGGGCTTCCATCCAGCCCAAGAACCGCGCTAGGTACTGTACCGTGGTCCATGGCACGACCTTAGTCGATGATCAAATCCCAGTGCCCCGTGAGATGGGTGTGGGTGGGCCGTGGAACGCTTCCGAAGTGGCATGGTCCCTCTTACTGTTTTTTTCTTCTCGAAAAGGACAAGGTGCTATGTAATTAGTAGCAAAGGAGCGAGGAAGAAAGAAAAAAAAAATTGTGTTCGACAGTAACCCACAACAGCCCAGCCAGCCGGGGCCTCCTCCCGAGATGGCCTCTTGGCCTCCCCTAACCCCCCCAAAAAGCCCAACCCAAGCAAAGCAAAGCCATGGGTTCGCTACTGTGCGGAGGAACACCAGCCGCCAACAATTGATCATGATGATGAGGATTTATGCTCTTACTATTCTGGCTGTTGGCTAGATGACACTACATCTACAGCATAATCAAAATGAAATCCAGTGGCTGTCGTGGTGACAAGATATGCATGCATGGCTCCGAACCAAAGCTGGCACCGGGGTCATCATGTATGTGTATGGTGTGCTCGCCGTCTATTGAACCTGACTCTCAAGCTTCTCACAAGCACTCCATCCCCTATGGAAGGGTGCTTTTGATGCTCTGCCTGGTCCTTAACGGCCTATCCTATCAACGCTTGGCCTCTGCTCCTTTGCCCGCTTAGGTAGCCTTGGAACGACATGGCGAAACGGTCCGCCGCCGGGCCTCAGTCAGCGGCGTAGCAGTCCTCGGACCCCAATGTGGCCATCCCACTTGTATCCTATCCTGCTTCTAGGGACCAACCTGGTACGGACTTTTTGTTTGTCAACATGAACAAGAACACAACAGGCCGTGCAGTGAACAGTGCCTCCATCACGAGTCACTTGGGTCATGAGTGCCACTATGCGCGCTACAGAGTGCTAGACGTTCTAACTTGATGCCCAGAGAGGGCCATCGAGAATGGGATGGCTGATCGGAGACCAAAAGATGGAATTCCTGATACAGATGCCAAATGCGTATCTAGATTCTACAGTGCCTACGAACGCAGCCTGCCAGCCTAAAAAAAAACAGCCCTGCGGCTCCGCCCCTCGTTGCTTGATGCTCAGCCATAAGAGAAAGTCAATAACAACAACAACAGTAGCCCTGCCGCTGGGATTCATGGCTGGCGGATCTCGTCAAGATTAGATCTGAAATCTATTCTAGAGCAACATCAGCAACAATGCAGTCATCGCTCGATTCCTTCCTTCATTATCAGGGGGTCATTAATTCTAGTGTATTTCTCACTCGTTGCCCATGTTGCCAAAAGCCCACACGTTGAATGGGATTCCAGATTGTCCCACTCGGCGAAGCTTGCGGAACTCGCCAGGAAGTTGGTTCTCTCCGCTCAGGCATAACCACGGCCCTAACCTCCAAGCACCCAAGCAACCCAAGCAACGAACAACAACAACAGGCGATCAATCGTTCTTTTTGTGAGCCTGTCCCTGCTGGCGATTGTACAATGTCCACAAACACCAACGACGCCTTTCCGATCTTGGCGGCCGTTGTTGTTATTCTGCTTTTCATGGCTTCATCAGTGGATAGCGCAAACTTTTTTCTCACTCCTTTCCTCTTGAACGTTATCCCGGCTCGAAATGGCTAAACCTCATCGAGACTGACCCGTCGGATCTCTTTCCCTGTAGCCCCGGCCGTCGATTAGTGGACAGGGAAACGACCTTTCGGAAAACTGGGGAGGGATTTTGTTCGCTGCTTTCAGTATGGGGACACATTGATCATTCTGGGTTATCACAGTACGTCTTTTACAATAGACATCCTTGGCGACAATGTGCAAACCAAGGCTGTTTGTCTTTGCTTGCTTTGATTTTGACCGACACGGTACACCACAATGCTACTACATGGTCAAGGTGTGAGACAGCAGATGTCAAAAAATTGAACCCGCGATAATCCCGTGCTGCATGAGCACACGGAATACATACACGACTACGCACAGGAGGGAGGGCAGTCGTATCTCACGATGCTCAGGTTGGTGGTGGTATGCGGGGAACGAACCGTCCTCCTCCAGATGAATATGGACTATCTTCCCCACAAGCTCCCTATGCGCGCGCACAAGGCTCCCAGGCAAGTCTCCTATCTGGCGTCTCAAGATGGAGCACTGCAGTGGATTTCTTGTTGTTCAAAGCTCTGGCGGTCATATCCGATCAATCATCACGCAGCTCTCAAGGGCCAAAGGGCGTCTTTACCGCCAAATTTCGAAATATGCCCAGAGGACATTATGTACGGGGCCTGCATCGTGTGGGTAGGTATGTGCGTGCTCAGTGCTCACTGCTCAGTGCTCCCAACTATTTGATTATATGCTGGCGCTTCCCACCCAATCAAAAAAAAAAAAAAAGTAAAATCAGGTTATATGTCGGTAACGTAGGTAGCTGCTGCCACGTACATACAGCAAAGCAATGGCCATGCCGTGGACGAATGGCTGCCGCCTTGCTGCAACCGAGGCGCCAGTCAGTTTAGTCCACCATGTCAGATGTGCAGCAGTCAGTAGCAGTATAACCCAACTACCATCTCTCTTGATTTTTCCGCATTGTCATCCCAAGACTCGGTGATTATAAGCGAGGTCTGCATACCTGATTTTACAAACTTGCTACACCCACCACATCAGAGTACACGATACTGCCTACACAGTATGTACGAGCATACGCGCAGTGTAGGTAGGGTAAAAGCAGCAAAATGTCATGGCCCAGTTTTCCTGCTCGAGTTGCAGCCAGAGAGGATCCCCGAGAGCATCGGGCCTCCACTTGGACAGAGGTCCAGAGCAGTCCATGGGCCAAACCCCCCAGCCACGTAATGTATTGCCCATACGAGGCTAGCTTCTTCCAAGCTTCTTCCACGCTCTCCAAGGGCCTATGACACAAGAAGTCTCCGGTTCGGCTGTCTGCCTGCCTATGACGGCATCGTCGGCTTCTCCCACGAAAGCCTCACCATTGGCACATTCCAACCCAAGTGCGGAAAAGATTGCTCAAATCGAGTTCAGTGTGGCCCGGATTCGGTAACCAGGAAACACCAATGCGGGCATGTGCTAATGTTTTTTGTTTTTTTTATGCATCTGATCGTGACCGACTGGACCACGTAAGCACGAATGATATGATACTGCTACATTGACTTGATTCTTCATTATTTCTCAGCATTCGTGGCTCGTCACCTTGTCTTACCTGGCCAGCACCAGCAACGCAGGGTCTGTGGGGAATGGGGAAACAAAGATGTGTGTGTGTATGTATTCTATAACTCAAATCATGATCCCAGGGCTTGCGCGAGAGACACTGCACAAGCATTGAGTGGCTGAAACCTCGAGGGGGGAAAAACAAAAGAAAGCATTTATCACAAGACTTTGGGTCTCAAGACAGTATGTGCAATAGTAATGGGCCGATGCCGAATGGTTCTTCAACTGTCATCAGCAGAGCAAACAACCACCAGCGTTCTATCTGATCCCAGTCTGCTCGCCGCCCCCAACGCGCCGGCATTTGGGTAGAACGAGCGATCATCTTTCGGGATGGGCGCGAGATCTGGGTGATCATTTGACGATCAATTCCATGTACGTGTATGCCTACACAAAAGTAGTCCGTACACAATACTATGGTCCAGGTTGAAAACACGTCTGACAATCATACATTGTTGTGATGATAGAGTTCTCCCGTACGGCCCATCTTGAACCACGGGATCGGGAGGCAGA